ACAAATACAAGAGGCGCACACAGAAGGAAACACTGCTGCGCGACTATCTGAAGTTGCTGGTACCTTTGGAATTCCAGAAGCAAAGAGAGTTTCTGTTGTATGTGACAACGCGTCTAATATGGCACTCTGTGTGGAAACACTAAAGGAATCATGAATGGCCAGAGATGCAGGGCGTCAGGTGCGCCGGGCACACTTTGCAGCTCTGTATTAACACTGCACTCAAACCAGAGCCAATTTGTCATGCCGTGGCAACATCACGTCATCTGGTGGGACATCTCAAAAAGGGGCACAAAGCAAAAACTGGGCTAAAACAGAAGCAGGAGCAGCAAAATGTCCCTCAGCATGAACTAATTCAGGATGTGTCTACACATTGGAAGCGACTGCTGGAGCAATGCATTACCGCAGTGCTGTCTGACCCAAACTTTACGAAGAAGAGCGACAGCAGTACACTGGACCTTACCACAGCAGACTGGTAGAGGACATTAAAAATGTGCTGAAACCGATGACAACCCTGACCGAGCTGCTGTCTGAAGAGGACAACACGTCCCTGTCTGCAACAGTACCCATGCTGGCAAACTTGAAGAAACGTCACCTGGCTATCACGGATGATGACTGCCCCATTACCAAAAAAATGAAAAGCAAGCTGGTCGAAGAAATTGACAGTAGGTGGGAGTTTAAAAACCGAATGATGATGACTAACAGTGTATACATTACAGCTGCAGTAGTAGACCCTCGTTTTAAGCAGCTGTCTTTTCTGGATGATGCCAAACGAGACGAGGCCTATACAGTAGTTGCACAGCTGGCAGAGCGACTGAGTGCACTCAGCGCAGCCACAGGCACAGGTGAACCTGGAGGTGAGGAGCAACATGTGTCAAAAAAACAGAAAACCGACAAAGAGAAGGAGATTGCTATGCTGTTGTGCGGAGATGAGGAAGATCTGGTTTCTACAGAATCAGGTGGGAGAAGCACAGAAGAAATGAAATACTATCTTCAGGACAGAACCAAAATTGACTCTGGACCATTGGGGTAGTGGAAAAAAACCCAAGACTGATACCCGAGCCTGGCCCGAGTTGCAAAGCGACTGCTCTGTATCCCTGCAACATCCACGCCTTCTGAACGCATTTTCAACAAGGCAGGATTTATTGTCTCCTTCCAAAGAATGTGGATATGCTGGTGTTTCTCGCACACAACACAAAAAAGTGTGGATAGTTTGTGGACAGTGGACACTGATTGTACTCTCTGTGAGTGAGTAGCCATTTGTTTATTTAATTGTTTTTACATTATTCCGTTTTGGACATTAATAACATTTTAGAATTTTGCACATTTATTTGAAATACTTGTGGATTTGGGCATTTGATTTATTTATTTTTGTATTTGTTCTGAGTGAGCCTACCTTGTTGTTGTTATGCACTTTATTTTGTTTCGGTTTAAAATTTGGCTAAATAACATGTACTTTTATGGTTCCCTTTTATTATTGTGCACATTTATTTCTAGTATTATTTATTGGATTTGGGCACTTTATTTTTTTTATTTTTTTCGGAGCCTAATGCGCAATTGCACTGTGTCCACTGTTTGTATTTGTTTTGAGCCTATGCTTTATTTTTCAGTTATGCACTTTATTTTGTTTCTGCTCTCGTCTTGATCTGGTTCATTTAATAAATATTATTTTTTAATTAAAGTGGACGTGCCTTTTGTGTTTAAGAGTAAAAGCTTTAAGTTAATAGTCTATTCGTGTCTCAGCCGCGAAGCTGAGCTCCTATGTTGCACAGAGCGGCTGAAATGATAGTGTCTGTCAGTTATTATAACATATGACAAAAACAATTGTCTAAATTATGTTGCATATTCCTCAACAGTTCTTGTGCTGATATCACTAGTTGACATAGTACTATTTTCGGAAATCATAGGCTATGATATTGCGCAGGTGCACGTGATGCAACGCTGTCAGAGCCGACAGACTCGAGTGTGTCATTTCAGTGCAAAATAATTAGGTCAAAAACGATTTAATATACTGCAAATAGCCTACTAGTTTTTTATGCTTATTTATAATTAATTTAGGCAGACAAGGCTACCAAGTACTGCGCAGCTAATTAATGTAACATTTACTCTGACGCACTTCAGGTAAAATACAGGATGTGGTGTCTATAAGACAGGAAATGGACACTAGTTTACATGGATAAAATTATGCTACTCTGTGGTTACAACTTTGCTCTGCAACAAATGATTTTGTGTTAGCATTTAAGTGCCCGGCTGGAACAGGAACAAGGTGCCGGAACAGGCTAATGTATGTCTTATCTATGGTGTGAACATAGAGGCTGAAGACCTGAACATAAAATAACTCTTATAAAACAGCGTCACCATTGTCTGGCCTGAGTTCACTACACACCACAGCTGATCGTTCTGCTGTGGTCTCAGTTTTCCTCCTGCTGTAACATTAATTTGGCCACAGTACCCATAAGTAACAAGTTCAAATCAACTAATAGTGCCAGTTCCTAAAAATAAATGCATCTATCCCATCATTTGAATATGGAAATAGCAACACACATCTCTCCTAGATGATACTCACAGGTGTTCAAATGAGAAGTGAAATAGCTTTATGAAGAATGAAAAAAGAGAACTGAGAGAGAAGTTCAAGGCCCAGCTCCTTTCTCATCTCACTCCTCCGTACAGCAGACCAATCACTGAAGTGAAGTGGATGTGATGTCAGTTTCAGAAAGTTACAGAAACAGTTGGACACAGGCTCCCCTAATCTGAAACTGGACAGGCGTGAGGGGAGGGGCTTCTGAAGCTATTCCATGTGCGACAAGCAGTTCTGACTGAGAATACTGTCTGCTTCATATTGCTGTGTGTCTGTAGCCAGTTCACGCAGCCTAACTGCCGCCCACTGACTAATTATAATGTCCAGAAAATAAATTAACCAGCTGTTAATGAGTGACTCTGTGCTGGCTCTGTTTCTGCAACTGTGGACTATCAGTCCCAATCTCTTGTTGTGGGAAACTAATAGCCAGTTGACCGGATGGAAATGAATCAATGATTGATCAGCTATTAATTATTTACTTTAAAAACAACATCAGTAGTATTTGCTGCTTGCCAATGTGAGTGTTAGCTCACAAAATAAGTCTCCTCGGGCTTTGGTAACTTTGCAATCATCAGTATTAAAAGGGCAAGAAGAGTAACGTGTATACACCATCAGCTGTCTCTTGGTTGCCCACACAGCTTAGCATACACTCTTACTGATGCCGTTGTTTCTGCACTTTTAATATTTTCAACTGTTTTATTGTCTCTGTGTCTGTTAATGTGTCGTTTATTTTTCATGCTGTCTTTCTGCAAAAAAGATTTGCTCCTTGACTTATGGGACAGGTAAGATCTGAACCAGACTGATGGACATTTGTTATCAGTTTAATCCATTTTCAGAAAAGTATTTTGTTAGCAGCTTAGCTCACTTATCTAAAGAATAATCGACAGGTGAATCGAATGTTTAAAGAAATTGCTGTTGTAGCCCTAGTCTAAAAGCTAGGTTCTGGTGGGGTTTCTTTTTAGAAACCCCACTTAATCAATAGATTAGTTGTGTGTTCCATAAAATGTCAGAAAAAGCCCATGGTGACGTTCTCAGAAGTAGGCATGGGACAATGTGAAAATATCATGTCATGATTATCTTGGCAAAATAACTGCATTACATGATATTATCATGATAATGATGAAAAATATACTTCATACTTTAAAAATGGCACTAAAACATATTGGAATATATATCTATTGCAATACAGATAAACACCTCATCTCCATATTCTTTATTTACTATACTATACTATTTCCACACACCAGGTTTTACTTTTTTTTGTGGGGGATCCAACTGGCAAGTTGAGCCTGCAGCCATGGAGACAGAATTTGGATTTTGGAATGACTGAAAAGATTCGGGCTCCCCCTTGTCCCCTTGTAGGTCTAAAGAAACTAAAAAAATATTCACACTGGAGAAGCTCAAATCTGAGAATCTGGACATTTTGTTCTTTAAAAAATGACTTGATTATCAAAATAGTAGGTGATTAAACTGTTGTCAACTAATGCTGTCAGTAATCCAATTAATCACTAATTAATCAATTAATGTTGCAGCTCTAGTCTTTTATCATAATTCTGGTCTTTATATAGACTAAATGATTAACTTATTCATCAAAATAATATACAGATCAAAGGGTGATGGTAGGAACTCTGTATGCTGTGGTATTTATTGCGGTTTGTGTAATGAAACTAAACCAAGTTATCTTGTGTGAGAGATCAGTAACTCTTGTTAGTGCATGTCCACACTTCTATTCCGATTACAGCTGGTTCTTATTCAGTTGCTTACTTGCATGCAATTTTGTCCTCTCAGAGGTGGACGCACCGTTTTCAATCGCACGCTTTGATGGAAATCAACTACGTATCGTTTAAGAATGTCACCATCATTTTTGCAAACATCATTTCCAGACATTTATTATAACTGCCTGTTAAGGAATATTGACCCCATAGCGACCACTGCGCCATTTATTATTATGCTTATCATTATATCAGCAGCATAAAATGGTCTTAAAATGACAATAATATCGTCTATCGCAGTTATTTCTAGGAAAATATATGTTGTTATATTGTTATATTGCAAGTTGGGATTATAAATAGCAGAGTGACAACACCCACTACACCTAAACGTCTCCAGTGGGTGGAGAGTGTTTAAACAAGCAGTGTGAGAGTAAAGAGTAAGGGGAAGGAACACAAGGAGGAATTTACATTAACAGAAACTACCCAGTACAATTACAGTTTTGTACAGTTGGACAAAATTGCTTCTGGTTTCCTCAGTTGTTGCTGAAGAGGGAAACAGTCCAGTACGTTCGAGGCTTAAACTAACCGTACATTTCACTAGCATGTCAGTTTGGGTGGTTCGTATCAGACTTTTAACTTCTCACAAAACCCCTTCATCTGAGAGCTCAGACTCAGACCTGAAAATGCTGCCTTCAAAACAATTCTTTTTTTACCTCGTCAGACTCCAGAGCCATTGACTCCACCCTCTCCGGGTTGTCCAGGAGCTCCTGTAGCTCTGATTGGCTCAGGTCCTGGAGCTTCTCCATTTGATTTGCCAGGATGGCTGTCCGTCATAAAGCAACCAGGAAATCAGAGTTAGAAACAATGTTTGGAAACAGAAAGTGGACAATCAGAGGCCTAAATTACGTGTTTTAATGTAACTAACCTCGGGTAGATACTTATTAGTCACTGACTTATCAAGCTCTTGTTGACAAGTCAAGACAAAACAAACAATCTCACCTGCAGCCACTGTCTTAATACAATAACCAACATGTCGGTGAGATGTAACAAATATTGGCCCTTCCATCAACAGAAGTGGTAGGAACACATTGACAGTGCATTGTTTTGTACACTGCTGGCTAATAGCTAGCTAGCATGTTAAAGTCATACTGGAGGTAAGTGACTGTAGGCCACAAACAGACGAACAGTAGTCAGCGAGGCGGGAAACAGGGAGGAAACAAACAGGTACTTACACGATGCTAGCAAACCAAATTCCGCCTGACACTGACTGGTGGTGACATCCAACACCACGTATTAATTTCAACTGACAGGCGACGTGACACGTCCTCAGGGTCTCCGACCTCAGCCCCGACGGAATCCAGCCGAACGAAAAGCCGTCGAGTCGTTTTCGACGCTCTTTGGCCGGCAGGCTAGCTAGCTACTCGGCCGACGTCCAATCTCACCTGGTGGTTCCGCGTTGAGCAGTCCGATGACAACAACAGTCGGTATGATCGCAATGTCAGGCACTCAGCCACCGTCAACTTCGAGGGAAGCCCAGCAAATTGGCGATTAAAAACAGAGCCCCGGACGACTCCACTCGGTCCCGACGTCGAGTGTCTGACGGCTCTGTATTTCGTTAATGCTTACGTTAATAAACAGACGGCTGAAGTCCACAGAATGTGTTAGAAAATGATAAATCTGTCGTTAAAAATAGGAAAGTTTCATTCCACACTGACAGAAACCGCCGCCATTTTAGGAACCATCCACGTTCCAATGTTTGCGGGGGGGGTGCTCGGGCAAAACAAACATTTTCTGACACAGCACCGGTTAACTGTGACGAACTCTTGATTTACGCGTATATACGTTTTGAATAGTTAGTGTTTGCCGACATATCTAGGTGTAATTATTTAAGTCTGGGCCGTTTTCCCCGCTGCTGTCCCCTATGTCGCTGGGTAATGGTGGGGCCCTGTGCTCAGCTGATATAAGGGGAACCCCTATGTGACGGTAATGTTCCATCTACTGCTGCCAGTGTGCTCCCAACACTTCTGTCAGTGGCAAAATATCAGTGTGAGCTACTCAACGCTGCTTTCTTTAGAAACGAGGACCGCTGAGTCACAACTGGAGGAATGAAAGGGTTTTCTGTGTAAAGAGTTGGCGTAGAGAGGAAGGAAACACTGGACTGGAGACAGGTTTATCCATTAGCTCTGTGTGTCCATGGAAAGCCATAATAAGGGCTCTAATGAGACATTTAGCCTATTGGAATCCTAAAGGTTTTTAGCACATAATGAGAATTCAAATTGTGGTAGAAAGACAGACAGATGTATTGAATGCTGGCACAAATGTATCAGCTGATGAGTCTTGCATGTGAAAACCTCTGTATTGGTATTGGACCTTGAGTCAGTCAAGGAAATCTGATTTGCAGTCACTCATTAGACCCAAAAATGTCTGATAGATGAAGCACAAAAAAAGACATTTGTAGATTCAGCCTCTAAGGAATAAAAGAGAGACTTGTGTGTTGTGTCTTTGTTCTGAGCGTCCTACGGAGAACATATAGTGAGAACACTGCTGGACAATCATGTCAAGAGAACAGGAGATCATTAAAGCTGCAGTAGGTCATTTCTATAAAAATAACTTTTTGTCATATTTGCTGAAACTTTCACTATATCCTGACAGTAGAACAGGAGACCGTTTCCTCTGGCTCCTCCTACTTCTAAATCTTCCAATTTTGCAAGAATCCACCGGACCTGAATGAAAGCAAGCCGAGTAAGAGATACAGATGCTTTTGGTTGGAGGCATAGTTGATTGTTGAGTCTCATTCCCAGGTCGTCAAATGTCAAATATGGACACTTTGGGAGCACTAGGAGGAGCCGGAGGTCTCATGTACTACTGTCAAAGTGAAACTTTACAATGAATATTTCAGGAGATATGACTAAAAGTTATTTTTATCAAAGTTACCTACAGCTTTAAGAATTCAATGAATACATTTGAAGCTGTGATCAGGGGCCTACGTCAGTGCATTTGGAGTCATAGACAGGTGCCAGTGATGCATGTGAACAGCTAATAACAGTGGGCAGAGAAGGAGCTGCTCATTGGTTGGCTGCCCAGGCTCCTGCCATGGAAACAATCCACAGTTTACAGTACAGAATAACACTATCAGTCTTAGTAACGGTTTATTGCATTGCAACAGTTATCACCCCATTGAATAACGCAGTATGGACACATTAACAACACCTGTGTACACTATCATGTAATCTATTACAGCATTCAGCCCTGCAGTCAATGTTATTTTTGTGAGGCGTATATAGTAATGCTTTGTGTAAGGTGTTTGTTATTTTGTCCTCCCCCAACATACATACAGAGGTACAAACAGCAACAAGCAAATGATTATTGAGTTGACTAATATAGATTCAGATACATCATGTATATGTTTAGGATATTTGATTTGTTATAAAATTGTTATACATATAAAACATTATAAAACACGATTTAAAAATCCATGTGAATACAAAATTAACAGGTGTATGTACGACAGTATGTGTCTCCAATAGGGATTGTACATTCTCATAAAACTGCAGTTACATCGGCTAACTTCTATTTCTGTCCCCAAACTGGATTTTTTTATTCATAAAGGGCAAGATTCTGTTTGAATATTTACAGTGATACACTTTTGTCACAGCCTACTCATATTTCCTGCCCTGTAAAGGTAAACCAATCACAGATTAGACATATTCAATCTCTAAATTTGGTCCTATGATCAAGACAATTCCAGATCAAGATCTGAAAGGTCACTGATCGTAAAGAACCAGTGTGTAGGATTTAGTGGCATCTAGTGGTGAAGTTGCAGTAGGCAATTATTTGAACAGCTCTGCCTTCCAAGGCATGTAGGAAAAACCACTGTGGCTGCAAAACTCCTGAAAAACTAGACTAAACTACCTCGTGCAGCATCCATATCCAGGATATTTTTGGATTCATTTTTGTACAGTGGGAGGAAGTGGAGACGCAACGTCAAGCGTATGTCAAACTACTATTCCTTTAAAAATATGAACACATGACATTAACAAAGTATCTCAATAAGGATCCCTTAGATTTGTTTTTTGCTTTTTATTGAGACACATACTGATATGGACATTTTACAGTGTAAAAACCAACTTGTCAGTGCTCTCTGGTGGACAAACTCTAAATTGCCTACTTTGGCATTTCTGTACTGACATTTACCACATAACACTCCTACTGTACAGTATCTGCAATATGCTTACATCAGCCCATATACCAGCTCTCTAGTCTAGCTCTAATATTAGTGATGGTACAAAAATAACATTTTCGTGTATAACCTCACTTATGCCATGGCCACTTTATGTCAAATGATAGTCCAATTTTCAAAGTTAGTTTTATGGCTGGCGGTTAAATCCATTTATTTTCATCATGTTTATTCCGATTATGTTTCATCATTTATTTGTTGACTATTTGATTTATATCATTTTGTCACATCCATGCTGACTGTGCTAAGAACTGATTTCTGCCTGACTCTGTTGTTACCCTCTCAGGACACATTTTGTTTTGAACAGAGCACATTGGATCATGCTCATCTATTATGAAAACTCTCTGCAGTGTCACCAGATCCACTGAAGCACAAATCTGCAGTATTGACACATCTGTGACGGAAAAACAAGCTAGCCTACTGCTGATGAGAAATAATTCAACATGTAGGGCACCTGTGTTTCCCGTATGTGCGTGTGTGTATTAGTCTCTTTTGAGTGCTTTGAGGGCCGAGACAGACAGGAGGCAGTGCAAGACCACGGCCACGGTGTCATAGAGCAGCAGCAGCAGTGTCAAACTCCAGCAGTACCCCTGCAGGAGAAACAGAAAACACATCATCTTCTGCAATAATACACCAGTGATTCCCAACCTTTTCCCCTTATATCATCCTTTTGTCAAGTGACATATTTTAAGGATAGTTCATGTTATAGTCAATGCATAACAATAACAGTAGAGAACATCTAATAAACTGTACAATGAACCAAAAGGTGAACACAATGACTGCTGGAAGTTTGTGTAAAACAAGTTAAGTTCCCTTCAGTTTTATTTATTTATTTGTATACCAATCTCTGAACAAAAACAGCTAATCAGAGCTAAGAAAGACATCCACCAATTTGGGTTAGTGGCTTGAAGATAGTTGACTGTCAAGTCTCATTCCCAGTGTTGGTATTTAACGATCTGGAAATGAGACTCAACAATCAACTGTCTTTCTCAGCTCTGATTGGTTGTTTTTGTTCAGGCCCGGTAGATTCTTACAGATCCCATTAGGAGCACTAGGAGGAACCAGAGGAACCTGATTGTTTCACACATTATCTGTCTCGTACTACTGTCAGGATATAGTGAAAGTTTCAGCAAATATGACAGAAAGTTATTTTTATAATATATATAAGGTTACCTACCGCAGCTTTAACTGCGTACTTTTCTGATGCAGGACATGTCTGTCTGTTATATATTAAATAATAATCTTATAAATAAATGAATAAATAAATGAATCAAATGTTGCGTTAAAGGCCTACTGTTAAGTTGTCTTAAACCCCTTTGGGAACCAGTGATCTACATTATGTAATCTGCACTGGGTCTTATAAGACAGGACTATCTTCCACTTCTCCGCATCTCTTACGTCAGAAACGTGATGTTGCTGCTACCTTCTCATGCATCTGTACAGCGATTTATTTCTCCTTATCATCATCACAATCCTTCCTTCTCGCCCATCTCTTGATAATAAAACAGTTTTTTTTATTTTTGTCTTCCGAGAAGTTTGAAGAGAGCAGCACACTGACCGACAGGATATCCCCGGGACAGCGAAAATACGAAGGTCTGTAGCCACCTTCAGTATGCTCACACAGATCTTTGGGTACAATGCTGAGGTTGTAGCTGTAGAGGCAGAAGGCAAGTGTTGCCCCCAGTAGGCCAGCCACATTACTGCACACACAACCTTGAAGCTGTGAAGGGAGGAAGCAATCAAGAGCCATCACTGTGCACTTTAAAAACACTGATTATATTGTTGTATTGTTTATCATTATTATTCTTATATTACAACAGCCCTGAAAAGACTTGAGCTGCTCCTATGTTGATCTTATATATTATGAGTTTGTATTCTTAGATTATACGATACTAAGTATACAAACACTGAAATTTTACCTACAGAAGTGAGAACACTTCAGGAACTAACCTATAGTACTGCTAGAACCTTCCTAACTTGCTGTTAGATCAAACTCTCCCATTAGCCTTCACATTAGCTTGTTATCTGTACACACCAGTAGTTTGCTGGGGTTCCTCTCACTGGCCATGGTGAACGATCCTGCTGCCACAATCTGCAACACACACACACAAACAGACTGTTAGCATTTTGATCACTTTCTGACATTATCAGACACGAGTCACAAATTTGATGACTTCAGACCCGACTTGACAAAAAAAAGGACTTGCAGTTTGACTGGGACTTTACCACCAATGACTTCACTTGGACTTCAGACTTGATGCCTTCCCCCAAATCCAAAGATTCAATAGTATGTTATTGCATAACCATCAATCAATTTATATCCCCATTAGTGCTTTTCAGCAAATTGATACTCAATTGCCAAAGATCCACTGTGTTTGAACTGATCCAATCAAGTTGCAGGAGAGAACCATAAAGATGTAACTTTACATTACTGAGCACAAGTTGAAAAAAATTATACCAAAGATCATTTTGTTTTATTCTGAACAAAACCAGGTCTATCACTGTTTATAACTCAGCAACAGTCTACAATGCTGTCATTCAACCAGTATATAAGTCCTTTATTTTCAGTCACTTACAGCCATTGTGCATACAGTACAGTATGTGGTGCATCTGCGGTATCATTTTGGACACGTATTGTGCATTATTTTACACAAGGGTCGCACAGCTTGGGTACTGTGCTTTTGTACACATATAAGATCAGTTTCACACTGTCAAACAAAAAGAAGATTTTTAATTGATTAATAATAGAGTTTTTTTAACAGTGCAGTAAAATGCTATATGCCTAGTATAGCCTCACTTTTTTAACTTTTTAAGTAAAGGGTAGTAGGGGAGACCGGGGCTTGTTGTCAAACTTTTTACACTCATATATTTCTTGGAATCAATACATCATATAAAAAAATGTGTACCAGATAAAAATAAGCTATAAGCAAAAAAAGTTATAAATATTTATAAAGTTATAAGCAATCAAATAGAGAGTGTGAACATGTGACATGTTTCCCCACCATCGGGTAAGTTGTCTCACTATATGGGGTAAGATGTCACACTGGATTTTGCAACTAATAAAACAAGGACAAAATTTATTGTTGTTGTTCTTTTTTACTTGAAAGTGAACATTGAAGTAAGAAAAAGTTTATCATTGAACTTGAAAAAGCCATTGAACAAACGTTAACATAAAATAATATGCACCATGCACTGGATTAAAGTCCTTAGGAACTGCTGGCACATAGGCCATGGCTCTCAGACTCAAATGCCTGTTTTACCTTTCTTAAACTCAAAATTCCAGATTGAATTGAATTACAGAAAAAGAAAGCATTGGTTCATTATCAAACTTAAACCGGTCCTGAAATGTGGACATAGTTCCAACAACAACTGGAAGATCCATTCATAAAAACTCAAACAAAACCTGACAAACAAATGTCCTCACTAGTCAGACTCATCATCTGCATCGCAGTTCTGGCATACGTAGACTGATTTGCCAGAGGTGCATTCTTCATGGGCCCATCCTTTGCATAATATTGTATTATATTATATATTATATTATATTATTGTTATATTGCATAATATTCTTATTATAGTGCATAATATAATAATGCACTATAATAATAGTGTTAAAAAATTGCAAGTCAATACATGCAGTGCATTTTCATCAAAATATGCCTGTGACAACTAACCCCAAAATGACTGAGACATGTTGCCCCAAACTACAATGTTTGCTAAGACTAGCTCTAGCTTAAAGTTATCTTAAAACAGAACAATGAGTGAGGTATGACAGGATGCCTTAATCTCTCCTCTAACAAGTCCACATGTATCACTGTTAGGATTTGTATCTGAACGAAGCTTATTTTGAAATATATAAAGTTGATATTTTTACTTTGGGTTGTGCAAAATGGTTACTTGGTGCTCATCTCAGCTCACTATGTGCTATCCTCTTCTCAGACAGGACATGACACCTGACCATGTAAAGGAAGAAAACTAGTATTCCACTTTTTAGTTGCGCCCCTTGGTGGAGAAGATAATTGCAATGTGACAACTTACCCGTGTGACAACAAGCCCCGGTCTCCCCTATTTATCTTATAAGCAGCCAGACATTTGCTTTTCACATTACAGTAGTGAAATTATTAAGCACATTTCAGATACATCATAGGCCCACACTGTAATTCAATAAACTTGAAACCAGGTTGAATATTGTTGCTTACCAGTGAGGGGAGCTCTATAGCAAAGAACCTTTGATTCAGTTGGTGACACAGTCTGAGGACTGAGTGATAAACAGCTGCCAGACCAAGATTGAGGAACATGTGCAGTAGTGACCCCTCTTATGGGTCAATAGCGGTTGAATGACCCACATTTTGATGTATTTGGTGTATTTTGACGATGCATGTATCTAAATGTTGCCTGATCATGGCCTTATGACTAAAAGGTTAAATCCGCAAGGGCTTTTCACCAGGGGTGGATCTAGAGAAATATTCATGTTGTGTCCAGAAGGCAGCATGGAGATTTTAAGGGGTGGCAGAAATATATGCTGATTTTATCATAAACAATAACATATATCAATATTTGCTTATAAAATGAAAATACTTGAACTGAAAAACATGACATTATTGTGGCACATAAAACACTGAATAGAAATATCTAAAAGTGGCATTGGAAATCAATACATTGTTTTATTTCCAAATGTTCTTCATTGAAATTGCATTGTCTCTTACTCCATAACATATCATTAAATACATTTCTCTTTTTTTAATTTTTAAAATTAATTTAAAAAATGTAATTAGTTAGTTAAATTTGGGTGGCCAGGCTTTTTTTTAGGGTTGACCACCCTATGCCACCCCTGCTTGTCACCTTTTGGTATTTTTAACCATGTTTCTTCCATTTCACCAACACTCTTTTAAGAGTGCTAACATTCTTTATTAGCTAAAGTTGACGTGCTTTTCCTTTCTGTGCTAAAATCTTCATCGGATATAAACATATTTACTGGAGGGTGAAACTGCTGTCAGACTGAGAACCAGAATAAGAATCATGGGGTACATACTATAAGTCCTAAGACCAGTGGCAGTATGTAGAGTCTTGGCAGAGTTTCATCTGCAAAAGCGAGCGGAACAGACAGCAGCACCTGGAATAGCCCCAACAGGACAGTCACCACCTGCATGGATACAGAGATTGGGAATTACACTCTGATCCTTTTAAATTTAAATAAAGTTGACTCCTCTCATACTGACTGGTGTACCGAGCTCACCGCAGTAGCTTCAGGGTCAAACCAGGTGAACAGGCGATGTAACCTGGGTCCAGCTGCCGGCCCCACCTCAGAGACCATCTTACTGCACAACTGGAAGCTAAAGTCAGAGACAACAGAACAGTAGATGGAGAAAGGGGGGTATAGAATATAACTTATGCTCTTTAAATTACAGAGTACATATTTCACACATTGGGGGTACAGATGAAATAGCTACAGAGGACTGAGGAGGGACCTGGAAATAAATTAGAACATTAATACTTCACTACTACCTGATACACATTAAAGGTCCATTGTGTAGGATTTAGTGGCAGTGCAACTACGGTGGCCGTGAATCACTGAAAAGCAGCTGCCACTACCTTGGCCGAAATTCCTTAAGAACGCTGTATATCAGTTACATCACATTATAGTCATTTGGCAGTAGGCATGCAGTAAGAGAGTAACCACAGCACTGACAGCCTAGGTACACCACCATGACTGAAAGGGTGCTTGGATAATGCTGCATAGCGTCAGACATAGGGCTGTGGATTTGATACCACAGCCTCCTGTGTTGTAGTCTCTACTAATATCCCTGTCTAATGTAAACTGTGAGCACCTGTTGAAATGTTAACCTTAAGCCTTGCATTAAATATTTATGTTCCCTCTGATTTCCCCTACATTACAACTTGCAGGTTGGATGAAAATGCAACGGTTCATTAAAGTGATTGCACTGTGGGAAGAAAATCTTTTCCAGGGAAATAATGTAGTTGTTAGAGAATAATGTCTGAACAGCTATAATGAGAGAGAAAGAGGAGCAGACTGTACTAGAGAAGAAGAATGAATACACCCAAAGAACAACAGAGACAGACCACGTGATTATGAGACACTTCACTGAAACTGCAGATGGCAAGGATCAGTGGGAAACCGCGAAAGCTAAGTTGTATTTGTGCAAGTGCACTCGTGTGTTTCTGTTGCTGGACAGGGAAGAGGGAATTGAGAAATAGAGACGAGAATGAGGTAGTGAAAGAGGGGAAAAAAAGGAACAGAGAGTGAGTGTGTGAGTACGTTAGTTCATCAAAACCACATGTCGGAATCCTCTTAGGAAAGACAGGAATGCTGCAGGATGAGAAGCAGATGTGGTGGGGGGTGGTGTAGTAAGAAAAGATTGGGGTCTGTGGGAGAGTGGGGGGGGCATGTTGATGATGAAATGGACTGACAAGGCCCTGTGGAAGTAATGGGAAACGTTTTACCATTACTAATCTACAAACAAAGTCACAAATTTTTCTTCACACACACATCTGTCCATATGTTGGCACATTTGTATTTTCACTTAACCTCACAGCTATCAATGTGGGCCTTTTGGTCAGGGAGTTTGAGGATTTACTCGGAACTGGATCTCTATGTGGTCGTTTTCTGTGTCACAAAACAACAGAATTTGTAGGAAGTGCAATTCAAATTTGTCTTTGTCAGCACAAAAATGCTGCAGGTATAGACCATGTGCATTAATATACAGAGGTATATAAAGGTATAACTGTACAGGTACAGAAAGAGGGCATATGTATAGGGTACAGATATACAGAATAAAGACAGGGATGTACCCTAGGTATAGACAAGGTAAATACAGGTATGACAGGGCACATACAAGTACAGACAGGGTATGTATGGGTATAGACAGAGGGCATACAGGGTACACATACAGAATACAGACAGGGTACGTAGAGATATACACAGGGTACATACAGGTATAACAGGGCACCTACTAGTACAGACAGTTTGCCTATGGGTATAGACAGAGGGCACAGAGGGTATACACAGGTACAGAATACAGACAGGGTGCATATGGGTACAGACAGAAGACATACAGGTAGAACAGGGTACATAGGGGTATAGACAGGTTGCATATGGGCATAGACAGAGGGCGTACAGTGTACACACAGGTACAGAATACAGACAGGGTGCATAAAGGCATAGACAGTGTACATACATGTATAGACACAGACACAGTGCATGCGGGAAAAGACAGAGGTGTATTTTTGGTAAAACCATAGAAACCAGAGTTGTTATTCAGCTACTGAACACAGGAGGCAAACCCTATGATACACAATTACATGACACTATGAAGGTAAGAAGTCCCAAAATCAGGTAAGAAAGTGTCACTGACGCACCAAGCTCTATCAAACCTTAATGTGTCCAACACATTCTCGTCAACTAAAATTGTTGTACGGTGAGAAAACCACATATTATTATATTTTCCCATCTGATGTTGACTTAAATGAGGAATCTGACACAGTGTTTAAATGGTGCCAAAACAATAGAACGTGTCACTCTCCCACTTTTGGACTACATGGGCCACTTACTGTTTTCTGTTTACCTTCCAAACGGTCAAATAACCATGTCACAGAAAGCAGTGTGTCACTTACCTCAACTGCAGAGATGCCTGAGATGTCTCCAGATGATACCAACAGAGCACTTTCCTCAAGTCCTTAATTTAGAGAAACGTATAAGGGTGAGAGCGCCGACAACAAAACCATTTCTGGAACTGAAACTAGGAAAGGAAGGGAAGGAGGAGCTCTGCCAGATCTCATCCAGAGGCACAGAACAATACCCCCCCCCCTTCTCTCTCGCCCTAATAAACACATCCCCGCACGAACCCGCTTGCCAAAAAAGAGAAGTCAGGGAGGCGCATCATAAATTCGGAGTGGTCGAGAGAAGCCCAAACTTATAAAGGAGGACATATTTGTTAACTAATCTCGAGAGAAACAGGTAGGAATAAAACATTTTGTGCTTTCTAATACCTTGACAACAACCTACATTTATCTTGTTATCTTGTTCTAAGCTTACGCAAAAATTTGTGCGTAATGTGTGCGTAAATGTGAACGATCATCCAGACTGATCGCAGCGCCCATCGTATCCTTGCAAGATGGTAGCAGCCGTAATGGTGCTGTGTAATGCTCTGACTGGACTCAGGCCGAGGTGGGAGATGGTGTTGGACACATCCCAGTATGTTTTCTGTCCAAAAACAAAGGCATACGCTACCTCCAACTGTATTTGATAAGATTGTTGTACAGTAACATGCTGCGCCACTGGATCATCATCATGTTCTATATGTCTTTAACACTGTGTAACACTGGGCATTTACCCTGGGGAAATAAACCTTTATCGTATCAGAAGGTGGAGACAATGTTCCTCATGAAATGGTCCTTTGCTTTTAGAGAGGCAGCCAAACCCAGCACAAACCTGTTACCACTGGGGATAAAAATATATCATGTATCATGTAACAAGCATGCTGTGATCACTGTTAGCTGTCACAAGTCTCCAGCTCACAGTCTTAAAGGACCATACCAATGAGTTTTAGATCATGTGTCCTTAATGCCCCCATCCAGTCACAACAGTGTTCCTTCTTGCTCCTACAGCGTGCTGTTTGAATGCCGTATGTGCAGAGTTTGACTCTAGAAGGATGTTTTCACATACATCTGCTGAAAGTGGAAAGTTTCTCTTTACTCATTGAACACCTGATTTTTAAGGGGCGGGGCCTACCAGCAGGATTGGTGACATCACAAATAGTTTGCAAGTCAACCTGGTCCAATATGCAACTTAAATGGAAAGGTCTAAAACAGCAATATGGTTGGAAAATGATTAGTTATAGTAGACGTGATGTGTACTAAACAGGCTCAAACAAGATGTTTCAGACAGTTTTAAACAGCTAAGATTTGTTCACATATTTGTTTATCTTTATGAAAATATATTTGAACCTGAACACAGATAAGCTTCAAGTAAGGTTAAGTTAAAGGTCCAGTGTGTAACATTTAGGAGGATCTATTGGCAGAAATGGAATATAATATTCATAGCTATGTTTTCATTGGTGTATAATCACCTGAATATAGGAATCAATGTGTTTTTGTTATCTTTGAACGAGCTGTTTGTATGTACAGATCCCACTAAATCTTACACACTGGACCTTTAAAGAAGTTCAAGAAATCGGGATGATTTAATTTGTTATCCCGAGATAACGGCCGTTCTCGGCTTCCGTAAGTTTCAAATTCATGTCACAACAAATTCATTTAGTTATTACGTGACAAATGCTAAATGCTAATGAAAAAATTGTCCTTTTTAACATTTTTTTCATCATTAACTTTTTTTTAAATTTAGCTATAACACAGTAAATGCATACACGAAAAAGAAATACATATGCCTACAACAATGTTTATTTTATTTCACTTTATTCCTTAGTATGATTTATTTTTATTTAAGCATTTTAAATCTTCTCACAGCAGATATATCCCCTCAGGAAATACAGAGGCGCACATAATAACATTAATGAGGATTGCATGTAGGTCATCCAGTTCTCGGGCCCCGGTATTGTACATGATGGCTTGCTGGGACATTGCAAAGGACCATTAATGAAGTCTCATGTCTGATGTGGGAAAGGGCTACATCTCTGATCGTGCTGTTTGGAAAGTGAGCTCTGCTGTCCTCTGCAGGTGATGGCGGTGGCGGTGGCCAGGGATCTGACAGTGCAGGTGCTGGAGGATGTGAACGTTATGAAGCTGAATGACAGACAGCAGGCTCTGCGCGCTGCCATCCAGAGAGGAGAGCCCAAATGTCTGGGGGTTAGTCTACAACTCGTACACTCTGAAAATAAGAATTGTTGTGTTTATGTTACCATAGAATGAGCTGTTCTACCTACAGAGGCTGCCATGTTGAACCACCATGTTTTCGTGTTGTGGTGGTCACTGGAAATTGATTTTCTTTGTGTGTACGTGTGTGTGTAGGTGAGTCAGGTGATGCTGGGGCTGATGGTCATGTCCTACTCCATTCCTCTGCACTTCACTGAGGCCACTGAGGTGGTCAGGCTGGGAGTTCCTTGGTGGAGTGGCCTGATGGTGAGTCTTGTGTGTGTGTGTGTGTGTGTGTGTGTGTGTGTGTGTGTGTGTGTGTGTGTGAGAGAGAGAGAGAGAGAGAGAGAGAGAGAGAGAGAGAGAGAGTCTTATTCTGCTTTTTCATCTGTTTTGATTTATATTTCTGCTAAAAGAAAAAAAAGTCACAACACAACCTTAAACCTCTTCTATTAAACCTCTTTGGTTTTAATATTGTGATGTAATGTAGTGTTCCTCTGTGCTGACTGTCTTCCTTTCTCCTGTATGTGTGTGTGTGTGTGTGTGTGTGTGTGTGTGTGTGTGTGTGTGTGTGTGTGTGTGTGTGTGTCTGTGTGTGTGTGTGTGCTCCCAGTTCATTACAGCAGGAGTGGTTGCAATCATCTTGGACAAGCAGTGCACCATGAAGATTGTGAGTCTATAAACAACACATACACACACAAATGCAGCTAGACAGTGTGTGTATATCACTGACAGACACATAATGGACAGAGCTTCCAGGTCTGAAAAGGGAAAAACTATACCATGCAGTCTTCTGGAGAGATGAGCCAACTTCACACTTTATTTATGAGCTCAGTAAACAGTTTCCTGATGAGTTTATGATCTCAATCTCTAGTTTCAGTCTTCTTCCATACAGCATGATGTTCATTTAGTAAATGATGGTCCCAGTCAGAGTAAAACAGACCATAAAGCAGGGTATACTTTAGGGCGGGGCTACCTTGTGATTGACAGGTCACTCTCAGTGAGTCCAGCTCAACACACCAAACTCAGATCAACTGTCAAACTAGGCAGTGCTGATCAAATATGAATCAAGATTCTGTTACTTCTGTTATTTCTCTCCTAAAATCGTGTCAGAAACATATTTTAGTGTACTGTTCTATAATACAAGATTGTGTGTGACCAGGCGAGCTGCCATTGTTTCCTCCTACATAAACTGCGCAGCCAATGAGAGCAGATCAACTCACAGTACGTCACGTCTGCTGGCTCCATTTAACCATCATGTTGATGGCCATAAGGCCGAATTTGAGACTTAAAATGAATTATGTGAAACAATCAGGTTCCTCTGGCTCCTCCTAGTGCTCCTAATGGCATTTGTGAGAATCCACCGGATCTGAACGAAAGCAACCAATCAGTACCAATACTACTGTCACACCCCGTTCACATAGGTCGTCCGAACAGCACATAACGGCTGCGTCTCCTACGCGTGTTCAGTTCACACCGAGAGCGGGTCAGCTGCGTGGCAGCTTCAGAGCTACTGCTGACAGCCCTGTGTTTGCCTGTAGACTTTACCCTGTATAATGTTGTCCATGAAAAATTTCAATCATCTTCATTTCATTTACAATATATAGTTTAAACATAAATGTGAAGAGTGGTAACCAAAAAGCATGTGTGGTTTGTTTACCATAGAGAGAGAGAGAGAGAGAGAGAGAGAGAGAGAGAGGGAGACTGAGAGGGAGAGAGAGAGAGAGAGAGAGGGAGATGGGAGATGGGAGACTGGGAGAGAGAGAGAGAGAGAGAGACTGGGAGACGTGCACCGCTTGCTGTAAAAATAGGCGAGACATCAACTCTCTAGTGAAGTGTCACTACATCACGCTAACATCAGCAAACAACCAACATCCACCACAACACAGAGTCCAGCTCAAAGTCAACGCTAACATTACTACAAAGCTTTAAATATATCTTGATAGTGTAGGTTTAGCTAGCTAACGTTAGTTTACTTGCTAACGCAGATGAATTGCTAGCTAGCTAATATAGCAAAATACTGTCAGCTAGCTTCATCCAAACTCCCGGGGCTGATGGAGCTGGCCTGCCGTTTGCAGGTCAGCAGCGGGGCAGCCAATGCCGGATAACGTTATTCAGCAGGGGGCTGGGTTGCAGCTGGCTGGCTAACCTTTGCCTGCTCGTTAACGTTATCGCTTGTAAAATACTATCTGAGTGGATAGGTCAGTTGGCTATGGATAGGTCAGTTGGCTATGGATAGGTCAGTTGGCTATGGATAGCTTGCAAAATTGCTTTACCAGCTAATTGGTTGCGTCGTAGTGATGGCTGGTGGGGTGATTTGGCAAGCTAGTTAGTAGCATGGAGTCAATGGTCCAAATAAAACATAAGAACATTGCAGATAGTAACACTATTCTGAATATGATTGTCATTTACTTTCAGTCTGTCACTTTTGGCCGATGTCATGGATGATGCTCGCTCGCACCTATGCACTGTGTACAGAGTGTGAACAGTTCGCTGACTGCAGTTCACTCAACGGCCACTGGTGTCACAGTGAACAGTCTTCTGAAAGTATAGAACCTTTAAGGTCAAAATCAAATAACTGTTACATAAAACAAAAACTATTATTATTACAATATTTTTAGCTGGAACTGATAATCAGGTATTGTCCATTGGCAACCGGCTCAGATACATGGGAGGCCTCCTCCCTGTGTCTGCAAATATTCAACACATCCAAAGGTCTGTGACAGGACAAAAAAAAAAAAAAAGGGTTAAAGTCCAGCTATGTTACTGCTGTCGTGTTTATATTACTGCAGCTGCTGCTCATATATCTACACTACTACTTCTCTACTCTCTCTAAAAGATGAAATGTTGTGTGTGCTTTTTCAGCTGCAAGTGTGTTTGATAGTGAGCGTGGTGTCCACTGTGCTGTCAGTGGTGGCTGTGATCATCTACTCTGTGGATATAGACCAGAACATTGTAGTACCCTGCACCAACATGCCACTCAACCAATGTCCTGAGAAGCACTACGCCACGGTGGGTACCATCAGCTTCATTTCTCGTCAGTGTTCCTTCTTGTTCCTACAGTGTGCTGTGTGAATGCTGTCTGTGCAGAGTTTGACACTAGAAGGATGTTTTCACATTCATCTGCTGAAAGTGGAAAGTTTCTCTGTGCTCATTGAAAATCAGATTTTAAGGAGCGGGCCTACCAGCAGGATTTGTCAGTCCTGGTCCAGTATGCAACTTGTACATTGTGATCCACGAGTGCACATCCACTGAGAATGGACTTTACAGTGAAGGAGGAGACATCTCGTGTCCAGCAGGAAAACTTGAAACAACATTTGCATATTCAGAGATTCTGGGATTTAATTTTCTGGGATAATGAGGTAGAAGGAGTAGATAACGTTTTAAGTATTTAAATGTGGAAATTAGACAGAATTGCAAAATTCAGTCTAAACAGTCCAAACAGTCAGAGGGCAGAAGGTCAGGGACATACTGGCACTCTGAAATAATGATGACTTTGAAAATAAATTGCTGACTCTCAGCTTTATTTGGCGGATGTGTACACACGTCCTGCAGTTTTAGGGAATAGAAAGCAACTGAACCAGTTAACATTAACTTGGATATATAGTCATATATATTGCCTTGCAAATACTTATGAAGCACGTTTCTGCCTGAAAATGGTTTATGCTACACTGTTTATATATTCCTGTGTTTTTATGTGTTTATGATTGGTTTTGTAAAAGACAGTGTTGGTAGGCATCTCCTGCTATAATGCTACCAAGAAACTCTGTGCCGGGACAAAAAAAAACATTTCTAAGTATAGTGCAGTGAATGTAGTGGACCACTTAAATAAATGCATTGTTGCAAAATAAAACTTCTAATTTACTGAGTTAGATAAACCTTTGAAGTGAATTGTGTTGACATAAATAAAACTAGTTGAAACAACTTAATTTTTATGAGTAGTCTAATCAATTTAATTCTGAACATAATTGCCATAACTCAAACAGACTGATGCGTTTTGTTTTTTTTGCACCAAAACATTCGTTTTTAGTGCGATAACAACATCTATAGTGTATAATACAGCACCAGTATACAGCACAAACTCCTTTAGAATTTTAAAATGCTCAGTATTGCACACTGATAGACTGTGAATGAGCTCATTACAATGACATATACAGTTTATGAGTTATATAATGCATTAAAGCCTAATGCCCATTTGCTCCCATTGGCTCTTCAGGAGAACTCGGACAATAAATGAACATCAGTAACTTTAATAGGATTATAAAGTCATCCAAAAGTGATACCACTCAGCATTAATGCACACAGAAATTGCATGCATTTCTTCAAGATATGATTCTGGAGTTATTCAGTGTTAAATCAGTTTCCTGACTGTGTGAACAGAAGTCACTTGGTATCCTGAGCTGGCTCTGACAGACCTGAGTTGACATCCCCATTTCTAGCTTGTTTCTGTGTCTGTTTTTGCCTTCAGTCTGGCCTGCAGAAGGGAAACACACCATGTTTAATTGAATTGAGGTCAGTTTGAAAAGCTTGGCCAGTCAGTAACATTCCACTGGATGCCACTTAAAAGTCCTGAGTTGCTATGTCTGTATCACAGCCCGCTCCTTTGTCCTAAACCTGGGGGTGTGTGTTATACATTACATCCCATTAATTCAGCTGACACTTTTATCCAAAGCGACTTACAATAAGTGTTGTTTTACAATAGAAGCCATATGTGTTATAAAACACAAAGAATACAGAAAAGGGGGTGGGAGCTCATGTATATACAGTCAGTGGGTGAGACAATGTGAATATAGCTACAGTTAAAAACAGCGCCTTACAATCTCATCACAAAGTAAACGGGTCTTTGAAAGGAATCATGTTCATCATAAATCAGAGATCTTCACTGAGGTCTGTGTGAGGCCTCAATGAGGATTTTGATATCAGTGTTATGCTATAATCTATGTATATGTGGTGAAATTGTAATGCTTTCTGTTTATGTTCTTTTTTCATCATAGCGCTACATTTACCAAGAGGTGGAGCTTCTGCAGCCAGGATGAACAAATAATAAAAATAATAATAATAATACAGTGTCTTTTTAAACTGCCACTTTGTCAGTGTTAAAATGTATAGTCAAATGTGTCTTTCATATTTTAAGATTTAATGTTTAATGCTGATTTTGTGATGGTTTTCGGATGTAGGTTTGTTTTTGTGAACAGATTGTAGCATTCAGAGAAATAAAATCACACAGAAGTGAGGTAGAATTTAAAGAATAAAAGACCACCATCAGTAAAAACAAGTACCAACAATTAAAAAGATAAAACATATTGCAAAACTAACCGCACCAGGGCAAATTCTTTTAAACAATTAAAAGATAAATAATGTAAAGCATAAAATACCCATTGTAATACTAATATAATAGATAAGACATGATGGAAAATTAAACAGTGTGCTAGAATACATAAAAGGCTTTTTTAATAAGATATGTTTTAAGAAGTGATTTTAAAGATGTCACCGATTCAGCAAGTCTTAGACTCTTGGGCAGGAAGTTCGGTCTCCTTTGGTCCGGAGCCTGGACTCAGGAACAGCCAGCAGAGCCCTGGCCGAGGATCTGAGACTGCGCCCTGGCTCATAGGAGTGCAGCAATTCAGCAATGTTGGTGCCGGCTAAACCGTGAAGTGCTTTACAGGTCCAGGTGCAGGTCCATTGCTGTATTCTGTACGCTCTGATGAAGGTCAGACAGGCTGAAAGCTTGCTAAATAAAGGGATATTGATCTAAGTGTGGCAGAAATCCACCCAGCACCATAACCAAGATTTAGCAGGGTAGGTCTTGTCTTCCTGCATATCTATAAATGAAATAAAATGAAACACACTGAATGCCAGTAAATAACATTTATATGCAACTGCTGATAAAACCAATGACTCAATAATCTCTCCTTCCTGATGTCCTTCCAGCTGCTGGCAGGATGAGCCTGCTGTCATACCTCCTGAATGTGTTGTGTGTGTTGTAATGGCAAAAGTCAACATGAGTGCTGTGTGTCTTTTACAACAGAGGCTAAGCAAAGGAGTGAAGTCGTCCCTCCTCCTCTTCACCCTGGCCCAGACGGTCATCTCTGCCATCCTCTGCTTCCTCCTCTTCAGACAGAGAAACGGCTTCGGACAGTACACTGTAAGACTCCGACTCTGTCTCGTAATTAGCAAAGACCTGATTAACCTAATTCTTCTTTTTATTCATATTTTTACATAACCTGGCTTGACCTTAAAGAGTCCCTCTGCTCAACAATGTGTTTTTCTTATGTTTATGTCGTCTAAAATGACCTTGACTTTGTTGACTTAAATGAGATTAATACAATTGTATTATCTTTTCACCGTTATCTTGCTCATTTACAATAGGAATGTGTATCTCGGTCCTTCCATGGTGGATACCCGACTGATCGAGTAAAAATCAAAAAAGTCCCTACTGTAATAACAATATGACCACACGGAAACATCGTAGCAGATATTACATGTTCTGGAAACATTACACATTAAGTTATTTGCCAGCGTGTTGAATACAACCTGAAGTTACCCAATTTGTATCATTTACCACCTAATTTCTCACAGTTAACTGTCAAAGCATGACATGTTCGCCAGACTCTTGTAACATGTTCATTGGTTCAATAGGCAGAGGGATCATTTCCACGTTCACTGCTTTCTCTCTGGGCCTATCAGTGTCCAGTAAACATCCTTCTCTATGGTATCATCCCAGTGTCAGTGCTTGTGTGACAGCATCATTAAATATTGTATCAAAGCTAAATGCGCAGTGTAGCTGAACTGAAGCATAGGGGAATAATAAAGTATATATATCTTCTTTTCTTCTTCTTCTTGTAGCCAGTCAGCTAGTAAAGCTGGTTACTAAAACAAATGAAAGCACTGTCAAGTTAATGGAAGGATAGTCAGCTCTAAGGAGTTGTGCTCAGTCCCTCTTTGCCGTTCAATGGCTAACTTCTCCTCCGTTGTCACTCCTTTCTCACACCACCAAAGCCATAGCAACCTGATGTTAGCTAAACGGTGGAAATCAGGCTACTCGGCCACTAAGGGACTAGCTAACATTGCTAACGTTAACGGTTATCTAGGACACTGAGGTGATTATCAAAATGATAAAAACATAAACAAAAATGTCAGTATTTACCGATTACTGTTTATTTAATCATTTGAACTCATTTGAAAACTCTTTTTACCTCCTTTTTTGGCCTTTTTTAGCACAAATGTCAGTGCACATGAACAGTGCCAGCTGCTGGTTGCCGTCCATGTTTTTTTTGGCACAAGAAAACGCATCAGTTGGGGTTCTTGTAGGATTTTGTCTCCTCTGCTGCCAGAACTCCAGAGTGTTTTCTAGAGTATCTCCTCAGTCGTAAGGTTTATGCTCCTTCCTGTCTGTGAAAGACAAAAAAATCTGTACAAGTCGGTGCAAACAATCTTTCTGTGTTGTTTGTCCGGTCTTTGTAGGTTATAGCTAGTCAAATTTTACATCACAGCAGGCAAGAACACTGTTCAATCCATAGTTTACATTTTTGTTCTTTAGGAAAGGCTATAACATAAATAAACAAACCTTTGTATACAGAGTATCTCTCTTGCACATGGCTTCAACATGTGGAGAAATCCAAAGCTTGACACACAACAGTGGCTAAACTGGGATTGGACAGTCGCTGTTCAGGAGGACAGGTAGCTTTGTGTTTAGATATGTTTCCTGGAACTATGCAAAAAAACTATGTAATATGCTACTAAATATGAGGGAAAATAAAGAAAGTGTTTAATGGGTCCACCTCCAATTAATTAATTTATATTCTCAAGACACACATGCCAAAATGTAATTACTTTTCTACATATATGGAGTATATATAATGATTGAAATTGAGGTTTTCTTTCAAGGAAATTCGAACTTTTCTTATAATTAATACCAAAATGACATACTTTTCTTCTCGGTTACTTCTCAGCAATTATTAGAAAATTACAGACCTCTAAGAAACAGGTCTGTAATGTCAGTTTGATTGCTGAGTCTCATTCCCAGGTTGTCAAATACAGACACTTCAGGACGCCAATGAGACTCAACAATCAACTATCGTCAAGTCTCCAACCTAAAGTGTCTTTATATCTTTCTCAGCTCTGATTGGTTGTTTTCATTAGGGCCCGGTACATTTTTGCAAATGCCATTAGGAGCACTAGGAGGAGCCAGAGGAACCTGATTTTATCACAGATTATCTTTCTACTGTCAGGATATAGTGAAAGTTTAAGAAAATATGACAAAAAATTATTTAATAAAATGTACCTACTGCAGCTTTAAGATACTTAACATTTTGACATGACAAAAAGAGCAAGATGTCCAAAGTTCTGATATGAATGCTGATGCTCTTTCTGTTGTTTTACAGACTCTCACTCAAGCTGCTCAATCAAGCCCCACATCATTCATACCCCCCGACCTGAACTAATCAACCATTGGACCAGTAGTCCCCTAGGTGATGGTGATGGTGGTCACTTTTCATCAGGTGACTAATTACCTGTTGTTCAAATTGAATTTGTCTATCTACTTGTATCAATCACTTATCCACTGTGCTACCTGACCAGCTGAAGAGCATCTGCTTTCAAATTGTCTTCATGAGTGGGATGAAAGAAATAATAACTTTAACTAAACATTGGCGTAACGATTAAAATGTGACACAAATGCATTAAACGAGACAGGGGAAAGATAGAACAAATAGATTCTGATACATGCAGAGACAAAGATATTGTTCTTTCTGGTGGTAGAACTGTCACAAGACACTTCTGTTGCCATGAAATGTGAAAATGAAACCTGACAATGGTGGCTGAGTAGTACAGGAGGGAAGTGGTTGGTATTTTTGTGGCTGCACAGTACACAGTAGCATCCGGAAGATTTTGTCATATAGAAAAAGTAACTGATTGCATAGGGATCCCCCTCCTTTATTACACTAAGCCATAAGACACACATTAAAAACTATGCCCTCTTCTTCTGGTTCCCCGACCGGAGAATTGGCTTCGCCTACTGCTTATCTCGATGAAGCAACTCTCCTAATGATGCCATAGTCAGTAATTCGGCCGTATCAGCTCCATCCACTGATGAAGACAGTGTGATACGGTTAAAAACACCTGGAAAAGCTAGTGGACATAAAGTTAATGTCATGGATTAAATGAGTCAGAGCCGAGCTCAGTCCACTCTGTGGATTTGTGAAGATGAATGGATAAATCAGGATGTCCTCTTGTACAAAGCTGATACGGCCTTAGACTTAAGACTAACTGCTACCAGTGGCCCCCTCTAAATATCGACTTAAATGAGAGGAATACTTATACAATCAGTTATTTTGTGTTGTCTGTTTGTACTTAATCTTGGCCAGAGTTGGATGGATCACCAGTGGCACTGCACTGCACTGGCACTAGTAGTGATGCATGGACTGAACCTACTTATATTATGTGTGTAACATAACTTAAGTTACTTTATATATGTTCGCACTTATTAGAACCCAAGCTACAAATTTTTCTAAACCAAGTAGTTCTCAAACCTAACCAAACTGTGACCATTTAAACTCATAAAATGTGAAATTTTTCTCAACAAGCATTATTTTCAAAGTGTAACTGGATATTGCATATTAATGGCTTCTAACTTGACTGCAGAGCCCTGTACATGGAAAACACATAGGGGTACCTACAGCCTCATAGTTTGAAGTATTGGGTCACTGACAAAGCTGCTGTATTTGACAAGTTGGGAGTAGAACGTGTTAGCGGATCACAGTTATATCTGTTGATAGCGGATGGGTTTGCGGCTGGGTGAAGAGAGACGATGTGTGCAGTTATGCATGACACACAGCAGAGTCTTCATTGATTATTTAAATCTGCCGACGCCTGTCTGTCCTGTTAAGTTTAGTACTACAGTTTAGTTTTGACGATTAAATGTTGCAGTGACATTGCTGCATGCATTAAAACATTCAAAATGACTGAAAGCAGCCTTTCTAATCATTTAAGTGAATTGTTAAAGAAAACACTGGTACATCAATATAAGAAATCACCTGTCACGTTGCTTGACATCTTTTAAAAGGCAATATAGGCTACAGGGATCGGTAGAGGTGGAGAGAATCATTTGTTTTGGTGGCCGATGGGTGGATGGTTTATACACACATGCAGATTTGGATGACATCAGATCCATGTATCACTACAGCCTAGTTCAGCTGAAGAAGAAACCTCACTTCACTCCTTGTACCCACACAGACACAGAGTCCTCTAACTTCTCCTGTCTCTTGATTTGAAAATGTTTCTGTCTCTCAGTTTTGGAAGAGATGTGTGTATGGTACAACATACATTACTATGTGCACTGTTATACTTTGTTGACACTGTTATAAAAGACGTGTTCATCCATTTTGTACTAACTCTTTGACATAGTTTTGTGTATTTTATACAAATAAAATTGTATGTACATAAATATGAATGCAACCTGTGGTCCAGTAAGATTCATTTTGTCATTGTTTGTGAGTGTGCGGCAGAGGAAGCATGGGGCTGTAAAGCCAGCTGAAGGGGTGGGCTGGTGGGATAGAAAAAAGGCCTTCAATTGCATGCCTTTCACATGCAAGCAAAATAAAAACAGAACAAACACACTGCTGTGGTTTACACACAGCTCTGCTTTATTAATTCTAGCAAAGCCACATATGGAACAAATGGAAACATCTAGATTTCCATCAGGATGCCAGATGTTAGTCATGTCAGCTGTGCATAAAATGCTGTTTTTATAAGACAGTTGAGTTAAAAACATCAACAACTAGTGTGTGTTTCAGGCGGTACAGAGTTCACAAACACTTTTTTGTACTTTTGCCTGTGTTAAGTAGTTTCCCTTACACTATGGGGGTATCAGGCAGTCAAAGATATTGTTTTGGGTCAGTGCACTTTGCGGCCAATGAATTCTTGTTTTGAAATAAGCCAATGAATTCTTGTTTTGAAATAAGACACAATGGGGAAACAAGCTTGACACAATGTCAATTACCAATCTAGCTGGATTTTTTATTAAACCAATACCCATTTAGGGAGTAAGTTACTGCAGAAAAACAACATGTTAGAACTAGAATATTTGGTGAGACCACTGACCAAGTCCAAGACAGTAGAAAAAGTAAAAGTACTGCAGCAATGGTTTGGGAATGTAGTCTGGAAGGCAGATCATAGTGATCATTGGAAAATCTGCAAGTATTCTTGGGCAGATTGGAGCAAATAATTCAAGGACTGGCTGAATTTGCATCACAGCAATTCTTGTGATTGCAACATTACAAATTCCTGCTAGGACCGGGTGTAAGCAACTGTTCCCAAACAAGATAAGTCAAGTTATTGGATGGATTTCCATGTTTTGTACATTCATGTTCCCCAGAGACGCCCGCCTGAAGGCAAACTCCACATCGTTAGCCCCCCCTGTGGGGCTCTAAGAATAGTATGTTTCTATTTGCTCTCTCTCTGTCTGTCTCTCTGTTCTGGCCTTGACCTCCTCTTCCTGCCTGTGCACAGAGCTTTCTTTCTTTCTTTGTCTTTCTTTTGCTGAGGAGGAAGTTGGTGTGTCTGCAAGAGTGGCCCAGTACTGTTCTGTTGATCAGCCTGCTGGGAAAAAAAGAGTTGAGTTTTATTCTCAACCGTATCACATGAAGCAGTGTGTAGTGGCTGTTTTACCATGCTCCAAGTTCCAAGGCCAGTCTGCAGTGTGTCTTGTTTTGACTGGTGTTCAACTGAATTCAATTCAAACCCAACGTACTCACAATTCAAAGGCGCAACTTGAATGGTTCACTTGAATATGAATTACAACATCACACCAAGTGATCCAAACCTACATCTAAGTTACACATTCTCATCAAACAGTCAAAAACCTCAGACTTCTCTGCACCTTATTAGCACCACCATGTCCATACTTTTAAAAACTGCATTATGGCGTTATCACCTTTCGTCACCTGCAAAATTGTATTCTAACAATTGGGTCTGACCACAGACACATAGGCTGTGTGCCAGAGCTGCAGCTGATGGATGGTTACACAGTCTGTGTATCTACAGTCCATGTTTCAAATCTAAAGCCTCGTTTTAATGTTTTTAGGATAGGATTTATATTATATACTGCCTATAATATTTTGACACATGGCACTCTTAACTGAAACCGTGTTCATTGTGAAGTGAGCATTTTTCATTGTGTGTGTCAGTGGAACATTGTTGAGTAAAATGCAAACATTGCTGCAACTCAGCAAATAGACTCCAGAGAAACACAAACAGGGAACTTTGTACTAAACAGGCTGTAACTTTGGGAGATATCCACTTGAACTGTTTACTCAGATGGCTGAAGGGGACCTATTATGCTAATTTAAAGCTCTAAATTCTTATTCTGGGACTCCACTAAAGTAGCTATACATGATTCAGCATTTATAAAAATCCTTATTTATCTTATACATGCCTTTTATGCAGCCCCTCACTTCATCCTCTGTCTGAAACAAGCTGTTTTAGCTCTAGTCTCTTTAAGGGCCCCCTCCTTTCTTCTGATTGGCCAACTTGTAGAAGCACACCAAGGGGCAGCGGCTAGCCGGCACAGCACTAAAACTAAGTGTGGAGATCTGGCTTTGTGATGCTCTGCAGCAATCAGTGCTTATGAGCACCGCCCAATCCACTTGCTGATGTGCTGGACAGCTACAGCAACTTAGCTTGGAAAATAGCCGTATGGGACACTGAATTTGATTAATTGTGTATCAGACCACAAATGAGACAAGAATTATGTTGGTAAAAGGACAGACACCACTGGAGCAAAGTGTTTCTGGGGGCTGGGCCTCTGTCAGCTAATAGGACGGCTAGCTACACGTCTAACTAAACTAAGGCACTATAGGCTATATGATAAAAACTAAGGGAAAGCATAATAGGTCTCCTTTAACTTCAGCTCAACTTGCCACAGAATGCTGTGGATTTCTTACTGTAGTTGTGTCACTCCACAGCCAGCAGGGAGAGGATGCTTGCAGACAAATGGGACCTCCATGTTGCTGCAGTGTCACTATGCACTGTCTTACTGACAATATTAACACATTTCCACAATCCCTGTTTTTGTTATTTACTCACCTACAACTGACTGAAACTCCAGACTAACACTGAGTCTCTGGGATTCTTTGGAATCATGCTGATTAATCAGATTTATGAAAGGGGCCAATGAATGAGGGGCTGGACGTGGAAAATACACACTGCAAGAGGCAAGCACTGGATTGTCCAATGTTGCCACCTATTGGATCTTTCTTAAACCTCATCCTGTCACATGTAGAACAGAGTAAACCTTTGGGTTCGTTTGTGTCAGATATAGTTTGTGGTAAAGAACTGTTGACTCTTGAGGCACTCAAGAGGGTAGTGATTTAAAAATCCTCTCATATCTCACTGCCGTTTACTCATAGCTGTCAAAAAACATACCTAGGCGTTTCAGGGGAAGGCAACCATTTTGCCCCTGATGAAGTCCTGAATGGCTGAAACACGTAGGCGTGTTTTTTAACTGTTACTATGAGTAAATAGCAGCGAGATATTTAAGGCTTTTTTAATTACTACCCTCTTGAGTGCCTCAGATTTTTTCAACAGTTCTAACATAGTAGGATGCCCTAAATTAATAGTTTGTGGTAATTTGGTTTAATACAAATGTATTCAGGAATATGGGCTATATAAGGACAATATCAACCAAATGTCTTCTAACTAGACTTCCAGGTCCCTTCTATGAGACAAGGCTTCATAATTTGGTAACAATGTAGGACTCTCGTTTTGGGGAATAGGCAGTGGTGTAGCGGTGCATGCGTGTTTAAAAATAAAAAATTAATTAAAACCATTTACCATACTTTCAACAATCCTTAATGGAACCCATAGTCTTACGAAGAACCCTTATAGAGCCCTTTTTTCAAAACATGGTTTGTCAGAAACAAATGGTTCTGGGGAGAACCTCAGCCCTTGAGGAAGAACCCTTATTTCTAAGAGAGTGTGTGTGTGAGAAGTTGATATACTCTACCCCAAATTTTTTTAACATGGCCCGTCCAGCAAAGGACAGACACCCTCTGTTAGTAAACAGTGACCTGTAAGACTATTTTTAATTTAGCTCACCAAAAACTGCCCCAGTTGTGTTTTCACATTGTCTCTTAACTTCAGGCAGTAAGGAGTGAAATTAACATTAGACAGCAGAGGTGACAGTTTTACAGTGTGGCAATGGGAGAATGGCAATGCCAACATACTCATATTTTTTACCATGTTCAGGGTCTTATGTCAGCATGCTAACATTTGTTAATTATCACACCATGTACAGCTGAGGCTGGTAGGAATTTCATCCGGTCTGCAGGTATTTGGTCATCAACCAAAGTATTGGACACATTAAAATGTTAATGTTAGATGGCGCTAGATGCCAGAGCAGACAGGCTTGTTATTGAAGGATGGGGAGAGTCTCTGTATTGGGAACAGGCCTGCACAAGTGAGGTATGGGTTGGCAAGAGTTTCACTTTCTGTTTCTTGTACTTTCTGCAACAATACTTTGTAGCAACTTTGAACAAACCTGATCGTGGTTATTTTAAAATTTGGATGGAGGGTGAACAACACTGTAAAATCAGTACAGTTAATTTATCTCAAAAAAATTACATCAAAATCTTTAAGCAACGCAAACTTAATTTAAATTTTAGTTTAAAAAAAAGTTATTTTAATGACATAACTTAATTTTGTAGGTTCAATAAACATTCTTGATTATGGACTTTTTACTTTTTGTTTTCACAGTACAAATACAAATTACAAAAATTAAGTCAGTGTCACTTACTAAAGCTACTTGATCAAAAAAAAATTTTTAACTTACAAAATTAAGTTAGTTGTATGTGTTTCATGTGATCAGTTTTAACAATTGCTTGAGTTAAATTAACTTAACTGGTTTTACAGTGAAGAAGAAGAAAATCAACCACGACACTAGTATAGCTGTTACAGTCTGCGTTACAGTAGATATCCTACTGTTCTCGGGCCCTTAGTCCCGGCTAAGGCTCGAAGGAACACTTTGGGAAATGATAGGAGTGAACAGATTCATTTGTTAACCACACTGATTGGCAAAGCAATCTACGCCTCTCCGTGTGTCGCATCGCAGCTCACAGTAAGGAGTTCTAGGATAAGACTGTTTTAATTGGTGTCATGTGAGAGATAAAGGGCTCCTGATATCAGCACACTAACACTGATAGATGATGAATGAATACTGAATACCAACCAGCGATCTGATGAATGAATGAATAAAACTGACCACAGTTCTTCTTCAGGAACTAATGAGATCCTCTACCCACCTGTATATACTGTATTTCCTTGAGCAACACACAAACTGCAAACTGCTTCCAGTGGTTGTTCTGGACAACATGAATACAAGACCTTGATTCTTGACTTCCAGCACACGAATGAAGCCCTACTGTTAATGGATTAAAGCTCTACTCTGCAACATTTCCTCATTAAACAGTCTATAAACTCTAGCTCTATGTTCTGTATGTAGTTGAGTTTTGTCCTTACATTATCCCAAATGTTTCCATTTGTGCCTGTCAATGGCGTTATATCCCCTTTGTGCCTGCGTCAGCGTTGTGGTTGTCTGCCAGAAGCTGTCATACATTGACTGTTTATCCAGTCTGAAGCCACATTGTTACCATCCACTGTTTAGATCTTGGTGCTTTTTAACTCTAGATTTGAACCGGATGAAGGATTTTAGTCATTGGACGTCTGGATCTTAAGTTATCAGAGAAACAAGCAGAGCTAGCAGCTCGGCTCGCAGCCTCACAGACTTTTATTCATTCTAGCATGCTGTTTAACTGCCAACATGTCTTACCTGTTTCATTATTACTATTTATGTTTATTTTTGGGGGTTTACTTCATTTTATTTCTGTATTATTTATAGTCCCTGATTTATTTGCCTCAGTCCTGAGATGCTAATCCTGGTTCAAAGATGGAAAACACTCTGTCACTTTGTTTGTTTGAAAAGTGCTGTATAAATAAAGTTTATCATTACACTATATGATTATATCATGTTACCTTGACGATGACAAAACGTGTTATGTAGCCTACAGTTGTGGATTTGGGACTTTTTATTTTATGTTCAAAAATATGATGGTGCCTTATATTTACTTGTTCAAATATATTTCATGAGTTTGCTATAATATTCTTTTTTTTAATTAAATAACCTTTATGACGACTTACTGAGGAATTATTAACCTATTGTCCTTGTTGCTAGCACAGCACTCTGATGGGAATGAAAAGAAAACTTAAAAGCACTGTAAGTGATCTTTTTGTTATAATAAATATTAAATATTAAATAGCTCTACATTCTGACAGTCATCACAGTGTTTACTCAGTAATATGTCTCCCAATCCCTCCTGTAGTAAACAGAACATAAATGTTCTGGTATCCTGTTTTCATGTCAGGCACCCCCACAATGGATGCACATTAGATCATGGACCCCCAATCTGAGGGATTTTGTCTTGCCAAAGTAGTCATTTTTTAGGTTTGATGATAATAAAGTCTTCATAGTCAATCATGATCAAATTAGAATCACTATACCTTTAACTACCATCCCTATTTCTTTTCTTACTGTACTTTCAAAAATGTGATGTAAAGTATTAAATTCCTCTTTTTGCTGGGGACCCCCTAGAAACCTACTCAAGCCCCCAGTTTGAAAACTACTGGCCTGGTAGTGGTTCCCAACTTTTTTACTGACGGGAGCCCTTTTCTATCATTGAGTTAACTGTCAACCCCTTTTATCAGATCAGAAATACTTTATTGATTCTTTTTTTTCCCCAGCCGCTCAAGGTGCTCACACAACATTAAAGAATAGAAATAATAATTACAATATCTAACAATATAAAAAAATTTATAAATCTGTATATACATATGAAATAAAAATAAAAATAGTAAAAATATAATAGTCCATTATAACACAGTATATGACAATATATAGAGATAGAAGTAAGTGTATGCTACAGTATATGACCAACAGAAGTGTAATGAAAAAATATTAGTGAGTACTGATCATTTTAATAATAAAAGACTGCAGTATTAGTAACAGGGTAAGTCAGAATATTGTACATTCATCCGAGTATTGCACATTAACCAGAGAACATTACAAGTACCAGTTTATTGATTGATTTATTTATGGCCACAGGCAGGAATGACTTCCTGTGGCACTCTGTGGTGCATCTCGGCGGAATGAGTCTTGCACTGAAAGTCCTCCTGTGTTTGACCAGTTCATTGTGGAGTGGGTGGGAGACATTGCCCAAGATGGTTTGAAGCTTGGACAGCGTCCTCCTCTCTGACACTGCTGTAAAGAGTCCAGCTCCACTCCCACAGCATCACTGGCCTTGTGGATCAGTTTATTGAGTCTGTTAGCGTCCGCTACCCTCAACCTGCTCCCCCATTAGACAACAGCAAACAGGATAGCACTGGCCACCACAGACTCATAGAACATCCTCAGCATGGTCCGGCAGATGTTGAAGGACCTCCGCCACCTCAGAAAATAGAGACGGCTTTGGCCCTTCCTGTAGAGGTAGCCCTGTCCAGTTTATTGTCCATCTATTTGTAGTTCTCCACCATGTCTACACTACCCTGCATGGAAACAGTCAGTGGAGCCTCAGATCTAAAATTGACTCCTTAGTCTTTGTCAGGTTGAGCTACAGATGGTTCTGCACCATGTGGTTACCAAGTGATCTCATGTTGTCCATGATGGGAGACTGATATCTCCTCTTCTTCAAACCCCATTGTTTCTCTCCAGCTTCAGCACGATCAGCTGATCCCTGGAGTAAACAAAGTGAAACACAGGCCCTAGTGAGGCTTGAACTCACGACCCCTGGTTTACAAGACCAGTGCTCTCACCACTGAGCTATAGAGCCACATACAATGAGAACTTCTTACTATATTCAACACATAACAATAACAGTAGCAAACAAGCAGTAAATTGTACAATGAACAGTGAACACAGATAGATAGATAGATAGATAGATAGATAGATAGATAGATAGATAGATAGATACTTTATTTATCCCGAGGGAAATTCAAGTATCCAGTAGCATACAAAATACAAAACATACATTAGACCAAAATTAAAATCCCTAACCTTAAGAATAGAATTAAATATAAAATAGAAGATAAAATATAAAGTATTTTATATATATATAATATATAAAATTAACAGTAGCTACAATAAACGGTGCAAATAGTAAACAGTGTAAATGAAAGTAAGTAAAACAGTGCAAATGGATGTGCAAAATACAGATAGAAATTGTCCATTGTCTATTATCTGTTGTCCTCCCTGCCTTTACTGAGAGCTGTTGTACAGTCTGATGGGGGATGAAAGAGTTTTTGAGTCTGTTGGTGGAGCTGGACTGGGACAGCAGTCTGCCACTGAACACACTCCTCTGCCTGGTGAAGGTGTTGTGCAGAGGGTGGTGGCTTGTTTTTGCGTCCATATTTGCTGTCCAGTCCAGCTTGTCGTCCAGCTGCAGCCCCAGATATTTATAGGTCCTGACCACCTCCACATCGACCCCCACCCACCCACCTGGACACAGGTTGGAGATGTGGTTTCTTCCTTCTGAAGTCCACCACCATCTCCTTGGTCTTGGAGGTGTTCAGCTGCAGATGGTTGGACCCGCAACACCTCACGAAGTCCTCGACCAGGCTCCTGTGCTCCCCCTCCCGTCCATCCTTGATACAGCCAACTATCGCAGTGTCGTCCGAGTATTTCTGCATGTGGCAGAGCCCGGAGTTATACTGGAAGTCAGATGTGTACAAGGTGAAGAGGACGGGAGAGAGCACGGTCCCCTGTGGTGCTCCGGTGCTGCTGACCACAGTGTCTGACGTGCAGCCCTTCAGTCTGACGTACTGTGGTCTCTCTGTGAGGTAGTCCGTAATCCAGGTCACCAGGAGTGGGTCCACCCTGATCTCTGTCGGCTTGTCTCTCAGCAGGAGCGGCCGGATGGTGTTGAAGGCGCTGGAGAAATCAAAAAACGCGATTCTCACAGCGCCGCTCTCCTTGTCCAGGTGAGTGTGGGCCCTATGGAGCAGATAGAGGATGGCATCCTCCACGCCCACCTTCTGCTGGTATCCAAATGACTGCAGGTGTGTGAAATATGTGTGTTTTGGAGGAATTTAATTATTTATTTAGATTAGTTTTCCTGATGATTCTAGTATTGTGTATTTTTTCATTTTTAACAATTATACATGATCGGTATCTTTTTTTTGACAATTTCAATGTTTTCTTCTCCCTGACACTTGGCCACGAGCTCTTTGCCTGTCCTGCTTTATCCATGCAGGATGAGGCTGTTTAGCAGAGTCTCTGTGAATATCACTTGTGTTCAGGCCTTCCAAGTTTAGATCTTTTAACCTTTAAAATAACGGATTGAATTGGTGAGATATTGGCCTACTGTATATATTTTTAAAGTTTCCTTACCCTCCTTAAACCTTTCCCAGCAGCATCGAACTGCCAGTCAATGTAACTTCTATGATTTTGAGACCAGAACCTATTTTATACAGTCTATGTTGAGAAGAAAGGATGTTCAATATGGAAGCCCATTTCCAATCTGACGGGAGATACTTTCTCAAAATAAGGACTTTGAAACACTAAGTCAAAATATTAAGAATGTTATTATTTTGAGTAATAAGTTTCTCATTTGAATGACTTACAGAATCATAACATTGGCATACATAGGCTTCCGTAGGTACAGTAACTTCCCTGAGTGAAGAGAGTAAAGTGGTTGTGGACACGTGTTGCACACTGAGCCCAGTGGGTGGCACACTCTTCTTTCCATTCCAACTACAAAGTTTTTCCACATCCTGTGCAGTCTCCTCCCGTTCGCTCCTTCCCTTCAACTTCTCCCTGCCCGTCGTTAATGTCTGTGTTCTGCTGATACCTTATCGTTATCACAGCCTGCACGCTTTCACTATGTCCACCCCTCTGAAACAAAGAGCTCTCGGCGGGCTGTGTGTGCTCGGCGCGTTGTTGCTGTCGGTGTCGGGGGAGAAAGTGTACGAGAGTCGCTCCGGGATGATCCACGAGCTCCGGACGGCGCTGGCTGAGCTGGCCGGGGAGGGAAGGACCTACCTGGGCAGGCTGGCCGGGGAGCAGACGGTGCTGTCGGTACAGAAGGTGAGAGGGAGAAATGGAGTTTGAAGTAGTGATGGGGTTCCGGCTCTTTTTAGAGAACCGGTTCCTTTGGCTCGGCTCACTAAAAAGAGCCGGCTCTTTCGGCTCTCAAGTGGCTCCTCAGATTCTTTTGTTGCTTAAATTAATTTATTACCAAATTATGTGTAAAATGAATAACTAATGTAAATGCATACATTATATCAAAAGTTTATCATTTATATGGATTTATTAATATACTCTACATGGAACAGAGTGCTACAAAAATAAATTATAAAACACAACAACAAAGACCATCTCAGACAAAAAGCTGCTCGATATGAGATTTTCATTTCATTTTTTAGTATATGAGCTTTGCATAAATGTTTACGTTGTAAAATATCCTTTCATACTATTTATGGGTAATTAGACATGTAGCTCTGAGCTTTATTGCCTAACATGAACATTGAATGAGGGCAGGTTGACCTCAGAGTGAGTGTGTGTGTGTGTGTGTGTGTGTGTCAGTGGAAAGTGAGGAGTATGCAGAGTGAAGGGTGTGAACATACTGTGGGTAGAGTAGGGAAAGCAGGCTGATTTCACTGTGTCAACCCTTCCTTATGTAACCTTCAGCACTCACTGTCCTTACACCGCTCTCTCCTCCAGGCTTTCTCTCAGGTTCTGGGCGTTGTGGCAGGAAGTTTGGCTGGGGGTCTGAACGTGCTCCTGCAGTATGTTTCACACTTCCTGCAGGCTGCTGGAATCCAAGGTAAACCTCACACACACACACACACACACACACACACACACACACACACCAAAGACTATACTGTCAATCACCATCATTTACATCATTGGTCTTGGTGTTCATTGACTCACTGTAGTCAGCCATGGAAGCTCTGCTAGTTGTTCCCTGCACTCATATCGGAATAAAACATTGAGTGTTTGGCCACAAGTGCTCATTATTCTTAGTCATTGGTTGAGTTGCTGTTTCTTGTTTATTTCTCACTGTTTGTGCAGTAAATGCAGCAAATTGCAGAGCAAATGCAAACGTGTTTCATAAGTACGTGCAGGGGTGCTTTCCAGAGGGGGGGGCCTGGGGCGGCCCCCCGGGAAATCTCATTGGTCACTGCTTTATCCTTACCTCTTCTACTGCGCACAGTGTTTCAGAGGCTGTAGTAGGCTTCGTATTAAAGCTAGAGTGAAGAGACTGGTATCATATGAAACCTAAATGACTTAACGCATCTGTCAGTACTAGCCATGTTAGCGTGTTGGGAGGGGTGGCTAATTAATGCTCCAAAGTGGGGCAAACTTTTGGCGATGGAAAGATAGCACGGCCATTTTCAAAGGGATCCCTCTGAACTCAGACCTCAAGATACCTGAATGAAAATGGGTTCTATGGGTACCCGCAAGTCGCCCCCATTATAACATTTTTGTGCAGTTTTCTCCACGTGGTATATATCTGTTATTTTCGTCTAGTGTATTTGAATATTTCTGCAGACTGGGGTCCATAAACAGTGTTGGAATTACATAAATTGGGAGTGACTGGGAAGCTGAGACACATACTACGCCTGCATAAGTTAGTGCCCCTCTTGTGCCACTCCAGTCAAAAGGGCATGGCCCTGGGTATATGGCGAACTTTAAATACACACAGTAAATCATCACAAATTTACTACAGAGACATTGTATATTTGAAAAGGTAAAAAAAAAATCTAGGGATGGAGAAGATCAAATGACTATTTAAATATTTACAAGTTCAAACTAAGTGTTTACATATGTAGGTTAAGCTATAGGAACACACTAATCCAGAGATCCGGGATGAAAGAGCGAGAGAGGTCAAATGTTCCACACCTACTGACTGCCTGCACACAGCCCGAGAGGAGAGGTAGAGACCCCAGTGCTGCTGGCAGAAGAGCCGTGCACTGCGATTACTCTGAGCAGCAGGCATGGGGATGAATTACAATATATTTGAATTTATTTCTCACCTTTTCTCAGAGGGTCTAAATTTGTTGTGAGTCGCTCTTTAGAAATAAAGTCTGAAAAGTTGCTAAATCTAGTGCGTAAGTCGGCAAGTTTGCAACTTGCAGGCTGCCTGGTTGATTGTGTGCATCGTAGCATAGAGCTAATGCCCCCTCACAGTTTTCATATTTGAACACCCAACAAGTAAAAGGATTTATATTATATGTGTGTATGTATGTATGTATGTATGTATATATATATATATATATATATATATATATACATAAACGAGACATCCTTGATTTCGAGCACTGAAGAAAACGCCCAAATACACATTTAGGTGTTATTTTACTGCACATTGTCTGTTTGCGTCTGTAGATTTCACCAAAAGTTAGCATTAGATAATGCATCGTTTGCATATTAAACCTAATATTTTATATTAATTTCACAATTAAATAAAAATGTCTTTGTAATCCTCAGTGAATATTCTTGCTGTCCTTGTGTTCCTGTTTTCCACAGGTGGCATTCCCATCAACAAGGTGACCCCAGAGGGCCTGATATTTGTTGTCCAGTGGGTTCTCGTGGCTCTCGTTAGCTACTGGCTGCTCTCCCTCGCCTTCCGATTGGTTGCCTCCACTGTGAGGCGGACCCTGTGGCTGCTGAAGGTGAGCGTGGCTTTGGCCTGTTTCGGACTCATCCTGAGCGACCACAGCGTGGACACGGAAACCATGGCCATCCGATTGGCCGTCCTGGTGTGCGTCTGTGTCCTGTTCGGCGTCGGGACTTTGAGGAGCCAGCCTTCTAGTGCGGCTGATAAAACCGCTCACCTGGAGGAGCAAGTGAGGATCCTGGAGAGAAGGCTGAGGGAGATGGAGAGGTGGAGGAGGACAGAGGAGTGAATTGAGACAAGTGTTTGTCTGTCGTCTTCCCATACCTGGCACCACACGAGGGAGCGCTGCTGTCCTTCGGGGCCTCTGGAACTTCAAGGAATGTTTTTACAGTTTTGAGGTTTTGTACGTGTTCCAAAAGTTATTATTACTCATGATTTTTTCATTTTTAATTAATATTATTACTTCCTGGAGGCAGTGATTTGTTTTTTTTTTACTGCTTCTCCTTTTAAAATGGAAATTTGATCCTGCGTGTTGTGCTGCAGTGGGAAGGTGCAGAGGATGAAACGTTTTCCGTCCAGCGCTCTAACCGTCCTTTAACCACATTAAAGAAACATTTAGAGAAATACTTATATTTGCTTTCTTTTCTGGAGTTTTTCGCTGAGTTACTTGCTGGAACATTTTTGAAGTGGTGCATCCGTCTGCCCAGCACTTCTGTGCAGCATCTCCAGCCAGCGCGGGCTCCCTGAGCGGGTTGATGAGCAGCAGTGTAGAACTCCCTCTGAAACCACAAATGTTTTATTATCTCATCTTTAATATATCCGAGGTGCTGTTTGGAGTACTTTTTAAACTTTTGATAAAGCCAGGCTATCTGTTTCCACAGTTTATGTTAAGCTAGCCTAACCTATCCTGACTGCAGCTCTCTGTACATGATGCACTGCCAGGATATTAATCGTCTTACTCTTGGAAAGAAAGCAAATTAGTGTATTTTGCGAATTCTTTGAAAATGTCAAAATTCTCTTAAAGCTACAGTAAGTAATTTTTCTACATACTTCTTTTAAATATGACAAAAAGAAATAGTAATAATCCATTATTAACCAATAATCAATCCACTGCTATTTCTCATAATGGTTGAAATGTCTCAGGACCGGCTGGTGGGTTACAGCTCGTGTTATTCAGCCTCAACCTGATAAGGTTGGATCCGTGCTCTGATTGTGTGTGGTTCTGTTGAAAAGGTTTTGATACCATAATGCTTTAAAGCCCTTCTGAGAAAAACAGCATGATTCACTTTGATTCAGTGTGATCCAACCAGTGTTTTGACAGATTCCGATTCTTCACTCATCATTTTCAACCATCCTAAATGCTGTTTAGTGCCTTAGATGTCGCTCATTTACCAGTAGTAAGTTGATTTGAGCTCAGAGATTAGCAGGTCATGGTCTGCTGGGATGTATTATCATACTGCTGTAGTGTGTACTGTATGTGTGTACCTTGTTATACACATCACTGTTAAACTCTTGTTATACAGGTACTTTTGGAGATAAATGTGCAGCTATAAATGCCCATAATAAAAACCAAATATAACATTTCACAGGTGTTGAGATGTGATCCTGATGAGAAAAGATTGTGTTGACTCGGCGTACCGAAACACTGGCCCATTCTCAGGTCGTTGAACACACACGTTACCGGGCCCCTCAGCTCAAGGTACCCTGTAGTGTCTGTATGAGAGGCACGTTAACCTCATGTTAAAAAGACACGAGCTGGCTAACTAATGTGACGCTGACATTGAACATGATTCAGATAGTTCAGCTGTCACTAGGTGTGAGACAAATCTGTCAGACCAGTTGTCCACAGGAAGAAGAAAACCATGACTGACCATGACTAAATTGATGCAATAGCGCAAAGTCATTACCAGTGGTGTGATTTTGTGGCTTACAACGTGTCAGCTGACAGCGCCTGCTAAATTGAAACTGCTGACCAAGATAAGGTCAGACTGGATTCTTCTGGATGGAGAACATAAAAAAATTTAAGTTTTTTCACTATATCCTGACAGTAGTACATGAGACAGATAATCTGTGAAATAAATCTGTATTTGACACTCTGTGAATCTTTCTATCTTTCTCTGCTCTGATTGGCTGTTTTTGTTCAGGCCCTGTGGATTCTTCATTAGGAGCACTAGGAGGAACCAGAGGAACCTGATTGTTTCACAGATTATCTGTCTCATGTTCTACTGTCAGGATATAGGGAAAGTTTCAGTGAATATGACAAAACAATATTTTTATAAAAATGAGCTATTGCAGCTTTAAGTGTATCTGCTGGTAAACAATGTTGAAATGGGCCAGAAGAACAGTAGAGTGTTTTTGAAGTTTATTAACAGTAACATATATGGTTTCCAGCTTGCACATTTAAGGCTCGTGTATACTCGCCGTTCCCGCCCTGTCGTGAAAAATGACGTCAAAATGATGTAGCTCTCACTGGCACGCCAGGATTTTGGCCCAGACGCTCACCACTCTTTTTTTCAGCTGAGTGTGCCAAAGCGGAAACAGGAAGATGGACGATCTGTACGATCCTTCAGTGAAGGAACACAGAGATGCCCAGAGGTGCCAGATTTCTCGCCATCAATGTTGGAAAAGAGAAAATTTGGAAGAACCTCAAAAACAAACTTTTTCTTCTTCTTCTAGTGCCTAGAAGTAGCAAAGTCGGTAGCCTCTCCTCAGTAGCGACACCTGTTAAAGAGAAGACTGCATCTAGTGTCATGACCACCATGCGCAAATATAAATAGTTACGGCGCTCCTGTGACGTCACGTTGTCGCGCGACAGGTCGGCAACGGTGAGCATACCGAGTGCTTTACTCTCCAACTCTCTCCTGTAAAAGAATTTAATGGTGAATTTCTTGAGCAGCCAACAACAGCTCCAGAACTTCAGAACTTTCCTTTATTTATGCACTGACACAGAGTTGCACATACGTGTACAATATAAATAGGTATAAAATGAGAGGTAGGAAACCAATTTCAGCGTTCATTGGCATAAAATCCAGAGGTGGATGTGGAGCCAACTCCATCGGCACCCGTAACTGTCAACTACAACTACACTTTGTGAATATCATTGGTTATATTTACACAAAAACAGTACAAATCAGTTCATCTCAGCATTGCTACATGCGAGGAAAATCAGATCTAGGACACAAAGGTACAAAAAACAAGACCTTACTTTGCTGTTCATGTGACAATCTACCCAAAGACACAAATGTTGAAGAGAAAAGAGACCAAAGTCAACTTCACATTGAGAGATGAAAAGGCACCTAAAATGGAATCCTCCCTTTAGTGGAGCACACTGCTTATTTTGTTGTGAACTGCAGACAAGAGTGCAGTCCAGAACTTGTTTGTTCCAGTTTAACAGGGTGTCAGTGGGGTCTTAAATTGTCTTTATTATTTGATTAATGAAGTGAATGTACAAAGTTATAACGTTTTCAGTCGTGCTTTTAAATGTGTTTTGGGGAAAGAATTTAATCATATATCATATCCTTTATACTTTTTTTGCGAAAAAGGTGCATTCATTGCAAGCATGATGGTCTTAAAATCAAACCTGTTAAAACCCGCAGAAACTCTGGTTTAAGGTGTCACGCCGAAGACACTTTTTTTTTTTTTTTTATGGTCAGTGTACTTTGTGGCCAACTGATTTTTAATTTGAAATGAGAAAACCAAAATTAGAAAATGGGCATTTTTTATTTTCGTTTTGAAAATAAAAAACAATCCGTTTTGTTCCACACATTTCTAAATGTTAGTCTGGAAATTGCTTGTTTCATAATTTTGGTTTTCTCATTTCGAAACAAAAATCTGTAATCTCACCCATTATCATATCCAAGAAATAAAGACAACCCAGCCGACCTACGACTGACAGGCCTACATTTGGTCTGCATACCCTGTGGAGACAGCGTGGTAGAGCGGGTTGTCCACTGATCACAAGGTTGCCAGTTTGATCACAAGGTTGCCAGTTTGATCACAAGCTCTTTCTTGTGTCCTTGGGCAAGACACTGAACCCCAAAATGCTCCCAATTGTTAGACCAGCACGGTAGCTCACTGCCATGTGTGAGTGAATGGGTAATTGGGAGGCAAATTGGAAAGGCCATTTACACTGCAGTATCAAGGTTCACTGTATTTACTCACCTCGACAAACAAAATAAAACACTAAAATATGGTAAATAAAATCAGACTTTGGCAGAGAAAGGCATTGTGATGATATTTACAGTTTAATGAGGCCTCTTAGTGGTTTTAATGTGAATGTTCTAGATAAGTGGGAAGGTTTCTGACCTCCATCGTCGATAAAAGGACGGACACGGGAACACTCATCAGTCTACTGTTGGTCAAACTGTGCATTCACTTTTGTAATTATATACAACGGCATCGACCAGTCGGGTAAATCAATTCACAAGTGATAATTAAACAATAATAAAAGAGGATGACAGATCAAAAAGGGGGTGGTGGCCAAACTACATTTCCCTGATCTAGGGTGATAACTGACAAACATGCAGTTGCTACACTGTTTAGTGAATGCTGCTACTTCCTGCTCCACTGTGATGATATACGGGTGGTGTCAGAGGCTCTGATTGGATAATGAGTGATATGTTTTTTTGCTGCAATAGTAAGGAGGCACCCTGAAAGGCAGTCAAAGTGTTTTTTCTGTTAGCATTCCTACGGTTTAGTGGGTTACAAGAGCCTTCACACCAAATCCAGATCATCTGAATGGAATTATCACTAACGGACGAGGGGTCGGGGGGGTTGTGGTGAGTTCAGTTCATCTCATACCATCAAACCCAGACTGTCCCGACAGTGTTGACCTGTGAAGAGGCACAGAATCCAAAAATGAGGTAGCTAGCTCATAAGAAAATCTTATCATGATTAGAGTTCTGATGATTTGACACCCAAACCTGACTCAAGACCGGGGGCCAAGACTGGGTTACCAACCAGGTCTAAGCAGGCAACCGAGACCCCAAAAGCCCAAGGATGACAATTTGTCAGTTGGATTGTGATTTGTCAGTAGCCGTTCACACCGAGATGTGTCTAGAACAGTGGTTGCCAAGATCGCAGGGCTGCGCACAACTTTGTCTGCTGAGGTTGTGAGGTTACCAAAATTATTATTTACAAAAATTAAATTTATAAAATCCCAATAACACACCCAATTGGATAATCAAAACTCTGTATAATCCAAATCAAAACATATTTTTGGTCCACATTTAAATTCATTAAGCTATTTATTACCTATTTAGTGCCTGTATGCGAGTAGGGGTTGGGGTTGGGGGGGCCTGACTTGTCTTGGACACAGGCAAGGGGGGCTTCAAGGAAAAAAGGTTGGGAACCACTGATCTAGACAATAGAGAGAGCCCAACGGCAAGAGCTCAAATTTTTTTTAACGGTTGCGCTTGCGGCCCTGCTCCACAATCTGTGCCCAACGCACTTTACCAAGGTGTTTGGTAAAGGCTGTCGGACCGGCCCCTTAGTTGCGAATATGCACCGCTGAAGCACCACTTCAGCTGATATACTAAAGGCCATGAGGCAGGTTCTGTGTTACCCGGGGCCTATACTCATACGGGGGCCAAAAGACGTATAAAAAAACTGTGAGACATTTGTGAAGATTCTCAGTCATCCAGATCTATTTGGTGTACACCGATCAGCAACACTGTGAGCACTGACAGTGAATAACAGTGATTATCTTGTTATCATGGCTCCTGTCAGTGGGGGGATCTGAGCGACTTTGACAAGGGCCACATTGTGATGACTAGATGACTGGGTCAGAGCATCTCCAAACCTGCAGCTCTTGTGGGGTGTTCCTGTCTGCAGAGGTCAGTATCTATCAAAAGTGGTCCAAGGAAGGAAAAGAACCGGAGACAGGGTCATGGGGGGCCAAGGCTCATTGATGCAGGTGGGGAGTGAAGGCTGGCCCGTGTGGTCCGATCCAACAGACGAGCTACTGTAGCTCAAACTGCTGAAACAGTTAATGCTGGTTCTGATAGAAAGAGGTCAGAACACACAGTGCAGAGCAGTCTGTTGGTATGGGACCACCAGGGTGCCCAGGTGGTCACAATGTTATGGCTGATCGGTGTATCTACAATGCTACTGGACAGCAAACCTGGGACCTAGTAGTATTCCAGGATAGGAACACTGGTTGTTGTCTGGGGCTCCAGGCCAAATATAATTACTGTAAGATAACCCTCAACTAGTTTTTGCTGTCTGGGTCTATACTTTACCAACAACAAAAAGCCACACAGGACTGATGCTATTTCACTGTATGTGGCAGTTTGGGTACAAAGCTTGACAACTTTGTCTGTGACTGGCTTCTTCACAGCGGCATCATGCATGTTCCAATGCTGTCTCACAGTATGTCAGAGGAGTATGGCAGTATCTACACTGTAGTGGGGTTTTTAGTTTGTTTTTTCATTGGGAATTGTAAGAGGCTCACCATCAGACCTGAGGTTGCTCAAGGCCGATTTATTAGCTCCAGCTGACACAGTTTCTAAATATCGTATATATATATACGTAGTAAATATATGTTTTGCAAAGCTGTATGACTCTCCTTCAGGAAATTATGGAGACAACGGAAGAAATAATAAGGGTACAGAGGTCAAAAGTAACAGGAGCTGTATGAATATACCTCAAGGCTGAAACATTTCTCATCTAAGACATCTGTTAGCTACTACTTACTATTGAGTGATTTTCAGTCAATCATTTTCCCAGTGAACTGCTTTGCTTCCTTTTGTTGCATCTATACTGACTGGTAAACCTAAAGTTTTTGTCTTGATTCCTTTGTTTTCCTGGCACTTTAAATTGGGAGTCAGCTTTCGCTAATCGTAAATAGAAACAAGGAATCAAAGAAAAAGAAAAACAGGGCTGGAATCAGTGAAAATGTAGATAGAAACAACAATTATGTGCTAATGACATCTCTTAAACAATTGGTAAACTGAACCTAGCCCTGTATTTAAGCTATTTTATCTCTGTTCCAGTTGCTAACACGTAAAAACCTTTTTTTGTCTCCTCGCCTCTGGAAATCTCCACTAACTCCTACATGCTGACTGCAAAAACACAGCTAAATTTAATACCAGAGAATTGATCATTTGGCCTAAAACACATCATCAAGGCAAGGAGGCACAGAATAAAATCTAATGTCCACATGTTGTTCATCGTATCCACCTGCGCCATTACGCGTCCCTGATTTAAATGCTTGGAGAGAGGAATGCAAAATGGCCACAGAGGGGCACTGTAACATCAAAGTGAGGAAGGACCGGTGAGGAAGCTGCTGCTGCAGTAGTTGGTGTCCCTACAGGAAGTTGGTGGTGGATTTGTCGACCTGGAACTTGTAGGCATCGTCAGAGGAGGGGGCCACAGGAGCTACAGGGGCCACAGGAGAGTATGCAGCTTCAGCCTAGAGGGTGAAAACAGAGTTTGTCAACACATTCATATGAAAACATGTGCATGCCCACAGCATTCATGCACTAGGATTGGCCAGGCACCCATGCTCATCAGGTGACATCCAGAAAGCTTTTTAAAAAAAGCTTTATATGTAGTATTAATAGTGCCAACGCCAGAAAGAAAGTAGTGGTGGATGACAATCGCCATGTGGGTCATTTCAGGACCATAGTGTGTGTTTGTGTGTGTGTGTGTGTGTGTGTGTGTGTGTGTGTGTGTGTGTGTGTGTGTGTTGTGTGTATCTGTGTGTATTCTGTGTGTACATACCTGTGGTGTGGCAGTCAACAGGGGGTCAGCAGGTGAGGGATACATATTCTCCATCTTGAGCTCCTCTTTACCAGGTTCACTAGCTGCTGCTGGTGGAGGAGAGCTATACATGACTGGACCTGGAGCATAGCCCTACCCACACACACACACACACACACCACAAATGAAACAATTAACAACAATTAAAATAACTTTCTGTCATATTCACTGAAACCTTCACTATATCCTGACAGTAGTACATGAGACAGATAATCTGTGATACAATCAGGTTCCTCTGACTCCTCCTAGTGCTCCTAATGGTATTTGCAAGAATCCACCGGGTCTGAACAAAAACAACCAATCAGAGCTGAGAAAGACAGTTGATTCAGCAAATATGAAAAGCTAAATATAAAAGCTATTTTATAAAGGTTACCTACTGCAGCTTTAATAAAAGGCTAGTTTGAGTATGTGTCAGAACTTGAGGTACTACTGGGGTCAGTCTGATTTTTTTCAGATAGTTTTCAAGTCAGCCCTTGATTTAAATTAGCTGAAAGGTCAATGGCCAAATCCTAAATTGACCTGAGGTACATCCCAAGTCTCTAATTTGTCATTTCCTCGATCCTCACTTAAACCAGAAGTTGTTCCGGTCCGCCATCTTGCACCGAGTAGCGAGGAGTGATCTCTGAGGAGCTATGAGCGAGGATACACAAGAGAGAAAGTGTTTTGCCGATCGGCGCGCCCCTTTATTGGATATCAGTTATTATGGAGGGACTAAGATGCAAGGAAATGATACAGGATAAAAGAAAAGTGAGGGAAACATGAATGCAATTAAGCAACATGAGACGCCCCCCAGCATTCCTGTCAGACTAAGTGTCATACCATTGGAGCTCCAGGTCCAGGAGGGTACTGGCCTGGTGGTGGACCGTTCCATTGTGAAGGCAGGGTGGGGGGGTTCATAGCTGGACCGACAGGAGGATAGCCAGGGTTCTGGGGTGGGTAGGCTGGGTTATAACCCTGGAGAGGGAGACATTTAGGGAGGGAGAGTTAGATCAGTAAATATTGAGGGAGGAAGAAGGCAAACAGGAAATCTGGGGAGTCAAAGAAAACATATTAGGCTGGATCAGGTTTATCTATATGTAAAGATCCCCTTCACACATTTTTTAACATAGTCTGCTTGGAATAATAATGTGTGTCTGAATTTCTGCATTTAAGTATATGTTAATGTTGTTCATTTCAAGTTTTAGACATCCTTCTAGATTCACACTCTGCACAGACAGCATTCAAACAGCACACTGTAGGGACAAGAAGAAACACTAAGTTCTGACTGGAGGGGGGCTTTAAAAAAGCAGGCTTGTGGTGTGATACTAACTGGGGAGGGTGGGGGGCCGTTCCACTGTCCTGGGCCTGTCATCGGAGGAGGGTGGAATGAAGGACCCTATGTAGGAACACATACATAGAGGCATATACACAAGTGGAAAAATCCATTAAATACAGTGGTAAGTTGCATAATGACTGTGTAAAAAGATGTTACAGTGTAATAAATGTGTGTTATGTACTGTCTTACATACCATGCTAGGGTCAGGGCCATGGTAGTACACCTGCAAACAAAACACATTCAGTGAGTAAACAGCAGTTCAATACCATATTTTGAGACAGTGATATTAACATATACATTAATGTGTTGGTATTTTCTCACCGCTCCTGGTTGTCCAGGAGTGCTGTAGGGAGGAGCAGGTCCAACAGGACCACCGGGAGGAGGATGGACTGCTTGTGGGGTAGTCTGGAGAGAGAGAGAGAGAGAGAGAGAGAGAGAGAGAGAGAGAGAGAGTGAGTGAGAGTGTGTGTGTGTGTGTGTGAGAGAGTGAGAGAGCGAGTGAGTGAGAGAGTGTGTGTGTGTGTGAGATAGAGTGAGTGAGATAGCGAGAGATAGAGTGAGTTAGTGAGTGAGAGAGCGAGAGAGAGAGTGAGTGAGATAGCGAGAGAGAGAGTGAGTGAGTGAGTGAGAGAGAGTGAGTGTGTGTGTGAGAGAGTGAGAGAAAGAGTGAATGAGAGAGTGAGAGAGAGAGTGAGTGAGAGAGTGAGAGAGTGAGAGAGGGAGTGAGAGAGCGAGATAGAGAGAGAGTGAGAGAGAGAGAGCGACAGAGAGAGCACACTTCTCTTTAGCAGTTGTAAAACTACCAAATATTTAGATTATTGTGAAAAAACAATAAACTATTAATTGCAAAAATAAAACTCTTTTCCAGCCAGTTTCAGACACAGAGTCTCTATTACACACAGAGTGATGGAAACATGAAACCCGGGTGGACACACTAAGTTTGGCCCTCTTTTCCAGGTCTGATGAACGCTGGAGTTCCCGTCATTGGTGCGTAAACAGCCAGGAACATGATTTACTGTTAGTTACAATCTATGGGAACAACAGGGAGAGAGAGCTTCTACTGATTCAGCGGTGTTAAGTTTGAAAGAGAGACTGAAGTAAAGATATAAAACAGTAGCCATTGTAACAAAGGTCCCTGGCCTCTCTGCTGCTGCTGTTGGTGATGTCTAATCCAACGTCTGTGCATGGCTGTCTCAATCTTCTTGGTGTGGAACAACAGCAGAGAGGATCAGCGATACTGAATATAATTTTGAAATGTGTTTCAGCATTGTGTATATGCAATTAGATCGAGTACGCAATACAATAATGAAATGGCTTTGTGAGCCCCTGTACCTTACCCGCATTGCTGTAAACATTGCCTGAATTCCCTGTAGGATAGAATTCTACATGTTACTTTTCTTTGTTTGGATATTGGCATTATATATCAGCCATGGGCAGCTGTGCTTTTTTTAAATATCAGACCTTTAATATTATTTTGACCTTTAAACCAAAAGCCTCATTGTCTCCTGGCAATGGGGTTTTTTAATTTTTTGTATTTTTATTTGTAAGTGGTTCTACCTGCATTTAAAAACCTGTATGCGTGCTAAGCTTGGGGTAAAAAGGGTATAAGTCTACAGTGTGTAAACATGGTATGTTATTCTTACCATAATTCAGTGCTTATTGCTTCATGGTTAATACCTATATTGATTTTGGGGTAAAAGTAATTAATAAAGTACACAGATGCCAAAGAAGCAAGACAACGTGTTTATAAGGACAACTGGCTCATGTAAAAGGATTATTTTGTCAATGTAGAATATTTACAATAATAGAATAGGCACTGATATTTGGGGTTTAGGTGCTGCTCTCACCACTCCCCACAAAAAGAACCAGCACCTCACCAGGGGAAGGTGGCTGCTGGATGGAGGAGCAGAATTTTAATTTCAGGGAAAACATTTAAATTTAAAACATGTTTAAGGTTCCCACAGGGTTCACATACCTATTAAAAGAAGAGGTGGAAAGTATGTGTTTGTTGCACGTACAATAACAAATTATCACCACAACAACAACAAATATAAATTTGATCATTATTATCAGGCTGCATGTACGTGTGACCGTCTGCAGCGTTCCCAAAATAGACTTGATGCCCAAAGTTCACTCTAAGTGGTCTAAACAGCTCTTAACTGACAAAAATGTGCATTCTTCCATTCCACTCTGCATCTGGTAAACCCGCTTTGAATTGTCAATTTATTCTACCAACAGTGGAGTTTCAAATAAAAGATGCACAGGTTTACGTAGTGAGTCAGGGGCTAAATATAATTAAAATGATCCAGGACAACATATTTTATTTCCAAGTGATTCCATGACTGGAAGGTTTCTAAATTTCTAGGTTTTCTAGGATGTGTGGGGAACCTGATTTAATTAGCCCCAATATGTGCCTTTACACTTTGACCAAATGCCAAATTATGGGACATTCCCTGAAAGAGATGTTCACAATAGAGATGTACATTATTTATGTAACAAGTTTGTAAAAAAAGCATCTCCAGATGGAGTCGTACTCGTCTGTGCCTTCTGTTAGTACCTGTAGCGTTGCAGCAGTGTTGGCTTTCTTCTTGAAAATCTTCTTCCGACAACAGCAACAAATCCCAGCCGGGATGCCCAGCAGTAAGAGGAGAGCAATGAGAGGGTTTCCCTGGGACTCATGATGGTCTGCATTGGAAATATAAGTGGGGAGGGGGGTCACAGGTGAGTATGGTTGTATATTTAATAGTGCTGGGGTCTAATTGCCAAAGACAGAACGTAATCTCGGAACCCGCTGGCTACCATCTGATCATGACCATTTAGCTTTTTAAAAAAAGTATCTGCATTCATATACAGATATCTGTTTTAAATTAGCCAAAATGTGTCTTTTTCATCACTGTAGCATATGAAGTTGCTAACTGGACTCCAGAGGAAGTCTTGGCTCACTGGCTACACCATAAGGATGGGACGATATACAATATCATTGCATATAGTATTGGGATAAAAAGCACTTATTATAGCCAAGATTATCGTGACATAAAATGTTCATATGGTCCCATGCCTACTACACTAGAAGCCCCAAAACAGTGGCCATTGCCCCAGGAAGCTAAATTGTTATCAGAGGATAGCCAGTGGGTTCCGAGATTGCTCCCTATCTGACCCTCTGATCAGGACACCAATTCTGGTGACTTTCTCACTTTTGTAGGTTATAACCATGTCCGGAGTCTCTTCAAATTCTCCTAGCACTTTTTCCTTTTCAAACTTACTGACATGTTTCATATTTAATTAACTATTCATTCTCATCTCAGCTGATGGTATGGTCCCTGCTCATGAACTGCATGTTCATGGCTGGTTTAGTTGTGTAACGGATTTACATTGTCATCAATGCTAATTGTATAAAAATTATTTTCAGTAAGTTGCTCAAAATAACATTTGATACATGGAGCATTTGGTTTTATCAAACAAGTGAGTTCATGTTGTTGTGTTTAATTTGCTTTTTCCCTGAGAGTGATCATTTTGCCGTCAGCCCTGCACACTATACAGGTACTTCTGAGTAAAACTTTCTCTATGTAACCTGCAGTTAAATATCAGCAAGTGCAAAATCCACGAGCCTCCATGAGGCTGCCGGTATTGAGAGCTGGGGTTGTTGACATATCAGCAACAGTTAAGTGAATATGGACAGTAGAAACTGGTTTAGCAAGAAAATCACATAAAAAGCAGAAAATCACATAAAAAGTTCAGGCAGCTGCGGAAATATTAATGAATAATGAACACTGTTCAGCCTTAAAATAAGGTTAGCTTTCTCTGGAAGCAGGTCTGGAGTGTTGGAGTAAAATAGGTGGGAGGAAGAGGTTGTTAAAAATAGCTCTAGTTAAAATACCCCCTATTAGTGCACACACACGTCAACTATCAATCAACATGGGTCCCTTCACCTTGGAGGGCGCTATTAATGGCACTGCTGCTGTGTAAGGACTGAGACTGCGGATTATCTTGTTATATTGATGAACTGATCCATTCTTGTACTTCTTTATTGCAATTAAATCATTATCAACTGCAAGCAAACTCCAACTGTGCAGTCCTGTGAGAGCTATTTCATTACTCTGACAGCCTCACATCGTTAATTAGAGATGAGCTTAAGAGGCAGATATAGGACTATTCAAGCCTTTTTGTTAGCAGGAAGCCGGTCTCATTCTCTACAGATCAGAGTCTGACAAGACAGCTGGAGGAGGCAGTGAAGGCACATTCACAGCTGATCAGAACCAGGGTTTGGAATTTGACAGCTTGTTCTGTGCTTCTAAACCTGTTAATGCTCAGTGTCAAATTTACTGGCTGCAGGCAGGGTTGGAAGATTGGCTAAATCAGTCATTTTTTGGGGGCAATTTTTGTGATTTTTATGATTTTTATGTTCTTCCCAGGGTTCCCACTCTGTTTAGGAAATGTTTTTCCAAGACCTTTCCAGGACATTTTCCAAGACAGCACTTGTTCACAAATGGTTAGATATTTTACTGGTAGGTCAAATATTTACACATTTAGTTTTATTCTTCCATTTTTAATGATACACTGTATTAACCACAACAACAAGAAATTCTTCCACTGGGCTTTCATCGGAATTCTAAATGCGGCTCTGGAAAAAATACACTAGACCCTAAAAAGGTCGCTCTGTGTCTGGTAAACCTGCTTTGTGCGATCTGAGTTAGTAAATAAAATTGAAATAAATTTCCCAGGACAACATTAATTATTTCCACGATATTTGGGCATATCAATTTCCAGGTATTCCAGGTTTTCCAGGACACATGGGAACCCTGTCTTCAACCAAAGAATGAGTGAGAGTTGCTCTCATTCAGCAAGCTAAGATGGTAACGTCAGCAAACAGAGGATGGCAATGGCAGACAGAGGTGTGTGTAGAGCCTATAATCTATAATTATCGCATATAATTAAAGGTTTATTTCAACCAAACCAGAGCTGGTGTTTGAACAGTGGAGAGACTAACCAAGACGGTCTTGGGGAGTTTTATTTAGTGTTGGTTGAGTCTGAATGACTCGAATGAAAAACTAGGTTAGGTAATGATGGACAAACTAACAAGAGACAGCCTCCCTCCAAAGCCACTCCTCCAACATACATGAACACGTAGTGCCTGAGAGGAGCACAGTGCATCACTGTCATCGCTAACAGTATCCAGTTGTAGTATGCAGAGGTAAGTAGACTGGCTGGTCAGCCAACCATTGAAATGACTGACAGGACTTACTGCACGCCTGTGACCGCTACAGACACCAGATTTGTTTTTTTATTTGAGGATTTAATGGGGAAAGAACTTCAGCCAATATAACAAAACCCTAGCTTTAACAACGCAATTTAGCTGGTCTTAGTTCAGTGAAAGAGAGAAACTTGAATTCTGAAGGCGAACGGTGGCATTTTGCTGTTTAATAAGAAAAACAGGTGTAATAATAATCTGTAGCAAACTTGGCACTAAGACGTTTCCCAGCTGAAACTACGTGTAAATATATCAGCAACTGCTTGGATTTTAACAACCCTAACTGCAATCACACAATTGTGGACCCCAGGAAGACTAGTGACCACTTGGTGGAACCTAATTTGGGCTCCAAACGAATAATAAAGATCGAGGGACCCACCTGTCAAGTCCATCCTAGTAATAGACACCACCCGGTCCCTGCGATCTTTCAGGGTGTAACGTCCCTCATCAGTGTAGTTCACATTCTTGATTGAGATTGTCGTGGAGTGGATCTCAATCCGGTCCAAGTAATCCGGAAAGCTGTGGGGCACCCAAGTACCATGTTGCACCTGAGGGAGACAAAACTCCTGTCAGAACATCACTCAGGATCGCCAATCACATTTCCATCTGAATCACATTCAGGGAATTTCTTACGAGCTTTTAAAATGTTACAAAATTGGCATCCATGGAGGTGTCTATATACACCTGAAAAGCTTTCAAGAAGTAAAAAAAAGCCTCTTTGCTTACTCTGGCACATTTACAGCAATGTGTGTTAATGTTATTGAAGCTTAAGTAGGTAACTTTAATAAAAAAAACATTTTATCGTATTTGCTGAAACAAACAACAAACAAAGCTGAGAAAGATAGTTGTTTGTTGAGTCTCATTCCCAGACCGTCAAATCAACGCTGGAAATGAGACTCAACAATCAACTATCTTCAAACCACCAGCCCAAACGTCTTTCCATCTTTCTGAGCTCTGATTGGTTGTTTTCATTCAGACCCAGTGGATTCTTGTAAATACCATCAGGATCACTAGGAGGAGCCAGGGGAACCTGATTGTTTCACAGATTATCTGTCTCATATACTACTGTCAGGATAAAGTGAAAGTTATCAGCGTCAGAAAAAATTGATAAAAATTAAATAAAACAAATAAAATCCACTTCCTGTAGGCAAGAAATATTCCCCATCCCACTCAGCTAAAAATGTATCTGCATTCATATACGGATAAGTTTTAGATTAGCCGAAATGTGTCTTTTTCATCACTGTAGCATATGAAGTTGCTAACTGGACTCCAGAGGAAGTCTTGGCTCACTGGCTACACCATAAGGATGGGACGATATACAATATCATAGCATATAGTATTGGGATAAAAAGCACTTATCATAGCCAAGATTATCGTGACATAAAATGTTCATATGGTCCCATGCCTACTACACTAGAAGCCCCAAAACAGTGGCCATTGCCCCAGGAAGCTAAATTGTTATCAGAGGATAGCCAGTGGGTTCCGAGATTGCTCCCTATCTGACCCTCTGATCAGGACACCAATTCTGGTGACTTTCTCACTTTTGTAGGTTATAACCATGTCCGGAGTCTCTTCAAATTCTCCTAGCACTTTTTCCTTTTCAAACTTACTGACATGTTTCATATTTAATTAACTATTCATTCTCATCTCAGCTGATGGTATGGTCCCTGCTCATGAACTGCATGTTCATGGCTGGTTTAGTTGTGTAACGGATTTACATTGTCATCAATGCTAATTGTATAAAAATTATTTTCAGTAAGTTGCTCAAAATAACATTTGATACATGGAGCATTTGGTTTTATCAAACAAGTGAGTTCATGTTGTTGTGTTTAATTTGCTTTTTCCCTGAGAGTGATCATTTTGCCGTCAGCCCTGCACACTATACAGGTACTTCTGAGTAAAACTTTCTCTATGTAACCTGCAGTTAAATATCAGCAAGTGCAAAATCCATCCTCCATGAGGCTCCATAAGTAGAGCTAAGGCTGTTCTACTTAGATATACACCGATCAGCTATAACATTGTGACCACCTGGGCACCCTTGTGGTCCCATACCAACAGACTGCTCTGCACTGTGTGTTCTGACCTCTTTCTATCAGAACCAGCATTAACTGTTTCAGTAGTTTGAGCTACAGTAGCTCGTCTGTTGGATCGGACCACACGGGCCAGCCTTCACTCCCCACCTAAATCACTGAGCCTTGGCCCCCCATGACCATGTCTCTGGTTCTTTTCCTTCCTTGGAGCACTTTTGATAGATACTGACCTCTGCAGACAGGAACACCCCACAAGAGCTGCAGGTTTGGAGATGCTCTGACCCAGTCATCTAGCCATCACAATGTGGCCCTTGTCAAAGTCGCTCAGATCCTCACAGTGCCCATTTTTCCTGCTTCTAACACATCAACTCTGAGGACAAAATGTTCACTTGCTGCCTGATATACGCCACCCCCCCCCACAGGTGCCATGATAACCAGATAATCAGTGTTATTATGGCTGATCGGTGTACACAAATACCTAAATAACATTTGTTATATTCCAGTGCACAGAAACATGCGGGTTATGAAACAAAAGTAACCTCATACTTCTGCACCTTTATCAATCCATCCATAAATACTGCATCCCTCCATCCATCCTTCTTACCAGTGTAAAGTTGCCAGCCTCCCCGGAGAATGAGAGGAATGAGTCAGCCACGTCAATGCCCTCCAGTGAGATGTGGAGACTCTCTCCTGCTACACACTTCACATAGTTATGTCTGGCTAGAATAGAAAGAATAAGAAAACGGAGAGATGGAGAGAGATAGAAATATGGAGTATTTGTGCCTCCATCCAAGGACACATTGCACAGAATAAGGTTTTTGTAAGCACATAAATTATATTTTGCACAGATTATCCGTTACTAGATAAGTAGGGAAGCACAGGGAGAATGGGAAATAGGCACATCATAACCACACTAAGAAATAAATAGCTTTGTTTCATACTTACTTTTATGAACCTTTATTCAATTCTGTGTATGTTCGTCTGTTCCTTAATAGCTCGCAACATTTCTATTTAGGTAGCTAGCTAGGCTCTAGCCCGGTTCACACTGCCTGCTTCTGCCTGCTGCTGAACATTTTTCTGGAAGTGAGCCACACCGTTTTCCCGCAACATATACACCTTTTGCCACAGTTTCAATGTCTATATATGTAGAATATGTTACAGACATGGAAAACATATAAATGTATTATATAAACTCAACAACTTTATCTATTTGAGATCATGTTTCTGTGGACAGAATCCAGTCACATGTTAACGAAGCTTTTATTGTACTGTGTTTGTCAAAGGCTAACTCAGTATAGAAAGACAGGGCTGGCAGCATCAGCTCTGCAGCAGAAACACTCTCTGTGTGGATACCACAGATAGCGAGCTGCAGCAGTTCAGCTGCCACACACTGCTCAGGCAGGCAGTATGAACAGGGTGTGTGACTTCCTGCCCGGCTTCATCGAGACTAGGCACTTGAAAGCAGAGTGGAGCGGAGAGCCTCTTCTGGGACTAGGGCTTGGTAGTATGGATGTTGTATGGTTTCAACAGAACCAAATCACAACCCAGATGTCAGTGTCTCATTTTGGTACCAGAGCTGTCTGTTGTAATAGTTGCTCTCTGCAGATGTTACAGGCAAAAGAGGCATCACCGAATGTGCCTTTGCTAGTTAACCTTACAGCAACTCTCTCACTATACGGCTCTGGCAGCAGGTAGTCTACCGCTAGCTAGTAGCCACTTTAAACTCAAGTGCCAAGCTAATTGCTGCAATCAGCCTCAGCAGCCGTCGTTTTTGTGCCTAGAACGTAATGCCGGTGGAATAAAGTCCAAAAAAACACAATACCGTCTCGCACACTCAGTATTGATGCACAAATATGACACTGTGACATTGTTGCTACATTGTGGTAACAATAAACAGAGACAAAGAAAGAAGGAGAGAGAGATAGAGAAGGTTTGATTTAAAAAAAAGTCTGAAAACCCTCAACCCTCGCTTACTGTATGTTAACATCACTGTGGATTAGTGGGCATCTGAGTGAAAATCCATTTGGGACAAGGGATATCTGAGATCATATGGTTGTCAGCAGGCTCTGTCATTTGAGGAGCCATGAAAGAGCCTCGTTAACACAAACTATACCCCGGGTGGGTCAGTTCACACAACTTCTAAAAAAAACAGCACTTTTTCTCACTGACTGTTTGTGGTATCTAACCTTGCAGATTCACGTCACTGAATTATATCTCAATTCTACATTTCCAAAAAAAAAAAAAAATAATTCTGTTAATCACTTTTTTATTATGAGGGTCCTCAGATACTACGTGAAAAATGTTGTGCGAATCGGACAAAGCGCATGGGGGGACCACGGAAACGTAGTTTATGGACATTTCGTGCTCTAGCAGAGAAAAATTATAGGCGGAAGTGGGCGTGGCCTATATGGGGAGATTCAGCTCCACTCACCGAACGTGTGGATAGTTTTTCTAATGTGCGACAAACTATGCAGAAGTTATTAGCCTAAACGCATTTTTTTATGATAGTAGCGCCACCTAGTGGCCAACCCGAAAGCGATGCATAGAATATCAAATTTTTCACCAGGCCTGACCATTTTGCCAAATAAAATTTACTTTTCATATATGTTCAGGGGGGCAAAAACGCAACCAAAGGCGCTAAAAATAATAGGTAAGAATAATAAGAAACATAGCAAATACAATAGGGACCTTGCCGGTCGCTGGCTCGGTCCCTAATCATTATATTAGCAACAGTTGTTAAGTAGAAGAAAATCAAACAAAAGAACCAGAAGTTATTAGCAACCATGGCTAACTAATACAACCCTCGGCTAACTCACGTATGACGGCCACTTTGACAGTGGAGATCTCTTTATTCCAGAAGTCTTTCTGAGTGTACGTCCCCTGGTCCTCATAGGTCACCTTAAATAAACCCACAAACAGACCACATAAATGCACAATGAAGACTTAGAGTCCGTGGCCATATTAAAAGCAGGTGTTTCGATTTCAACAGCTCATGGAGGACTAAGGTTTGCCTCTAAGGTTTAGGACAGACTCTAAACAAATGACTCTGGTTACCTTGTCAATGTACCAGCGTCGGTCGCTGCCAGTGCCAGACACCCTGCCTCTGTGTCCCCTGTAGGGGACAGAACAACAGACACATGCAAATACATAAACTGCAACAACACTGGAAGCAACAAAGAGCTTCCCTCCATGCTGTGCAGAACTGACCTGTGAAAGCCTTTCTCCCAGTACACCATGACCTGGCTGGGATAATCAGCTGGGATGAACTCCAGCTTTTCAGCACTTTTGGGCAGGTAGATCTTCAGCTGGCGACCGTGGGCCAAACGCTCATGGAGATCATGGACAGTATAGGACTCTGAGTCAAAGGCAGGAGGAGAGAGAAAGTGAGGCAGAATGTCTGCTACTAACATCATTTTGAAAAACAAATCTGGGGAAATGAAAGATGCAGATGGTCATTTTTATTAAAATTATTTTTTTGCTGAAACTTTCCCTATATCCTGACAGTAGTAAATGAGACAGATAATCTGTGAAACAATCAGGTTCCTCTAGCTCCTCCTAGTGCTCCTTATGGTATTTACAAGAGTCCACCGGAACTGAACAGAAACAGCCATACATACGGCATACTTTTTCATGATATTAATAATGATGAGTATTTATGCCAGGGGCAATTTCTCACACCACCTCAGTTTAACTCAGATAAACAGGGTTCAAAGAAGTGGTCCATTAAATCATAGCAGAAGCAATGGCTGACTTCGTGTAAAGAACATTTCCATACAAATTAAGCTGACCTTTATTCTGATTTTGTAACTCTGCACAATGCAGCAGACACTTGTGTGTAGGTGTAAAACTGGACACAACTCTAAAGAATGTACATGCCTCACATTCCTACCATCACTGTCCCTGTTTGTGAGTGCAGATCAGTAGTTCAGAACCCCCCCCAATTAAATCTTAGATCACCTTCAAGTAATCTGTCACATTTAATATACTGTTAATGTACTTTTTGCTGTTGTCGAGCACAAATCCACTAAACAGAGATGTTAGACTGCCTTTCAAAGACAGCAATATGAAACAATACTCACCCACTCCGAGGGCAGCGGCCAGTAGAATCACAGCGCTCCACATCATCTGCACACAAGACACAGATGAGATTTCATGAATCACTAGTCTATTAAATCCACTATGTGATCACTGTAGACAGATGCTCAAAGTACTGTATGTAAAGAGTGTGTCTGAACAATCAGATCAACAACCACTAGCCAGTTCACCATGAAATGTATTAACACCTTGCTCCACATAAGGTGGACCCCTCCCATTTGCAGTGTTTCCTCTATGTTGATTTTGGAGCGGCGGCCTGCCGCTGTTAAATTTCTGCCACCACGGTATCAGAAATGGGGCAGACACACAATGTAGTCCCGGTTGCCTTTTAAATGATCCTGCCGACATAATGCACCCCCGTTGGCTGCCGCTCACAGTGCAATTTAACAACAAGTAGAACTATTCAAAGGTTATTGGGGCTGTCCAGTTTAACTCCACATACTGTTGTGTTGATGGAGCTTATTGTCAAAACGTTCGCTTTCTTCCAAGTCGACTATTAAACTAACAGCTCCACCAAAAACATCACCGCGGTGGGTCTGTTTTAATTGGACAACGTTCAACTTGTCAGTTCTCAGCTCAACGTCCTGATATCAAACATCTGGAAACATTAAAACGGTAAATATATTTGTTGGGCCTGCCCCAACTGCTAAAAAAAATCCTGGAGGAAACACTGCATTTGGTTATCTGACAGCAAACCAACCAACAAACCTTACCTGTATGGGTAAGGGCCTAATAAGCACAAAGCCATCAGTAGGTTTGTTTTATCAATTTTGTACAGTGGTTGCAACAAACATTTTAACATTCAATTCATCATCAAGTTTCACACTGTATGACAGTGTCATCTACATATTCAGGGTTCCCACATATTTCTGCTGCATACTCTCCCGTGAATTGACTACAGTTTATTACAGCTTTCCTTTAACGGTAACATTACTTTGAGCACATCACATGAGTAACACTTCCAAATAATTTTCTATTAGCCTACTTAAAGTTTTTTTTTTTTCGCAAGTACAGTTAACATCGCATGAGGACCCTGATATTGGGTATCAGCATTTGTGTTGTTGTAAAGAGATAACACAAGTGTCCAAAATGTCTGAGTCCATTAGGAGGCAGGACAGCTGCGCAACGAGTTGACAGACACACACAGTGTTGTCGCCTTATGAATTCGATACGGCAAACTGTGGAAACAATTGCTCAGGCAACAAACAAAGCAGATAACATCAGTTCCAGGGAAATTAAAGTGTGTGCTGGCAAGATCACAGCAGTCTTCCAGCACCTCTTCAATCTTTCATTGAGGCTTGAAGAAATCGCCTGAACTATGGAATAGGTGTTGCAACAGTAAGATAAGATTTTCACAGCGTAATAACCATGCCAGAAAATATCACGGTATATGGTATTACACTAATTCAATAGAATGCAGTACTGCAGATAAGCAAATTTACACAGTTTGACATACATTTTCATACCACAGTATACCATGGTACTGGTGTACCACTGCCCTACTATTACTGACCTCCTGCATCGTTCCAGTGCCAAGGATGTCCAAACACTCTCAATAACCCCTTTTACACAGCCTGTTCAAGGTGGAACTGTAGTGTAGCTTACAGTTTGTTGGTGAGTAAAGACCAATACCAATAGCCAACAGTGTGAAGTGTGTTGTTTCCAGACTGAATAGTGTCATACTGTTGAAAAAGCCCCTCTTTTGCTTCCTCACGCCAGCACACTATCTATAACTCACACACTGGGGTGGCATTATGCCAGCGGTTTTTGGTCAAGTGTAAAAAACTGTATCACTCCTGGGTGCCCAGTTAGCTCAGTGGTCCCATGTACCGAGGCTGAGTCCTTGCTGCAGCGGCCCAGGGTTCGAATCCGACCTGCAGCCCTTTGCTGTGACTCATCCCCTTTCTCTCTATGCCCCTTTCCTGTCTATCTTTAGCTGTCACTATCAAATAAAGGCAAAAAAAAGGCAAAAAAAATTACTTTAAAAAAACTGTATCACTCCTAACCCTGCTCAACATCAGCAGCCTTCCACTCTAACCTTTAGATTCCACACCCAAAACCCACTCAAAAGTGCACCCACACACATACCAGAGGTATGAACCCTTGGTTACCGTTGAGAACTAACCATCCCCCATCACTGTAGTCAAATGACATTTAATGGTTTCCCAAGAAACCCTCTAGCCTTTACAAGAAAAAACAAGCCACAAAGATGAAAATGAAATCAAACACACCCACAAGCCAACATGCTGGGTTTAACATGAAAATCGTTGTCCCTGGTGGGGCCTGAGGGTGGTGGCTGGTCATGGTGTTATGGCTGCAATGTAACATTAGCAAATTCTTGGTGACAATAGTGCCCTAAGTAAATATCCTCGGTTTAGGAATAAAAAAGGAATACAAATACAAGCATATTATGTAAAACCGTCCCAGTAATGTTTTAGTAAATTATTTCATAAAAATGGGGCAAAATATCTAAAGGCTGTCTTTCTAAGTTTTGTATTTACTGCAGTAACATTTAGGGTCAGCCAGTCCTAAGGCCGGGTGTAATGACTAATGATGTGGTTTACACACATGAGTGACAATAAAAAAGGTGGTCATTTTTTGTTTTTCCTTTATATGCAAATAGATAAAAGTGCTGATCTCACCAGCCCACCTTCTGAAACAAGACACAATGTCGTCACTGATAAATCTCAGAGCTGAGAGACAGACATCAACATATTTAAAGTTAGAGATCGAAGCATGACTATAAATACCTGCCACAGTATAATACAGAGAGAAAGGTCTCTTCCACAAGACTTTTCCTACAATAAAATGGGAAACAGGACCTGTTTCTATCCAAAAAGCCAAGATTCAACCTCAGTTTGCAACTTCAGTTGTCTAAATAGGTTGTATTTATAATGAGGAGCTTTTCTAAATCAGTGTACCATTTAAAGTGCAGATCTGAAGATTACTGTCAATTTACTAAGTGTTTTTGCCCCATACTGTTGCTACTAGGGAAACCTCCTTATCTCTCTGCAAAGCACTCCACCTGTACTGAGACAGGTCACTAATCTGCTACAGTGTTCAAACATTCAAAAGCAGCACTCAGAGAGGATAAGATAACCTGTGAAAACAAAGCTTCAGTCCACAGGCTGCTCATCTAGGAGTTCTTCTCTACTCAATCATTTGGCTATTCATTCATCATAAAGGTTATCCTTGTTGAGACTTGTTAATGGGATTAAGTAAATAATTTAATTTATATCCTCCTCCGCAGTGACTCTAGGGAGCTGTTTGAATGGGAACTAAAGGCCTAGCGGTTTCAGACATGCACAAAAAAAAAAACAGCCGTTTTCGGATGCTGCTGCCAATGTGTTGTTTGACTTTCACAAATAGTTTGGAGGTCAACCCAGCTCGAGTGGAGTTTCCATACACACCTCTCTATTACAACAGGGCTACCTGCTTGAAGGTGTGTCTTCACAGGTAGAGAGAGCCGCAGTGGTCGAGAGAGTTCAAGATTGAATAAAAAGAGAGGGACCAGCATTTTTTGTTTTCAAAGAAAAAAATGCAATCTACACTCTGCTGATTTGGTGATAAACACATTTAACTTCCTAGAAATTCTTCACAATAAAAGTCTCTGGTTATTTTGTTATTTAAATGCTTTAATTGGGAATCAGCATGGCTAATGGCAAAGCTCTACAGTATGCAACCTGTACAGTGTGATCCACCAGTGCACATCCACTGAGAATGGACTTCACAGTGAAGGAGGAGACATCTTGTGTCCATCAGGAAAACTTTAGAAATGAACAACATTTACATATTCAGAGATTCTGGAAGTTTTAACGAGGTAGAAGGATGAGATGACTTAAAGGAGACATATTATGCCCCTTTTCAGGTTCATAATTGTATTTTGTGGCTCTACTACAATAGGTTTAGATGTTTTAATGTTTAAAAAAAACATTATTTTTCTCATACTGCCTATAGCTGAGCACCTCTTTTCAGCCTCTGTCTGAACCAATCGGTTTGAGCTCCTGTCTCTTTAAGGCCCCCTCCTGAAAAGCCCAGTCTGCTCTGATTGGTCAGCATTATGACGCGTATGACGCTCTGGCCCCTCCAACTTCCACCTCAGCGGGTGTTTTGGCAGGTAGCTCCTCACTGTTACTGAGTTTAGCTGCATTTATATATATACACAGTGGGTACGGAAAGTATTCAGACCCCTTTAAAATTTTCACTCTTTGTTTCATTGCAGCCATTTGCTAAAATCAAAAAAGTTCATTTTATTTCTCATTAATGTACACTCAGCACCCCATCTTGACAGAAAAAGACAGAAATGTAGAAATTTTTGCAAATTTATTAAAAAAGAAAAACTGAAATATCACATGGTCATAAGTATTCAGACCCTTTGCTGTGACACTCATATTTAACTCACATGCTGTCCATTTCTTCTGATCCTCCTTGAGATGGTCCTGCTCCTTCATTGGAGTCTAGCTGTGTTTAATTAAACTGATTGGACTTGATTAGGAAAGGCACACACCTGTCTATATAAGACCTTACAGCTCACATGCATGTCAGAGCAAATGAGAATCATGAGGTCAAAGGAACTGCCCAAGGAGCTCAGAGACAGAATTGTGGCAAGGCACAGATCTGGCCACGGTTACAAAAGAATTTCTGCAGCACTCAAGGTTCCTAAGAGCACAGTGGCCTCCATAATCCTTAAATGGAAGAAGTTTGGGACGACCAGAACTCTTCCTAGACCTGGCCGTCCAGCCAAACTGAGCAATCGTGGGAGAAGAGCCTTGGTTAGAGAGGTAAAGAAGAACCCAAAGATCACTGTGGCTGAGCTCCAGAGATGCAGTAGGGAGATGGGAGAAAGTTCCACAAAGTCAACTATCACTGCAGCCCTGCACCAGTCGGGGCTTTATGGCAGAGTGGCCCGACGGAAGCCTCTCCTCAGTGCAAGACATATGAAAGCCCGCATAGAGTTTGCCAAAAACACATGAAGGACTCCCAGACTATGAGAAATAAGATTCTCTGGTCTGATGAGACCAAGATTTAACTTTTTGGCGTTAATTCTAAGCGGTATGTGTGGAGAAAACCAGGCACTGCTCATCACCTGCCCATACAATCCCAACAGTGAAACATGGTGGTGGCAGCATCAGGCTATGGGGTGTTTTTCAGCTGCAGGGACAGGACGACTGGTTGCAATTGAAGGAAAGATGAATGCGGCCAAGTACAGAAATATCCTGGAAGAAAACCTCTTCCAGAGTGCTCAGGACCTCAGACTGGGCCGAAGGTTCACCTTCCAACAAGACAATAACCCTAAGCACACAGCTAAAATAACAAAGGAGTGGCTTCAGAACAACTCTGTGACCATTCTTGACTGGCCCAGCCAGAGCCCTGACCTAAACCCAATTGAGCATCTCTGGAGAGACCTGAAAATGGCTGTCCATCAACGTTCATCATCCAACCTGACAGAACTGGAGAGGATCTGCAAGGAAGAATGGCAGAGGATCCCCAAATCCAGGTGTGAAAAACTTGTTGCATCATTCCCAAGAAGACTCATGGCTGTAGTAACTCAAAAGGGTGCTTCTACTCAATACTGAGCAAAGGGTCTGAATACTTATGACCATGTGATATTTCAGTTTTTCTTTTTTAATAAATTTGCAAAAATTTCTACATTTCTGTTTTTTTCTGTCAAGATGGGGTGCTGAGTGTACATTAATGAGAAATAAAATGAACTTTTTTGATTTTAGCAAATGGCTGCAATGAAGAGTGAAAAATTTAAAGGGGTCTGAATACTTTCCGTACTTGTACTACGTATGTATGTGTGTGTGTGTGTGTGTGTGTGTGTGTGTGTGTGTGTGTATATATATATATATATATATATATATATATATATATATATATATATATATATATATATATATATATATATAAACCTCTATCTATCACATAATGTTAGTGTTTATACCTTAACTATGAGAACCAACACTGTGTTTTATGCTTGTCTTTACAGGTACAGCAGTGAGCAGTGACCTACAGTCTACACAGCCCAGTTAAGTTAAACATATTATATATTACATAATATTAACAACATTAGTCAAGCAGTTGTTTCTAGTGAAGAAACAGCCAGTAAATGTACCAAAGTAATCAGAGTAATAGTATGATGATTACTGTAACCTCCCATCTGTTATATTCTTTATACACATTAGTTTACTGAGACCATGGAAACAGAAACCTGGAATACTATATCCTGTACAACATGTCAACATAACTGAAGCAATTACTCATCTAATAAAGTAACTTGTATATGTGGTTTAAAAACAGCTAAGTAACCAACTGTTAACGGTACTGTATCCATATTTCATAGTCTGATATTTTAACTTGAAAGTATTATTACCAAAGATAACCTTCAGATATGTGTAAAAGCTGCAATTATGTTTGAACACCATTAAAAATACTGTATATATACTGAATATTCTATCATTTATATTATACATTATGATGTAATTTATCTTCCAACATACTAAAGTTATAATTATATAAAACCACAATTATTACTGAATTTAAAAATGACCAAAACTCTTTTTAAAAGTAAAACACTTTATTTATGTTACTTCATATTCCAGTTATACATGTTGCAAGTAACAAAGCTAGAACTTTGATGTAAGCTGTGCAGATCATGTTCTCCATCAAGGTTTATGGTTTCTAGTATATTGAAGTGTGAGCTGGTAATGGAGCTCTGCAGTCAGTGTTCATCTTCATGCGTCTTCCTTTGGATACCCAGACTGTCCTGATGCTGCAGCTGTCTCTGTCCTCTGATGGGTCCAGGAACACCTGAGCTTCATCAGGTCACCCGTAAAACAAGGCAGATTCAGTGTTACTAGTAAGGCAGCATATAATATACAGTGTAATATAATACAGTACAATTACAACAGCTCATTGTGGCACAAAGTAGTCCTAAGTTATAAACTAAAATAATAAGCAGTGTCTCTGGTGGTTCCTTGTTGCAGCTAACTGTAGTGATGTGTTGTTGAAACAGTCTGAGGTTACCAACACAATGTCTATCTAATGGCAGCAGATACACACACAGGACATTTACTGACTGTAACTGATGTTGTGACAAGTTCCCGGTGCAATAGACATTTAACAGTGAGGCTCTGTGTTTATAATACAATAGGAGATGATATGAGTATGAGATGTTACACTGGACCTGCACTTATATCATCGGTAATACCAGTACTGCAGTAACACTAAACATATGGATCAGAAAACCTTTATTAGTCGCGGTTTGACTCCACAAAACAGCCTCGAAGTTACACAATATTACTAAACTAATGAATCCCTGCAGTTCGACTATTTCTCTCTCACAGTAGCTCTATCGTTAACTCCGGTGCACGTAGATCAAGTTAATTTACACACTGTAACACACACACACACACACACACACCGCAGCGGACCAGAAGTACGGCTCTGGAAAACAACGAAGCTAGCCTCAGCTGGTTAGCACTTTAGCAAGTTACACAAGAAGACAAATAATCACCATAACTCACTCCTGGTATTTTGGTAGCTTCTAACAAGGCCTATCGATCACACTGCCCCTCATATTACAACATAAAGTCCAACAGACTCAGTAACTATAGTAACACAGTGACATCACAGAGCTGCTGTGTGCTAATCAAAGCTACAATGCTACCAAACTAATGACCTCCGCTGCTGAATTTATACACTGTACAAGTACAGTGTCTTCTGATCACAGCTGTATTGATCCACATGGTGAACAGATACCAGCAGATAATAAGTTACCAGGTTAAAGACAATGAAACCTAACTGACGTTATCTTCCCTGTTCTATGCAGCTCAACGAGCTAACAGCTACAGTTTGTTCGCTCAGAGGTTTTCTGCTCATTCTAACAGCGACACACAAACATATTACTGACGGAGCACGTTTAACTAAATACAGACCAACATAAAGCCAATTACCCCGACACAAAACCCACAACAGTTACGGAGTAACGGAGTAACGGAGTCCCCCCCCCGCACGAAGCTTGGTGATTCACGACATAATCTTTGTGTGAATCTCTATAAAAATATCAGCAGGGGAGAATATGGAGACATCTGCTTAATAAATTAACTTCACCTTATAAGTTTCATGTTCATCTTGCACACATTTAACAAACATTTAACAAACAATAACTACGTTAGCATCACTGAGGCTCCTGTTAGCATGTGCTAGCGGTACACGAACGATGAAAAACAGCATCAATTATTAAAAATACTTACAGTTACTTCCTCTGCCGTCTCTCCACAGACAGTTGGTACAGTCCTTCTTCCAGTCCAGTGTTGTACTGACCGAGGTTGTGAAAACAGTCCGACATGAAGTGGTTCACACACGTTCTGGTTTTTCCGACTCTAGCCGGACATTGCCGTCAAAAATAAAAATAAATCCACTGAGCTTATAGATATGTAGAGATTAGTGTTGGGCTGTGCAGCCAATGACTGAACAGTTAGCGTGCTGAAGCCTTTGCCCAGACATTAGGCTGCAGGCTGCTGGCTGGACTTGCTTGTTCTCTGCTAGCTTGCCTTTTATAGTAACAATGGCGGAGCTCCGCTAGACAACATCGAAGTAAAATGCGGTAGGTGGCAACAGTTGAGGTGAAAGGTCGCAATCACGGACTGTGATGTCACAGTCACTGCGAAGTCTACATTGAGTGTTTTATCTCCTGTATTCTGACTGAGGCAGCCCACAAAAACATGACTGAGTCATCTTTTTTCACACTTTGCCTGCTGATAGGCCCTCCAGAGTCCTAAATGCACATATGCATAATATGTCCCCTTAATGTGGAAATTAGACTTTTTTTCAGATACAAATTATTGTTCCAAGCAGACTATTGGTGTATGTGTCTGGATACATGTCTGGAACCTCAGAATCCGAATCAGAAATACTTTAATAATCCCCGTGGGGAAACCTGCGCTTACCTTCATTCACAGCAGACCCCTGATGTGTTTAATGTCACAGCAATTAACTGGTTTCATTTGAACTCACATGACAATGATTCCAATCCCACTGAGAGGGAGATTTTAAATGCGGGGAAGAGAAAGCACTGGTAGCCCTGGGCTGAGACTCAACCTGAGGAATATGGTACGTACATGTTTTTCCTGTTTAACAGAAGCCAGACCTCTAAAATGCATCAGCGTTCTGTTTATTGTATTAACACAATGCAACTGTAAATATGTATAATATACATTACAGTAAAATAAAAATGATGATTTAACTCAGGAACTATATCATCAAATCTGACACACAGTTGACGTTACTCTGTGCTACAGCCTCATTTTGTCCTTTTCCTTCAGACAGAACGTGTTCTATGTTCACGGTTCAGAGGTATCTCCTCACACTGCAAACCGTTAATAGAGCTACCAATGACCAATCACATAGATCTAACTTTTTTCTTCATTTACTCTAACTGGAACAAAAGGTGCAATTATCTTTATTAGTTCTTTAACTAGTAAGTTATCCGTTAACAGAAAGAGGACTGGTCTTTTCCGTCAGTCCGGAAGTGTGTGCACAGGGCTCTGTCTGCAGCTGTCTGCATTTCAGCTGCTTTGCCTGCTGCCTTTCTATTCTGAGGCAGCCCTGGGTCTTTATTTAGCAGAACTGAGCCAATAACATTCCTCAAACTGTTTCATCTCATGCAAATAAATTACAGTTTAGCCAGGGGGAGGTAAAATACAAAATTAACCACAGGCTGGAAGGACTAGCGATCACATCTGTAGTTATATGAAGCTTGAACTAATGATAAACAGAACTACAAAGAAACACCTTAAGGTGCTATGATATTCCAAAGTCATTCAATTCTTCTCTCTAATGGCAATGTACAATTAGATGTTCAATGAGCACTGAAAACTTTCCATTTTCAGTAAATGAATGTAAAAATATCCTTTTAGTGTCAAACTGTGCACAGACAGCATTCACACAGCACACTGTAGGAGCAAGAACAAACACTGAGTTCTGGAGGGGGACATGTATTATGTGAATTCTCCGGGTGGCGCACAGTGGCTATCCTCAGCTTCTAACTGAATCTCCTAAACAGAGATAATATATTAATAATGGTGATTTGGCACACAGACTGCGTGGGACTAAGAAAGTTAGTTTTCTTCTGATATATGTTTTATGATATTGGGCCGCAATGTTTTAATGGTATATATATAATGGCATGCTGGTTAGATGCATGGCGGTATCGTGAATTATTGAATCACCCTCATACATGAATCATAAATGAATAATAGCCTAACTTTACACATGACCCATGATGATGAAGATAAAGAAAGACACAAATTAAAGACATCTGCTAGTCTACCTAAAGTTGAGAGTCTCCCTGAGTCATCAGTGTTATTATTTTACATCTCTGCACCTCTACAGACCAAACTCCACTTACAAATATGGCATTTTAATACTAACATGCATGCTGACAATCACACCTGCTTCCTAAAGGTAAGAGCTACTCTCTAAAATAGCATATGGGCAAGACTCACCATATTTTCACAAATCATGTTGTATGGGGAGTTCCCCCTGGCTGCCCTGTAGTTCGCAGCATGCCCTTGTTACTAATACGTTCTACGGCACTTGAAAGCCTCACAGGCCCCAGCCCGGAGAGGGGGTCTCGCGGTGTCCCCTCGGTGTCCCCTCGGTGTCCCATAAATGTAACGTTGGATAAACATGAGTAAAACAAAGGATGAAAGCATCCAGCAGCGGTTCTCCCGCCGCCTTTAGAGCCGTATGAGCAGTATCTTGCCTCCAGAGAGATGTGTTCGTCAGACGAACAGCGCGGGAGAGGTGTGGCCGCGTGCACAGATAAATAAAAAAACCCGTCGGAATCTGGGTACCGTCCATTGTCGGTGGTCTTCTCACCGAGCGTGCGCTGCACGAAGGGAGGGACGGGGAGGAACGCGCCCTTTAATAACGGGCTAAACCGAATTTAACAAACACTGCACGGACTTCAGAGGCTTTTTGTTGTCGTATTGAGTGCAGAAAATACAAAGCAGAGCAGCAGTCCCCTGAGGATAGACAGACCGACAGACCGGAGACACACGCAGGACGGCAGAGAGCCACATTAGGCTCCCACACGAACCAATTAACGTTAATAAACAATGGGTTGTTTACTTTGTTTCCAATATAACTTCGTCTCTGAATGCGCCCTACTGGAGCAATTCGCTTTATTTTGTCTTGTTGAACCGGCTGGGCTCGTGTCTGACTCCAACCGGTTTGTTATGGTGGACGTTTAGGAACAAAATGTATCGAATCATTTAGTGTTCTCTTCGTTTCAGAATCTTCACAGTAGCCATTAGCTCGTCTCACTTACCTTCAAAGTGTAGATAGTGTGTCTACTGAGAGCTGCTAACACAGTTTAGGTTAGTGTGTCAGTGAGACCGCTGCATCCAGCCAATCCTCCCAGACCGGAGCGGAGATAGTGGGGGAGCGGCCAACAAGTGCTGCCTTCAGGACACTCCCGGAAATATCAGACATATAAGGTAAATGATGTGATTTATGAAGGTCAACGCAGCACATCAGAGATTAGAGAAAAATTAGACAAAATGGCTGTGTGCATATAGGCTGTGCTGTGTATATTATTAAAGTTTTCTTACACCTCTGTGATCCTTTGGCGACCCCCAGGTTGAACCACTGCATCAGGTTAATATTTTACACATTCCTGCAAACTGTTAAATAATGGCTATATTGTATTCTCCCTCTTTTTATATTTGTGTATATTGTCTTTTTTATTGTCTCTATTTTTTATTTTTATCCACTAATTTACCAAGGCAGTTTCTTTCTATGTGAAAACCTCCTTGCCAATAAACCTGATTCTGACTCTGAGGTTTCTCACTATTGTGGTAAAAATGATCACAAAATGGCACTTTGACACACAAACCCCAGTTGATACATGTGGAAGGGTGCTGATAAAGATGTCATGCATCATAAAATAATTGTCCATCATTTTTTTAACAGGTAAATCCTGATACCAGCAGCTGTAGCAGCGAGCAGCATATATATATTTCTGACTCGTTTTCTATGATTAAAATACAGTTTTTAGCTTTCCTTCTATATGCTATACAAATAAGTGCTGAGAGTGCTGGTATGATTCCATTTTTCTTATTTTAATCTCAATTTTAACTTTAAACTTCTATAATTATACAAGATATCTGTCAGTTAACAAATCAACGTAAAATTACAAACAATAATTTTACTTAATTTTAGAAATGTATTAACAGTATTAAACTTAAATTTAACAGTTTTCTCTATTAAATAAGCAGTCAATATAGATTATAGATTTGTTTATCTTATTTTATTTACAGTTCCAGATTTTGACACAATGTAAAAGCTCCTTGGCTTATTCGCATATTTCTCAATAAATACAGGTCAGGTTGCACAATGTAGTTAAAGTTATAGCCCCTTCATGCTACACACACATAGAACACATACACAAATATTCAAAGATACCCTACAGACATGTATTAATGCACATATACAAACAATCTGCTTGGAGCAATTATGTGTGTCTGATATGTTTTTCCGCAAAACATAAAATAAAATTCCACATTAAAATCCTTAAAAAGTAATCTATTCCTTCTACCTTATTAAATATTCCACAATCTATGAATATGTAAATGTTGTTCATTTCTAAAGTTTTGATTTCTGGTTTTAATTGAGACAACTGCTAAATACATTCAGAAGTACCCTGATAACAGAATAAATGATAACAATATGTCATACAAGTGTTTTGAACTTAAAATAAAGATGTCACCGGAAATGAACCCCAGGACCAAGTCCTGGGATGAATGTGAGATAATTGTGTAAAATTACTCTTGCTCCACTAGAGGGAGACACTGACCTTACCTGACTGTAGTCTGCTTGAGAAGGATCACAGTCTGGTGATGAACTAAACTCTTTCAGTAACAGCCTGGCTCTGTTTACACCTGGTATTAATATAGATAGTAGACGGCTATGATAGGTGACCTGATGATGGCGCTAGATGTCAGTTTGACTGATTTGTTCATCCCAGATGAAGCTATCTTGAATAACAGTGCAGTCTTATTTTGCCATAGTACTTTTATTTAACAGCATTTCTGTTATATGAATACTCCCATTCACTTCTATTATAGCTTTCACAAACAGATGAAGACGATGAATATTTAGTGCTTCTACTGCAGCCAGGAATACAATTCTGCAACTTTGGATAGCCACTGATTTACTGTGTGAAAGTTTCTGAGTGGAACACAGTTAGCTTTAACAACTAGAATTTATTGGTAAAAAGGCCCTTAAGCAATAGTTGGAGGGATTGTTGTCTTTATTTTATTTTATATATCTTCTTCTATCTTTGTTTTCTTTTCTTTTTACTTCATTCTTTTAATTTTGCTTGTTACTGTTTTCATATGTTAAAAACTGTCAGTAGGTTGATGGATGCTGTATGTTATTCAGGCTGTACTGAACTGTAACTGCTGAACCAAGATGGCGCTGCGGAGGGCAGCCTCATTGTAGCCCTCTCTGGTACTTGCCCTTTTTTGTTTATCTGTCCAGTTCCGATTACATTCACCAACCTTTGAACATTCGACCATTTAGTTCCAAAACTCCGACCTTTTCAGCGCTCTTCACTGAGCCAGAGTGAAGCGCCTGCTGGAAAAGGGCAGGCACTCTCTGCCTGATGCAAAAACATTTAAACTGAAATGTTTCAAATAATTCTCCTGTTGTTAGTTACCTGAAGATGTAATATTAAAAACCATCAACCAAAACCTTCAACAGCCTGCTTTAAAATGTATATAGCTAGAAAATGACCAAATAGAGCTCTTCCTTTGGTATCGGCTGGTAATTCTGCAGTTCTCATTCGAAGATGTGTGAAAACGCCCAGTTTGACTCCTACAACCAGCAGCCACAATGGGCCACAATGACATTCCAGACTCATAGGGCATTACCTAAGGGCCACTCTAGGTTACTCAAAGGTTTAGTTGTCAAACTACATTTCTGAATTATTTAACCACCTATGTGTAGCCAACACCCTTTTGCAAGGTTCAGCGCTCAACAGTCTCCAACATATCGTCACCAGTGAAAATGGGTTTTTAAAAGGTGTATGTTTACTGTCGATTTAAACATAACAAAATAGAGTAATGATGAAAGATTCTTCTCAGATTATTGGTGCTGACTTTGTACTGAATATAAGCATATGTAGCACTTCAATCAAACTTTAGCTACCAAAAGCACATTTTAGAGGATAGCTAGCAAGCTAATAGTTACATATATGGATTTAGGTCACTTGGTGGATCAAAGAAATATCTGATCAAGCTGAATATGTTAATTTAACTCTTTACTCTAAAAATCAATATTCCAACCCAGAAAGTAACAGCCGGACATCCTCTTGCTTGCTTAGTGTACTTAACGCATCACTTGACATTGTTCACAAAACATCAGTTTTATTTTTGTTGTGTGTTCAGGCTCATTTCTGTTGGTCTGAGATGCTAGTGCTCTGGTGCTCCATCTAGTGGTTCTCAAAGTAGTATATTATTATTATGTTTGGATCACTTAAAATATCATTGTATTTGGATATGTTCTGGTGTGCTGTGCATAACAATATATTCATATTATAGTTTATAGATGTGCCTTAATGAATGGAGTTATCTCAAACTCATTAAATAAAAATGTACTTATGTGTATAAAGACCAGAGATGAGTTTCCACTGATGCTCTGTCCATTCATTCCAGTCTATTCAGTCACTCACCACCACTTACTGTCTGCTTGCACATGCCTGGAATAAAGGATTTCTTTGCTGTTTATCCAATAGTTTCTCAGTTCTGTTGATGGCACTACACAACCCAGCTAAGAGGCTGCTGCAATGCAGACTGTGGCCCAAAGAAGTGGACATGGAGAGATTTGGAGGGAAGCTATAATCACAAACTCATGAAACCACCTCCCTTCTTCATGTGACCAAAGGAGGGAGGCTCAGTAATTCCATTTAGAGAGAAGAAAGGAGGACGCAGTGAGGAAGAGAGAGTTGCTTGCGGTGTAGAGACCACATTGATTAAACGTGCTGTTTTTACATGCTGCTGTATGTAAGTAGTACATATATATATACTATAGTGCAAAATGGCTATTGGCTTTGGGCTCCTTGGTTTTCGTGTTTTTAATGAATTCGATTTTCTTTCTTCTCTGTCATATTCTTTTTATGAGGAAGAACATATTTGTCACATCTGAATTAAATAAAAAACAAAAAAAGCATGGTTTTTGCCCAAAACTGAATGGGATTAGCATAAAGTTGTGTGTCCCATGTTCATTCAGATATTTTGAGGTCAGAGGTCAAGGGATACCTTTGACAATGACCATGTCAGTTTTTCCAGCCTGACTTTGAAGTGTTGTGACACCAGTATCTTCACTCTAGCTTTACAAAGAAGCTTTCTCCAACCTCTGAAACACAGTGGAAGAGGAAGAGGTAGGGATAATGGGGTGGCCAATCAGATTTCAGGGGTGGCCAGTGTCACTGGACACACCCCTGTAGAGGCCTAGAGGGTGCTTAAGTCAATTAGTTCATTGCAATAGTCAATCAAAATAGCAAAAAATAAAATTAATATTTGCTGAATAGGTCTTCTCATAAGTGAAGATTTGCACACTGCACATACTGAGTTTTCTAGCATGCTGGAAACATTTGTTATTTTTTATAAGGTTTGGAATAATATCGAACACTATACCTAATACCTAATAAACACACTTTATTTAAATAGAAAAACCTAGTCAAACCTCGGAGGCTACATACAGCGTACAGTGGACGTGGGAGGGATGAGGGGGGAGAGAGGTTTATCGTCCTGGAAACTGTTGTCCTAATCCGTTCTTAGAGGATAGAGGCTTAGTGGGACTTCAGGTTAGGTTGACCACAAACATTGTCTCAGAGAGGGACGTCCAACCTTCTGTTCATGTACACTTTTGATTTATTCCTTATTCTAACTCACCTTTTTGCACGCTGGCTCTGACAACTCGCTTCCGGTCAAATCTCCTGGATTCATTGAGGGAGCTATGCTAATGATTTCCACTGGGCTAATTTGGAGGCCATTTTACTAGCTGTTGTCTGTTGCTACAGAAAGCTATCTATCTATCTATCTGTCTATCTGTCTGTCTGTCTATTTATTCTTAAGTTATCAAGATGAAGGACCGACTGGCGCAGCTGAAGGAGGTAGGTTTAGGCAGTTTAAATATTTCTCATAGTTAGCCTGTGGAGCACCTGTTGCTAGCAAAGGCCCTAACGTAGCCTAGCTGCTACGATCCACTTACTTAATAATTGGTAGCATAAACACAAGTTGACTCAGGAACATTTACTTATTCCAACTAGTTTTTCCATGTTATTTATGTCAAAACAACTCATTAAAATAATGTTCGCAACTTGTTTAGGTCTTAGCTTTAGGTTGATCTAACTCAGTAAATTAAAGGTTTTATCTTGCAACCATGCATTTATTTAAGTAGTGATAATAGGTCCACTGGATTACTTTTTAGAGTGATGGCATTTTATGAATGTATCAGTTCTCAAGTTTTTGTCGTGCAATATTCAGTAAAAGCTTGTCATATAAACCCAAGGGGTTCAATAAGACCGTCACGTGACAGTGGCATGCACACATGACCTGAAGCACCCACGCAGACTGTAGCTTTCATCATTTTTTTCTTCTGTTCCTACTGCCTCTAAGTCAATAACTAAGAAATCCTCCATGTTTAAAGCTCCCTCCGACTGGAATAATCTACCTGTAAATATTCAGTCTGCTTCATCTTAAAAATATCTTTTTATTTTAGGATCAAGTGTTCATAAAAACACCTTTATAGTTCTGTAAATAAGGTTTGTAATGCTATTATAGCTTCTAATACCACCACTCTAAACTATGAATGAATGATCCATTTTAATGCTCTGCTAGGAGTATGATCTGATCTTATATTGATATTTCCTGTTTTGTTTTTGTCAAATTAAAATAATTAATATATAATTTTTATGTACTATCGGACGCAGATCCCTGAGACCAAAAAGGTTGAGAACCACTCATTTAAAATGATCGAAACTATAGTAAATGTGCTATAGCTGGATTCCCATGTGTCCTAGAAAACCTGGAAAATCTGATTAAATTTTCCAGTCATGGAAAAACCTTAAAATGACTAAATATCCTAATCTATGTTGTCAGGAAACTTTGAACTGTATTTTTGCCCCCCACTCAGGTCTGTGCCTCAGATTGTCTACGTATTTAGTTTGAAACTCGACTGTTGGAAGGATAAACTGCACGGTGTGACACTTCAGAGCAGGAACTTCAGGAGAAAAACTCCTGAAAAATGTCCTGGAAAATGATTTATTAAAAAGAGCGGGAACCCTGTGTAGTTATTCTGTGTGTTTCTGATGTAGAGCGGCTGTTTAATTCGTCCTCGAGTTCAGTATTGACCCCCTTTGTGTGTGTGTGTGTGCGTAACAGAAGAGTGATGCTCCAGGGGATGCTGTCGAGGTTTCCATGGAGAGCGAGGCCTTTATGGATGATTTCTTTGCTCAGGTATTCTGTTTATGTCCGTCTGTCCATTCCTCGCAATCCAGAAAGGAACAGATATTTCTTTCTTACTGATCTGGGCCTTTGTGCATCTGTGTGTGTGTGTGTCTTTCAGATCGAAGACATCCGCACCAGCATTGACAAGATTGATGAGAGTGTCACAGAAATAAAAAAACTCTACTCCACCATCCTGTCAGCCCCCACATCTGAGCAGAGTGAGTGTCTCTGACACAAACACGAACACATTCAGTGCTTAGGTCACTTCTTGCTGCTCCTAATCTGCTCTCACGCTCTCTTTCAGAAACACAAGATGACCTTGAAGCCCTCACCAATGAGATCAAGAAGTCAGCCAACAATGCAAGAAACAAACTTAAGAGTCAGTATTTCTTCCTTTTACCCTTGACAGAAAATGGTTGTCAATTAAAACAGGATGAGTAGTAGAGGTTTATGGAGAATGGTTAGATACACTTGGGCTAAGAGTGGAAATGTGTTTGTGTTTTGGGTGAAGTCACACTTTAATGCTGACCAACCTGTCCTATATGAGAAGCATCTTGAGATTCAGTCGAGATGCTGCAGTGTGAAAACTGCCGCTGTTCCCTGGCTACCTGGCTGCTAGAGTAAATAAATACTTGATGGTAATTATATTTCAGCATTGTTGGAAAAAGAATGTTATTTATGTTTTTACATGTGCACAGTTCTGTGTATTTCTGCACAATTAATCCAAATATTATCAAATTCAAATATGGCCCTGTGCAATATCCAAATAGCAGAAGCTGCAGTATTTTTGATTTGAAGGTAAAATGTGTGACAAACAGCTTTATAATGGAGTACTGTAGTACTGCAGAGCTGCACTGGTCGACAAATGTTGTTCTCCAGTAAAATAGCATGTTTGCATGATTGGTGTAGACCTGTCACATCCTCACAATTTTAGTAGTTATCAGTGAAAATTAAATGAAAATTGTGATGGTTTAATATCTGTCAAATTATTGCAATGTGATTTTTTTTACCATATTGTGCAGACCTAATTTCTAATGAGAAATTTGAAACCCTCAAATTCTCAGTATCTGTGGACTGTCTCTTTCAAAGTACAACAGAATCACAATTTGTCTTTTGTGTGTGTGTGTGTGTGTGTGTGTGTGTGTGTGTGTGTGTGTGTGTGTGTGTGTGTGTGTGTGTGTTTGTGTGTGTGCATCAGCTATTGAGCGCCAGCTTGAGTCAAACACAGATGAGAGGGCGTCAGCCGACCTCAGGATACGCAAATCACAGGTCAGACAATATTAACAACACTGAACTGAGTTTACTTGACCCAGCGTCTACAATATACAGACCCTAACCCTACACTATTATTTCAGTGACTAGAAGTTAGCCCAATGACACAATGTATAATAATGACTACTCTGTTCATGTGTTTCACACTCTTAATCTTCCCTGAGATTACATCTTATCAAACACGGGTTTGCAGCCTGATGTGGATAGATTTGGGGGTCCTTGACCACTGACCTGCAGTACATAGTGTTTGAACTCAAAGGTTAAAGTTGACACATTCTTACATTTCTTGAGGAGGTGGAAGTTCTCAGCCTTCTTCCCACTTGTATAAGCTGAAAAAGACCCTCAGCAAGAACCTGGTGCCCTCTGTGAATCAAAGAGGTTTATAACCTAAAACATACAATAAGAATATATAGAAAGGCTTAGGGCCTGTCCTCACAAATACGTTTTTCTCGAATCCGGATAAATACTTTATCGTAAAGGCCTCTCGTCCAAACGGATACGGCGTTTTCGGGGTGTGAAAACGGTATTTTTTGGAAACGGGTCCCAGAGTGGGAAAATCCGAAAACGCTGGATTGCCCGGAGTCGTCTGGACGGCGAAACGGATTTTTTCCGAAACGATGACGTATTAGCCCCGCCTCTCTAGCCTTTAACCTCAGCCGCCGCTAGACGCATCATAACAACAACAACAATGGCGTACTACTACTACTTGTTTGTAAACAGCGCATGCTCCATGGCTTCTTTTCCGGTTTTAGTGTTTTGGTGTGGCGGCGTCACAGCGCCACATACAGGCCTGGCATATGTACTAAAGCGTTTTGGGTCGTTTCAGTGAATCTGTGTGGACACAGATATTTCTGGAGACGACGCCGTGTTTACGGAGATTTTTTTCTAAACGACATCGTATTGGGTGAGGCCGCGTATTCGTCAGGACAGGTCCTTAGATGGACAGAAGGGAAACCAACTGGGGAGGAAACTATGATTTATTGTGAAACTGGCTCCACCTATCAAATGTATCATATTAAGCAACATGTATCATATTCATTGTAGCAAGGCTCTGACAGTGTGTTAGACTACACTTCCACCCACTCCTGGTGCTTTTCAGCACCATGGATAGCTAACTGAATGAAGCTCTGTGCCTGAGCACTTGCTCTAAATTCTGTCTTTGGTTGTATTTAAACATTTCAGAAACTAAAAAAAACAGAATTTAGGAAATTTTAAGATGACTCTTTACCTCAGATCAGTCATTTTTAGGAAAACTTCCAGAGCTGGATCAGGATCAGACAGGAGTTTGGGTATAAAAGTGTAGTTTTCTCACTTTCCCATGATGGTTTAAATGTGATTGCAGAGGTGTTTGCACCTTGACATGACTACAAAAATGGAGGGTCAATCAGCACATTTATGATGGTTTGAAATTCCAGCACACAATATGATCCCTCAGCCTCCTCCAACCACAAATAGCAGCTGAAAAGATGAACTGGAGATGATCAAAATAATTTCTTAATGACATTCAGGGAAAACTCTAAATCCACATTATGACATATGTTTCATGTAAGTTAACAAGGTATCTGCATTTTCATTCCCCCAGCATGCTATCCTGGCTAAGAAGTTTGTGGAGGTGATGACAAAATACAACGAGGCCCAAGTTGACTTCAGAGATAAGAGCAAAGGACGAATCGCCCGACAGCTGGAGATCAGTGAGTTCCAACTCATTATTACACATTCAGACTAAAGGAGGACATGTTCACTCACATGTGGTTTTGTTGTTGAGTTGAGTAGAAATACTTCATACTGCTTTACAGTCAAACATTGTCACATATCCTTCAAACATGACTTGGTCTTCTGATTACTTTTTTGTATGGCCCATTTCATTTTGTAGTTGTCATCTGTATTTCTGTACAGATCATAGTTTGGAGCAAGGGCCTTAACGGCTTGTGACATGTGATAACATGCAGTTGTCGGGTGTGATATGAAGGCAGTTCTGAGCTGTTATAGTCAGGGTAAACACACTTCTGATTAATCATTTCAATCATTTCACAAATGAACAGGGCTCAGGGCTGTCAATGCTGAGGCCAACCCCCCTTTTTAGAGCTTACATTGAGATATGGCTATTATAACCAAATCTCACATGATATTGGCAGTAATCCACTGATCACTGTTCACAACATAGTCTTTTAAAAGTTCAGGAGGACATAGATCATATATATACAGAACAGCTTTTATTTTGTTTGTCAGTGTGACGGTTCCTCAGATTTCATCGTCATGACTGTGAGATTGCACAGAAGACTCAAACATGAGGTTGTGCATCACTCATGTACCTTTAAGTGTACCTTGTGCCTCTGTCACGTATGGGGTGTTCCCCCGTTAAACTGGCTGTTATACGTGATTAATGAAACTCTAATTTAATTATACACCAGTATATTGTCACATAGGGCTGTGTATGAACAGGGCTCAGGGCTGTCAATACTGAGGTCAACCCCCCTTTTTAGAGCTTCAAGTAAATATATAAAACAAAACCGATCAGAAAGATTAACACTTGAACAAACATCAGTTTGATAAGGACTTTCTAAAATGTAAATAAAATTTCCGCACACCCCTACTGTCACATCTCATGCTTCAGTGTTATGTGTGTCTTATTTTTCTTGAGTCAGGGGCCTGGAAGTTGCTTTAGTATATGATTGTTTCTCTGTCAGTCGATCTACCTTCTGTATTGAACCAGGCCTGTCAACTGTTAACAGTTATTTATTGAAACACTTTCTGCTCATCGCAGCGGGGAAAGCAACGACTGATGACGAGCTGGAAGAGATGCTGGAGGGAGGAAACTCAGCTGTCTTCACTGCCGGGGTAAGGCTGACACTGTGTGGATCTGTGAGGTACAGTAACACAACCAGAGCTGAAACCATCAGTCAATCAATCAATTAGAAAGGACCAGCTATTTTATTATCAGTTCTGCCTCAGATCTTTTATTCATCTTTTTTTTTTTTACGTATTCTTACACTGACTTTGTTTTGTCCTCCCTGCCCAGATCATGGACTCTAAGATCAACCAGCAGGCCCTGAATGAGATTGAAGCTCGTCACAAAGACATCATGAGGCTGGAAAGCAGCATCAAAGAGCTCCATGACATGTTCGTCGATATCGCCATGCTGGTTGAGAACCAGGTACACACACACACAACACGACAAAAACGATACACAATGAAAAATCTCATTCAACATTTCAAAACAACATTGTCTTACACCTGCATTGTAGACAAATGGACAAATTTGACATGAAGAAAGGGTTATGTTGTCTTTTTTTAGCTTGTTTCCTTTTTTAGAAACGAAAACCATCATCATCCACTTTTTGGAGTCAGTTGAACTAATCTTATAATCATTGTGGAAGAAAGTCCTTCCAGCACTGTCAGACCTTCACGCTGTGCGTTAGATTATAAAAGTACTCAATGTTTGATAAAATGCAGGTGAAGTAGACATCCACCAACACAACACAACACATTCCCACTTCCTGTGAAGACAGGAAGTTAAAAGACAAAACAAAGGAGTTGGAGCACTTGTTAGTGAAATGCACAAAGCCAGCATCACAAACATATGCCTGCCACTGTTATCTGTCTGTCTTCCTGTGTTGTCTTCTCCTGCATTATTCCGTTTGTCCTGCCCTCCTCCAGGGTGGCATGATTGACAGAATTGAGAGTAACATGGACCAGTCGGTGGGCTTTGTAGAGAGAGCAGTGGCTGACACCAAAAAAGCAGCCAAATTCCAGCAGGAGGCCCGCAGGGTGAGTTCAACCTGATCCAGCAGGGACATTTTTTAAATCATAACAGTCCCATAACTGATTACAGAGTTTTCTGTAGTCTTTTGTTTATTACTATTTTACAATAAAAATAGGCATTAATAATATTTGCTTACAAATTCATTTATTCATCTATAAATAAATATAAAAAAATAAGAATTAAATATTAATTCATCTCTCTGTCTCCCTCCTGTCCTCCAGAAACAAATGATGATCTTCTGCTGCTGTGTGGTTCTGGCCCTCATCGTCGGTTCGTTTCTCTACAGCTTCATCAAATAGAGGACGTGAACGAGTCCACACACAGTACAGGATGAGAGGCAGGGCGGAACCGCTCTCTCACGGTCGCAAAGCAGAGCCTGTGCTCACTTTACTGTCACCTCGACTCATTCAAAACAGAAATAGAGGCCGAAAATATTTGCATTCATTCTCAGTTATTTCTCAGTGTGTTATGACAACTTTTTTTAACCGTCTCAGATCCACATTTAAAATTCAGTGTCAGTGCAGTGTCTGGATGATTAAAGTTAAATGGAGCTTTGATGAATAAGGTATAAGAGGAGCTTCGAATAAGACTCAAAGGCAATTAGTTTGGATTTATCTGCCTCATACAGATTTAGATCAGTATTCTTGGACAGCTGCAGAACTCATGGAGGGCCATATCACCCCAGAATAACCACCGTTGAACCAACAGAACTCTAGTTCCAACAACAACCTGAATATTATAGGCTGCATAAATGTGAGCTGTACTGTAGAGCAGATAGATTGTATAGCAGTAGTAATGAAGTGTATCGCCCAACAAGCTATCAAGATGAAGGATCAAAGAACACGTAACATATGAGCAGTGATTTCTTTCTTCCCTGACTTCAGCATAATTACTGGTGCAGCATGAGTTTGAATGCTAATAGCTGCAGAGTGGAAACGTTCACCAGACAGTGGCACCAGATTAAAGGTGAACGAGTCGCCAAGATATTTACGTTTTACTTACCTAGGGGCCATGAATACCTACAGCAAATATCATGCTAATCTGGCAGCTAGCCTGTTGTAGCTTTGTCCATTTTTATCATATGAAACAAGAGGATTTCTACATTTCACCTGTGTTTCCCAGTCTCCCTTTAAGATTCCTGACAAAGCTCTCAAACCTGGACGTATTTCTTAAGTGAGCTTCTATAGACTAAAAGACACTGATAAATTGTTTGGGTCCACCTTCACAAATACACTGAAACTGAAAAACTAAGGAGACAGGAATGTTGTCATATCCAAGAAAGAACTGAAAATGATTCTAAATGAATACCAACTGAATGCAGTGTAAGTGAAGCTGTGACCTCTGACAGGAACCCCTGTACTACCACACTGCCCATCATCATGATGCATATCTATGAAGTCCGTATCCTAAGTATTGAGACAGCTGTTCCTATTCTTTTGTACATTTGTTGTTATTTGTGTTTTGATGTGGAAATCATACCACTGTGCCAGTACTTATGCTATCGACTGCATCTAATGATACAACTCATATCATGTTTGTGGATAAGCACCTGCTATGACTCCATAGTGGGCCTTTATTCAAATCACTTTTCAATTTAATGAAGGAAGAAAGTCACTTTCTTTAAAAAAACACATATTGGAGTTTTGATGTTGAAATGATTATAAGGTGACCGATAGTAGACGCTGTATGAGCTGAGAATAGAAGTACATTCTAAGGGTGTTAGAGTAGAAATGGAAACAAACACAGCCCTGCTTCATTTGATTACACTGACACTGCCTTGGGGGTGTTTTACTGCTTTAGGTCTTCGTTGTTTGTGTGTTTATTACAAAGATTGCTTTCATTTTTAATATGTGTGTGTGTGTGTGTGTGTGTGTGTGTGTGTGTGTGTGTGTGTGTGTTTGTGTGTGCCCCCCCCGTCCTTTTTTTAAAGACTACAGCTATATTTCCAAAGAGGCTGTTCTTGTTTCATGCCATGGTCTGGCTCTGGTTAGTCTTCGATGTTTGCAGCCTTCCTCTTTGCTCTGGATCCACCAATGCAGTCGGCTCCATTGCAGGTGTGGGCAGGCACTGACACTGCAGCCCACTCCTGTAGTGTCAGCCTACTCCTAACCCACATTTTGGATTTTATCTTTTGCAATGTTAGCCTTCTTGAGACTAAAACTGGTCACTGGCTCATGCACACATCAGATCAAAAGTAAATGTCAAAGAAATGGGATCAGTATTATGTTATAATGTGGATCCCAAGATAACAGCATTAATTGAAATGAGTGCAGACACAGTGGTAGGTTGTTGAACTATTGTGGGGAATTATTTGGGAGCAATACAAGCAGTGGTGTTTTCTATGGAAAGCCCTTTTCTGCCAAAAGTAAATCATTGTAAAGAGAAACGATCTCAAATATTGACTTAGCATCTCAAAACAGTGAGAATATTTAGAATTAGTATCTCTTCCTCACTTTATGATACTAAGTCATTATTTTGAGATGCTAAGTAAAAATGTTTAGCAACTTTCTAATTATAATGACTTACAGAATCCTTTTTTCCCGTCACATTGACATTATATGGCACAATTCAATGGATAAAATGTATGTCCCATCAATGAGATATGACATCTGGGTAACTGGGACTCTCATCTTCTCACCTGGGTTGCATTTGACCTGTAAATATGGTGACCTTGCATGTTGTGGGTGTCCACATGGCAGCAGGAGGAACCCAATTTACTGACCAGGTTTCCAGAAGGCTATATGTAAAAAAAAATAATAAAAAAAAATTAAAAAATTAATAACCTTAATAGTTACATCTTACAATTAAAAATAAAAACCTTCGGGTGTGAAGTGTGGATTCAAGGGGGGCAGGTTGGAAATGAGTCAAGACTAATGGTCAGCCATGGTTCAATCAGCACTCGCCAGCCTGTTCACCTTTCTTATTGTTAGCTTGTGTGACACTTCGGTAACATGTAGTGTGATTTTGTGTGTCCTCCCTTTCCTGCTTCCATTATTTAAGGCCTGTCACTTTGTAGCGATTTATAAGGGACGTTATTCTATTGTAAAAAACACGTTTTTGTAGTTTTGTCGCCCCCTTTGATGCAAATAAAACCAAGTTGTTATTTATTTCGCTTATTAGTGATTATTTACATTATGTTTTATTCCTAGTGCGCGTCACAGCTTGGCATGTTCCTCTCGCTCGCCGTATTCGAGCAGTACGTATTTGACGGACAAGCCGCTTCCACCAATCACGAGAGCCTTGCAACATTTTCCAGCCAATCGGCGACAGTTTTCTCGCAGTACACTTCCATGTATGGACCTGCACGCACTTCCTCGTTGAGGTGAAGGCTACAAAACGTGTCCCTCCGATGCGAGCCTTCGGGAGTGAAAACACAGGCCGCAGAAGGCGTCACACATCTCGGATTACTGAAGGCGTTTGAAAGTGGACGGGCCTGTGTGAATATGGGGGTAAGTTTTGTAAAACGCATTATTTTTTTTAGCTAATTCGGGTTATCTATGAATGATGACTAGTTATATTTGGGTAATGGGACGGTGGTTAGTGCGGTGTACTATCGCGTGATTGGCCACTTCTCTTAACTGATTGTTCTCTTGTCCACTAATTAACGTTATTGGGATATATTAACCAATGAGGCATACGGTCGTTTTCGAATTACGCTGTTATTGGTTGCTTGCCAGACCTTTTATATGTCTATTGGATATTCTTGTCCAATCACGGTTTACACATATTCCGTGTGAGTGACACTGCTCTAGTCCAATGAATGACCCGCTGGGGGCGTGACATGGTGATGGGACGGAAAATGGCGGCTGTTACACCGCATTAACTTTATGCCATACTAGTATTAACAGCAGCATGTACGCCCTTTTATTGTAGTGTATTAGAAATATCTGAGTATTGTTATTTTAATAAGACTTTAGGTCATGTTGTTTTTTTCTATCTGTACGAGCAGGACGTTTCAAAAAGCTGGATACGACTTGGTATGGTGAAGACAAGGAACAAAGCTCGAGTATTCAGACAGGCTTGATTTTATCATAACGATACATTTCTATACATTTTCACTTGTTACTGAAATTGGCCTCTTTAAATGAGTTTGGCTCCACATTAAGCTTCCCATACCCAGCTGCCTTTGGTTCAGCAAACCCACTGTGAAGTCAGTGAGGTTAGGTTAACGTGAGATGAGTTTTAAAGCTATCCAAAGACAACAAATGACTTACGTTCGTCTCAGTTAGCTAGCCAGGAGACTTTCTTCTGTTTCAACTTAAGCTAAGTTAGCCGAGTAGTAGAGCCACCGTTTGAACAAACTCCCTTCAGCTCCTTGTTTACTATCCGATGGAGCCGAGCGGCGTTACGGTACAGCCGACGGTGGTTGTTCGGAACCCTCTACGTTAACACTCTGCGCTGTTAAATACCCGCACTTGGTTGGGCAGAGCTCCTGTTTCCTGTGATAATGGATGATTCCAAGCCACGGTACAGCAGAAGGCTGGTAAGTTTAAAGAGAGTTTGGCCACAATTGCAACAATTACTCTCGAGATGAAGAAAGTTCTGTCTCATGTTATTTCTCACTGCCCAGGAGGACATGGCTCAAAAAATGGCTCCCACTGTGTTCATCTCATATTTGTAAACAAAAGAAGTTGAAGCTGCAGTATGTAACGTTTATTAAACTAACCTTTGGCAAGCTTGCTGAAACTTTCCCTATATCCTGACAGTAGTTCATAAGACAGATAATCTGTGAAAAAGTCAGGTTCCTCTGGCTTGTTTTAGCGCTTCTAAAGGCATATACAAGAATCCACCGGGACTGGACAGAAACAACCAATCAGACAAGATAAAGATGCTTTGGGTTGGACGCTCAAAGATAGTAGATTGTTGAGTTTCATTTCCAGTGTCCCAAAGATTCGATGCCAAAAGTCTTAAATGTAGTCTCTCGGCTGTAACGTTAGTTGTGAAGTGTTTGTGTATGTTATTGTGGCTGTCTGGTGTAAAGTGGGTTGTTGTTACAGCGGATTGTGTTACAGGAGGCTGTGAAGTCCTTTTTGTGGAGTTTTAGACCCCTACATCAGATCTGTAGCACACAATGTGCACTCTGCTGGTTATAGAAAGCTAGGAAGCTCATTAACTCAGAATGGAACAGTGAACATTTTAGCTAAAAGTTTAATTAGTGAAACATTTTTTAATTGGTTCATCCATCAATCAAGGATGCACGATAATTTATGAGTCGGTAACGAGATCATTCAATTACAGTTAACATCCAACATAAGTTGTTGGTCCATAACAACTAATAATAATAATAATAATAATAATAATAATAATGATATTATTATCAAAGCTAAAGTCTGTCTGTGAAGCTTTAACCTTTCTTACTCATGTGTGTAAAAACTACACGTTATCAACTGATTTTTTTTTAAATGCAAAAATGTGAAATTATGGTCATCTTATTGGCTGAAAAAAGTTTGTGTTGGTGAGACCTGAGTGACACGCTGGCACTGAAGGACACAGGGGCACATATGACACCAGTGTAATAAGAAAAGACTGTATTAAGCTAATCTTATTGCATGGTGGAATGCAGACACTAGTAAAGAAGCGGGAGAGATTATGCAGAGGGGGTTGGGGCCTCAGCCTGGGATTATCCCTTTGTCATCTGTCCAGACCTGGGACCCCAACTGAAGCAGTATTCTCTCTCCATCAATTAGTGCCAATGTGTGAAACCAGTGTTAAGATATTTAGTCTGTTTGAAGAGAGACACATTTTCTAATGTGAGGAGTCATCTACTGTGTGACAGTTGTACCTGATGGATGTTCTCATCCAGTTTTGGGTTCTGGTTTCATCTCCATTGAGGCTATTTTTGCTTTAGTTATTTAATACACAGTGAGTATTTAAAAATGAAGGCTGTATGAAGTATAAAATCCACTTTTAACCACTTCATTTTATTGACTGTAGTAGGGCTGAAGCTAACCATGATTTTCATTATTGATTAATTAATTAAACATTTTCTCGATTAATCAAATAGCTATTTGGTCCATAAAATGTCAGAAAATTGTGAAAACGTGCTTCCCAAAGCATAAGGTGACATCCTCAAAGGTTTGTCCAGAGACATTCAGTTTACTGTCAGAGGACTAAAGAAAGCAGAAAACATTCACATTTCAGAAGCTGAAATCAGAGAATTTGGACATTTTTTCTTTAAGAAAAATCGAATCGATAAATCGATGTTCAAAATAGTTGGCAAGTAACTTTATAGTTGAGTAGTGGTGTGATTGTCTCATTCTTTGACCATTATGCCCGTTCTCTGTCACCTGTCTTTACCATGCCTTTTTATTATATTCTCATCCATCCACCCTCCTTCCCCCTTCCCTAGCGGGCCGGCACCCGGCGACGTTACCATGACGACGGCATCTCAGATGAGGAGATCGATGGAAGGAGAACGTTTGACTTGGAGGAGAAAGTCAGCAGTCAGAGGTTCAGCTCTGACCGGGTCCTTCGCATGGAGGGAAGAGGTAGGCGGGCACAGTCTGTAAGTATGTGGACACCTGATCTCAGGTCAGAGAAGCTCAGTGGTCTAATGTTTCGTTAATAAAGCTGTGGCAGAGTTGAATGAGAGTAGACGTAAAGGCTGTTTGAATCGGGTATCTTAAAAAATCAAACGGCCAGCAGTGAATGATAGAAAACCAGAAGTAAAATGGACGATAAGAAGGACCATACCGTGGTCACATTTTGTTGTGTGTTTTCTCTGTTTCTTAGACTTCACATATGAGTTTGTCCAGAGAGGTGGCCTCAGGGACCCAATTGTCTTTGAGAAGCCTGATGGACTGGGACTGAAGTAGGCGTCCTCTTTATTTCTCTCTACTCCTCATCTACATTACGTACATTACTACGTCTTGTGTTCATTTGCTTGTAATGTGTTGTGTGACCTCTTGTTGTTCCGTAGGATGCCCGGTGCTGACTTCAGTGTCAACAGTGTCAAGATGCATGTTGGTAAGACTTCAGACAATTAATTAGATGCTCTCAGGTTTAGTACTGGCAGTAGCTGTAGGTCCTTCAACAAATTATATTATCAGCTGATGCCTGCACTCCTGGAAAACATGGGAAACCTGGGAATTTAAAGCCTAATTTTCCAATCATGGAAACGCAAAAAAATAAATAGAATTTAAAAAAGTTGTCCTGATAAATTTTAAATGTATTTTAGCCCTTTAGCTTTTGATTGCCTAAGTATTTTGTTTCCAGTTTGTTCAAACTGTTTCATGTCAACCAGATTTTTTTGCTGTGTCTAACCCAAAACATATCCTCTCAGGTAGCAGACGTATGATCGATGTGATGGACGTGAGCACTCAGAAGGGGACAGAGATGTCCATGGCCCAGTGGACACGTTACTACGAGACCCCTCCGTGTCAGAGAGAGAAGCTCTATAACGTCATCAGCCTGGAGTTCAGCCACACCAAGCTGGAGAACCTGGTCCAGAGACCTGCCACAGTACGTACACACACACATCATTAAGGCTTGTGTTTGTGTATTATACATTTTGATACATACCGCATGCAAACAGAAGCATTTTAGCAGCTACTGTAAGTGTGTCTATACCTCTGAGGATAGTTTGAAATGAAAACTGGAAGTGTAATCAATATGTTGTTACCTCAGACAAACTGTAAAGATGGATAGATATACTTTATTGATCCCAAGCTTCTTTCTTTCTTTGTCTTTCCGTCTGTCTTTCTGTCCCTTCCTCCATCTTGTATTGGTGTGTATAGGTAGATCTAATAGACTGGGTGGACAACATGTGGCCTCGTCACCTGAAAGAGAGACAGAGAGACTCGACCAACTCCATCAATGACATGCAGTACCCCAAAGTACAGAAGTAAGTCCCCCACGTTTACGTTCCTCAGGAGTCAAATCTATAGAAGTGTGGCCTGAAAAATGACTCAGAGAACCAGTGTGTAGGATTTAGTGGCATCTAGTGATCAGATTGCTGAAATCCCTTGACTCAACCAAGAACCATGGAGAACCTACAATGGCTGTAAACTGGCCCTATCTAGAGCCAGTGTCTGGTTTGTCAGTTCTGGGCTACTGTACTATGAAATATAGTAGTTGGATACGGCAGACTCCATAGAAGAAGACCTGCTCCCTCTTTAGGTAAAAACGTCTCATTCTAAGGTAACAGAAACATAACTGTCAATAGACCCTCCTAAATGTTACACACTGGACCTTTTTTATTCATCATTTAATTTAATCTCAAAATAAATAAATTCCTGTATTGAATTTCCTTGACATTTGAATGTAAATGCTGCTGCTGTTGGTGTGATCCTGCAGGTACTGTCTGATGAGTGTCGAGGGCTGCTACACAGACTTTCACGTTGACTTGGGAGGGACGTCGGTGTGGTACCACATACTGAGAGGAAGCAAGGTGGGACCAGACGGGGTTTAGCCTGTGTTTGGGAAACACTGTCTCCTGTTGCAGCCTCATATAATCTGATACAGGTTCAGTCAGGGTTCCCACTCATCCTGAAAAAAAAATATGTGTGTGTGTGTGTGTGTGTGTATGTGTGTGTGTGTGTGTGTGTGTGTGTGTGTATATATATATATAGATATAGATATAGATATATAGAGAGAGAGAGAGAGATCCTGGAATAAATAATCTGTTGTCCTAGAGAAATTTCATTTTATTTTAGCCCTCACTCATCATGAGCCCTGCATCATTAAAAAGGGAGGAATCCAACTGGGAATATGTGTAAATATCATGCATAGTTATATGACTGTGCTGTCCTGTATTGTTAAGAAAACCCCAAAAATTATTTCTTAAAGAGTGGGAACCCTATTGGTAAAAGACTGTATTTGAACTAAAAACATGAAAGTTGTTGTAAAACCTATAATAAATAAATGATTTAAAATGTACAGAGTGTGTTCTGAATTCCCGTTGTGTGTTTTCAGGTGTTCTGGCTGATCCCTCCCACCCCTCAGAACCTGGAGCTGTATGAGAACTGGGTGCTGTCTGGGAAACAGGGAGACGTTTTCCTCGGAGACCGGGCGTCTGACTGCCAGAGAATTGAACTGAAACAGGGCTGCACCTTTATCATACCCTCAGGTATACACTCAGCTCTCTCTCACACACTACAATGCTGAAGGATTTCAGTGACATAACAGAAATGCAATATAAATGTGTATATGTGTATACTCAGGTTGGATTCATGCAGTCTACACTCCTGTGGACTCCATGGTGTTTGGAGGAAACTTCCTGCACAGCTTCAACATCCCCATGCAACTTAACATCTGTAATATAGAGGACAGAACGCGGGTAGGTGCAGACACGCTCGCCTATGAGCTGTACATGACAGGAAGTGATGCATTTTGTGATTAAGTGCCTTTTCACCTCCACCTCAGGTTCCAGTGAAGTTTCGTTACCCCTTCTATTACGAGATGTGCTGGTACGTGTTGGAGCGCTACGTCTTCAGCCTCACCAAGACCTCCTACCTCACACCGGAGTTTCAGAAACACTCACTGGGCATTGGTACGTGCACAAACATGGAGGGTAGATGTATGGAGAAAATGTTTTCATTATGGGTTTTTTTGTGTGTGTTGTAAACCAAATGTGTTTCTTTCTGTCAGGTCTGAAGAAGCCGTCTGGCTCAGATCTGGCCAATGAGCAGGTGGAGGAGGAGGTTGGTGACAGTGATGAAGAGGCTTCAGAGCAGCAGTCTGACAAGGCCGCAGTAAAGGTTCATATGACTCCCCTCGAGCTGGAGGGAATGTGGAACCTGCTGGGTAAACTGGAGGCTCTACCCTCCAACAAGAAGTGTGTCCCAGCAGGGATACACAACGCCCCGGCACTCATTACACACATCAAGGTATGACTGTTGTGTGTGCGCTTGTCTTTGTAACATTTAATGTAGTCCTCTTAACTTTGCTGATTTTATATTATTACAATGTGGCTGGTATGCAAATGAACATGTTCCTGTCCATTTCCCAACAACATTCCGCATGCAAAACTCAGATCCAACCTTCAAACTAGACTGTGCGGTTACTGCATTGCCTATATCGCGCCTCAGATGTGTTCAGAAACATCTTTTGGTCTCCCGTTTAGCTTTAATTCTAATAAAAGTCCTGAAATGGAGGATTGGACATGTGTAGCAACGATCGGGCAGGATGTACGGCTCATGAAACTGAGTCAAGATTCTGTTATATCATTGCCTACTTCTCAAATCTTTTCAGAAACATTTTAATTATGAGAACTACATTTTTTTTTCTCTGGTCATGCACTAAAAAAATATTAGCAGATTTCTACAACCCAGTGTTGTGAAAAGAACATCTTTCCTCTTTTTAACAGCTGCTTTCAGTCCCACCACTCTTGTATGTGTTGTCTTGCAGGCCCTGCTGAAGGAACATGCCAATGACAATCCCAAACTGTCCTACACAGGAAAGCCCATCGTCAAGTGGCCAAAGAGAGTAAGCAGTCTTCACTTTAAGGCACACCGCACATTAGTAATGATGGTAATGACACATTCACAAGTGCTAAGTCAAAGACCGATATATGACTTGGATGAAAAGAGTGTAGTGCTGAAAAATGGTAAATTTTATAATGTTTGTAGGTTAACGAGTGTGTTAATGATGAATGTTCTATACTGTATAATCAGCCCTCGTGGTACCAGCCTCCTCCTCCTCCACCGCCACCTCCTCGTCCTAAACTGACCTCCACTCCGATCATCCCACGACCACAGAAGCCAGCCTCCTCCATGTCTGTGCTGAGACGACGCAGGGTCAGGTAACGAAGCGCGCGTGAGAGAGAAATCAACTTTGGCCGATTGTATACCGTTGTTAGCTTTTTGTGCAGTTGTATGATTTATTTGTCGTCTCTGCAGGTGTAAGCGCTGTGAAGCCTGTATGAGGCCAGAGTGTGGGGATTGTAACTTCTGCAGAGACATGAAAAAGTTTGGAGGACCAGGGAAGCTCAAACAGACCTGTGTACTACGACAGTGTATGTCTGTAAGTAACTGTTATTTATTTAGTTAATTGTTTATTTTAGATATGTCTGTTTTGTAACTCACCCTCTGTCCCCTACAGCCGGGCCTTCCTTTGTCTGCAGTGTGTGAGATCTGCAAGGAGCCCAATCAGGAGGAAACTGGAGACTCCTCCCTCACTCTGATGGAATGCTCCAACTGTGCTCAGATAGTCCATCCTGCCTGCCTCACGGTAATACACACACACACACACACACACACACACACACACACACACACACACACACACACACACTACCGTCTGAACTAATTTCTGACACTCAAGTGCGCTTTATTCAGGCTGTAAATAAAATGATTAATATAACATGGGAACTGTTATTACATTTTGAACAGCAGACACTCGATCCTGATGTTATTTCATCCTTTTTCTAATATGGCTGCATCTGTCTCTGCAGGTTCAGGGAGAAGGACTGGTGAATAAAGATCTGCCCAGTTGTTGGGAGTGTCCAAAGTGTGTCCAAGGAGTCACTGACCCAGAGGTACACAATGTCTTATTAAAACATACACACACACACACACACACACACACACAGTTTCAGACTTCTTGTATTGAATACACTGCTGCACACACACACACACTCTTGTGCTCTCTCTTGAGCACAGTCTTTGAACCCGGCGTTCACACACTTGGTTGCAGTGTCAAAGCTAATGGGTATTGTGTGTCTCCTGTCTGTTCGTTTTTCATTGTTTATTTATTTATTTATTTTTTGTTGTTTGGTTGCTTTATTTTCTGTTTTTTTGAATTTAATTTGACTCCGTCAGTCATCAGGCAGCGATGAATCGTTGGCTGCCGGCCACCAGCAGCACATCCGTCCTCATGGCCCCCTGGTCCTCAGGCTGGGCCCCGGGCCCTCTGCTACCATAGGGGGTCCTGTGGGCTCCCAGCATGATGGGGAAGTGGTCCGCTGTGGTTTCTTCCCTCCTCCTCCTCCTCTTCCTTGCTGCTCTTCCTCCTCCTCAGCGTCACTTCTATTGGTGGCGGCCCCTCTGCCTTCTCAGCCAATCAGCTCGAGACTGGTGAGAGGTGCCGCCTACTCTGCGTACTTCCACCCGTCTGTCGCGTGCACCCCACCCCGTTTTCCCTTCCATCTTTTTCAAGAGAACAGACACAACTCTTGATGTAAATATTCCTATTCAAATAATCTTACTGGCAGAGGATGATTTCCTGTTTGATTTCTGTTTCCATGGTTTCTACAAGAGTAGTGCCTCTTCTCTCAGACTGTCAGCTCTTTTCATTTTGGAGCTACCTTCAGCTCTGATTGGTTTCTGTCCAATTTTCCCTTATCATACTTTGTAAATGATTTTTCGCATGGCTCATTTTATGGACATAGTGTGCCCTGGTTTTAAACACTGTTTGACAAAACCAGCACCCTTTTCTTCAGGTTTGGACCACATTCAAACCTTGAAGAGTTGAACTGCTGTGATTTTGTGACTGTGGACACAGCATATTATGCTGTAGCGGATTTCAGCACCTTTAAAAGTGTATCAGTGTGCTACTGGAGTCTCCCCTTCTGCAGTGATCAGTGGCTCTCTTCTCTCAACTTTCAGTTTGAATGCCTGGAAGAGCTGCTGTTGTGCACTGTCCATCCTGTTCACTGGTTTTCCATCACTGCAGTAACCGTGTGGTGTCTGTATGACTTTCCGTTGGGACTGCACAGTTAATTGAAATATTTTGAAATACGGTAGTTCTGAAGAGATGTCCACACAGAACTCCATATCATGATTTTAATGTTTTTTATTTAAAGTGAAATTTTAATTTGTGATGCAAAAACAGTTTTACCATCTTACAACCGTGCTTTTTCACAAATTTGACCAATAATTTTGGTTTCCTGAGCAAAATGTTGAGCCATACGTCACCCAGTCATTTCCTTGTTTCTAATTATTGAGATGCAGATATTTGGGCAGCTCTGATTGGTTACACATCACAAGTAATAGCCAATCAACACTGAAGGCTGCTGTGCCACAGACAGGGAAATGTAAATACTCAAGTACAAGTGCCTTAAAAATTACTTGTGTACAATACTTGAGTAAATGTACTTAGTTACCCTCAACCACTGTATACATTTTTTTTATTATTTATATTTTATTTAATTATACTTGCGCACATTTGAATTATACACAGCTGCCTTGTCATGTAATGGAAAAAAATAGAAGAAAAAGAACTACTAACAGTTTGGCAAACAAACATCAACGATCATGGCATCATGTACATCCACATAGAAAAAACTTAAATAAGTAAACAAAGTTAGTTTTGGCCAAATGAACCTTTAAGCACCTCCTACTGGTAATCCAAAGTAAGCTGTTACAGGAGCTTTGAAAATAGATCTGCCTTTACATGCAGTTTTGCTGTAATTTTCTTTCATTAAATACACTTTCATTAACCTGTGTTGCCATTGATCTATAGTAGGTGGCAGTGGTTTGAGCCAAGAGAGTTATTTTTTTTGCCACCAATAAAAGGATGTGCAATTAAGCCTTTCTCTTTCCACCACTTTATTCAGATTTTCATTTTTACTGCAAAAAGTACACCAGTTCCAAGTATCAGTTATCAGTTTCCTTGATTACTAATAATCAATATCTATATCGTTTGAAACCTATTAAAGATAAGTCACTCCCAGTTTTGTCTCCCACACAAACAACATGAAATATCAGTAACAGAAATACGGTGAATATTCTCTTCATTATGCCGTTGTAGCTCTGTTTCATGTTCAAACTGTACAACTTGGTCCATCTTATTTTTAAATACTTTTCAGTTGGAAATATGATGAGTTATAATGATTTTACTTTCACATTCTGAAGTTAATCATATCCAGTTAAATGTTTGACTTTTGGAACAGTGTGTTTGAAGTTCTGAACACTGCTAGTAAAAGTCTAGTTATTAGTTTCTCTTTCTGAGTTTAAAGTGACTATGTAGTGTTGGAGGAGGTTGTTAAATCAGTGTAAGATATTGTCACCATATCAACTCTTTTATGTTTGGTACATGTGGTACTCAAGGAAACACTGTCCCTTAATGTTTACTCCCTGCACCCTGTTTTGTGATGCTCAACACAACCGTAACTGCAGTTCTGCTTGAATGTCTGTCTGAGAACTTCTCTATTGTTTAATCATTATTTCTTTATTTTAAACCAAACTAGTATTTGTTACATGAAATAACCGGTATATGTTTATCAATTCCGTTTGTTTTTGTAAACTTGTAGAAGCAAAAGTTAGTGAACCCTGAGCTGCATTGCTTAAAACAAGCAGGTAAATACAAACAAGTGGCACAAGATTGTTTGCTAAATGAACCACTGAAATAAGATCTTTAGGGAAGAGACTGGGCAGCACTGTAACAGATTGAAAATTACATTTGTGATGCAAAAATGATCCTTTCCACAATAATTGTGAGTCATATCACAATATCTGTCAAAATATTAGCATTTTGATGTTTTTACCACATCGTGCAGCCCTAGGTGAGAGGAAAATAAATGTCAGACGACCTTAGGAAGAGCAGTAACGGCACATTAGACTGGGGAAAGCTGGGCAGACTGACCACACACACACAAACGTCTGAGCAGCACTCTATATTTAATGTTTCTGCAACTATACTTGATGAGTGTGAGTACATAATAGCAATCCTTCAGTTCTGGGTAAACAACAAAAGCTATGCTGGCTTTCAGTGGAGACTTTATATTGTTTCATGATATGAGGCTTTTCCACAAAACACTTTTTTGTTTATGGGCTTAGAAATGATCAGAATTAGCTATTGATCATCAGCACAACATATTTTTTATCAAAATGTCAAAAATGTCTAATAATGCAGAGCCAAAAGTGTCAGAAGAACTGGCAGCAGGCTTTTTTCTTTTTTTTTACATTTTATATTTCTCCTCTTCCTCCAGCAGTCCAAAGGAGACAAAGGAGAAGGCCTTCCAGTGGTGAGTGTTCTGTGCACTATTTTAACAACTTGAGTTTATTTCTGAATACACTGTTTCTAAAACGTCCTTTTTGTGTCTGTTGTTCTCCATACCTCTTTCCCTGTACTGTCCTTCTTCGTTTTCATCTTTTTATTCTTCTTTCTACCCATCCCTCCATTTTTCCCTCCTTTTCCTTCTTTCCCTGCATATCCAGAAGCGAAAATCTTCCTCCCTGCTGGACGCGCGCATGGCTAAGATTTACCGACGACAGAGACATAGCCGCGATGGGGACGACTCTGCCAGCGATGACGATGACGAAGGTTTGGAACCCACCAGATCACAAAAAATATAAAATAAAAATGTTTTTCTAAAAAGGAAAAAAAAAGAATAGAATTTCAGATTTCTCTTGTTGTGATTGTGACATGATCGTCTGTCCCGTCCATCCGTCCCTCTCCTCAGCCTCTCACAGAAGAAGGATGGTGCTCACTGCCCGAGGGGGGAGCCACTCTTCCAGGAGGGGGTTTGGTGCCAACAGGAGAGGCCTGCTGAGAGGAAGCTCGGCCCACAGAGGAAGCAGAGGAGGTCTCATGACTCCCGGTTCCTCCTCCGCCCTCAAGCTAAAGCGAGGGATGGGTATGAGGGAGGTCGGGCGGAGGGGACGAGGGGTGAGGCTGCGGGGGGGCTCCAGGATGCAGCGAAGGGGAGATGAGTCCGAGGAGTCGGACGACGACGACGAAGACGACGATGATGAAGAAGAGGAGGAGGAGGAGGAAGAAGAGGACAGCGAAGATCAGCGGCATCGTCGACGCAGGAGGAGGCGCAGGACTGATGATGACGAAGACGAAGATGAGGACAGCGAGGGGCAGGAGTTTGACCCTGAAGAGGAGGAGATGGACACGCTGGAAGATGAAGAAGAGGAGGAGGAGGTGGAGGAGGAAGGGCGCTGGGATTCAGACCCAGAACCTCCGGTCCTCCTGGTGTCTGATCTGAACGATGACCTGCTGAGTGGCTCGTACCTGACTGTCACTCTACAGCGCCCCCACAAGGCCAAGAGACAATCTGGTAAGACCGCAAATCCCAGCAGTGACAGCGTAATCAGTTTAACATCCAAAGTTCCATTAATGAACCGGAAGTGTTGTCCCTGCTCAGGCTCCATCGTCCCAAAGCTGGAAGCAGCCATGGGTCCGAGGACCGCTGCAGTGGGTGCCGGTGGTCAGCAGGGCTTCATCCAGAGAAAGACCGCTCTGTCCAAACCTTCGCGACTCAAGAGCGGCGATACCACAGGCGACAGCGTAACCCCCAGAGGACCCGGCAGGTAGAGCTCAACACACGGTCAAACTCAGTTCAATACACTTCTACTACTACTGCTATCTTGTTATTTAGTTCTTTAGGCCTAGTGCCAGTTGAGACACATGGATTATTTAGACATTTAGACTCATGCATGTGTGGCCAGATTTTCAAACAAACCACAGAGAGGCTGCGATAGCAACACAGGCAGAGGGAGTGTGACATCATTCTCTGCTCAGAACACCATGACCTCCCAAATTGCTATAGATATTTACTTGGAAGCAGCCAACAAACAGCCCGGTCACAACAGGTGATGGGAGGATTATATAATCAGGGTCATTTTAATTGATGAACTTGCTATGTAACATTGAAACTATTCTCTGTTAAAAGTATCAGGACTATCTGGGGATGTAAATGACTGTTTTTGTGATCATAGTTTAGTATAAAGGTAACAACTATACTATTGCAGATGTATCGCGTATACAGCATGTCACCTGATAAATGACCAGAAACTGCAGTACAGATATGCCAAAGATATGTTTGAGATCTGCCTTCATGCAGGCTGCATGGCAGAGACCTGTCTTTTTGAGAAGCAACCAATCCAAAATGTCCCATGACAATGATAATATTTTGTTAGGTCAAGCCCTTATGTGATGTTAGTCTTCAAAGAATGGTTGAATAGTTCCCAGTAAATATGTGTTAAGTGTTTTTTTGCTTTATATGTCCATCCCTAATATGCATGTGATGCACTTCATAAACCCAAAACACCGTTTGATATCTTTGATCGTGTAGGCCACGCCTGCGGGGTAACCATGGCGACAGAAGTGCTAGAGATCACTCCGCATCTTCTTCAGAGGAGGGTGAAGCTGCTGCTCCTGCTGCACCCTCCTCTCTGTCACCTCCGTCCCTGCTGTCTCTGCCGTCCTTTAAGGACGTGGGCAACGAGAGAGGAGGGGAGAAGGAGGTGTGGGTGTCCGTGTTCAAATACTTGAACAGAGCCGAGCTGCTGGCCTGCATGACCGTCTGTAAGGCCTGGTACAAGTGGTACGTCACAATTCCACTAACAACTTAGCAACGTTCAGTATGTGTTTGTGTCTGAGTCCAGCTCGTCCTCTCAATAAACCCATCATGCCTCACTGTCCTGTGCAGGAGCTGCGACAAGCGTCTGTGGAGCCACGTGGACGTGAGCCGGTGCAGCCCACTCACTAACCAGGCCCTGGCAGGCATCCTCAAACGCCAGCCCACCTCACTAGACCTGTCCTGGACCCCCTTGGCCAAGAGACAACTAAACTGTCTGCTCACCAGGCTCCCAGGTAGACACACACACACACACACACACACACACACACACACACACACACACACACACACACACACACACACACACACACACACACACACAGAGAGAGGATCCCCTGGGCCCTAACAAAGTGGGTATTAGACAAATTAGGACTGAAAAATATTCCTTTCGTATAGAATTCTTTTTTTATTTCTAGGGTATAAACTGTGCAAAACAATGAATATTTCTTTGTAAACATAAAACTGATTTCTTTGTGCCTTGATACCATGAATTATATTGTTTCATCTGACCGATTTGAGTCTTCACATATTTGAATTGCGATATATCTTTACATTGCTAGTCTCATCACACCTCCTCTGTCTGTTCAGGTCTGAGGGAGCTGAGGGTGACTGGTCTGTCCTGGTCCTGTCTGTCAGCGATGGTCTCTCCCACTCTGCCCTACCTGCGGCTGCTGGATCTGCGCTGGTGTGAAGGCCTTAAAGACGCCCAGATTAAAGAGCTCATCAGCCCGCCTGGTCAGTTGCAGCAGAAATTAGCTCACTGTACACCGAATTTTTCGCAACCAGCATCAGACTGGTGCAGAATAACCACAGAAACATTTGTGTGAATGTGTGCATCAGAGTTGTCTACTTCTACTGTAAATCACTAAACGGTTCACACAGCTCCACAATTAATCATGGGTCAATTAAAACTCCTCTGTAAGATAATAACTCCATGTTCCTGCCAGTCTTCACCCAGTGTCTCCATTAAAACACTGGGTAACTGGGGCAACGGCTGATCACATCTATTCCACAAGTCTGGCCAAAATGTTGCCTGTAGCTCCGTGTCATTATTTACACTACAGGTAGAGATCACAGATAGACAGTGGGTTAAATGTTAGAGTTGTGTTTGCAGAAATGAGAGTGATCCTCATTTATTTGTGGATCATTTCAGAGAAAACTAAGCTGTATATTAAATCCAACTTCCATGTAATTGTTTGGCACTATGGTGGCATTAAACTGCAGGTGGTTATTGTGTGGATCATTGTGATGACACATGAAATTGTGCACTATAACACATGATGACCGAAGGCTCTTGAACATATCCAACAACAGTTTCTGAGAAGAACTTTCCACAGGGTTCCTAAACTGTCAGTGTGTCATTACGGGGAGAACTGGGATGAAAGTGGTGAATGTGATGGGCCACCATTCCCACAGCCTCTACCCTGTCAGCCTATAATGTATTCTTTCTGGTCTCGCCTCACAGCTGTTGGTGGGTGTGCCCCTCTGGCACTGGGCACGGCGATCTGCACCGCGCTGCTGGGTTCGCTAAAAACCTCCATATTGACCTTTCCATGTCTTCCATCTCTGTCCGTCCCTGCAGGTTCAGAGTCGTCTCGCAGCAGACTGAGAAATATGGTGACGCTGCGTCTGTCCGGTCTGGACATCAGCGAGTCCACTCTGAGGCTGCTGCAGCGCCACATGCCCCAGCTGGAGAGGCTGGACCTGGCTCACTGCAAGGACATAACCGACTCGTCCATCGCCCTGCTGGCAGCAGCCGGGACTCACACCCGCAACAACCTCACTGAGCTCACGCTGGCGGGTGGGTGTCTGAGCACAGTCCCCATCCATCTGATTGATCACATGGCCTTTCGTCTAGGTTACAACGCAGTTTGTGCTTCTCCACGGGGGTTTCTCCTCCAGTCAGGGCTTCTCTTTACAATGCCTGGCTGAGGGGTGGTTCCTCCAAAGAGCTGCCATTATGAACTGTCAGTACCGATGATTGATTTAATCAGTTATTTACTTTGTACAGTAACAAGCATGTCATATTGCATGTTCTAAAAGTACAAAAAATGATGTCTTTAGCAAAAATATTCAGTGAGATGAACTGTCCACTAAAATATTGAGTTTATGAAGGCTGCAGTCAACAAAAAAATCTCTCAAATTCAACCTGCTTTAAAACCAATGGATTCAACGATGTCGATGAACTACCACAGTGGAGTGCACTCTACCTGGTGGCTGCTAATCAAACTTACACAACGTTGCCAAAAAAATGAATTCCTGCAGTTTAACCATTTCTTACATAATCAATGTACATCAACATATGTCAGCTCTGCATATCTCCCCCTGAAAAATAATCTAGACGCCTTTTCTCCTTATTAAAGTAACACCGGCGATTGTTGGACAAATGCACATCAACCAAACAAGGTGTCGGCCCAATAGTTGATATGATTCATTCTAATTGATAAGGACATCCTAGTCAAGTTTTCTTGGCCCCATAGTGATCGGAGTCCTTTAAATATTGGGTATCTGCCAATACAGAGTCCGACCCTTACATATACACAGAAAATACTTCAAGTATACGTTATAGATGTGATTTGAAGGAAAAGTGTTTGATTTGCCATGTCTCTGCGTCTGTGTGTCCAGGTTGCAGTGAGCTGACAGATGGCTGTCTGTCCTACCTAAAGCGTCTCTCCTCCCTGACTCTGCTGGACCTCAGAGGCTGTAAGAGCGTCAGCAGGCGAGCCTGTGACGCCTTCATCTCGGACCTGTCCCACGTCGCCCTGTACTGTATGATGGAGGAGAAGCTCATCCAGCGCATAGACTGACAGGAGCACCTCGTTACAGCACAACTTTGTGTATCATGTTCTTAAAATCCTGGAAAGCACCAAACCTGGGGTTAGCTGACCCAACCAGCATCTGTGGCAGTACTTTGGAGACGTCTCCTTTGGGTGCCAGAGCTCCTAAAGACCTCCACTTGCTCAATCTTCTCTGCAAGACTACAAACAAGCATTTCCCAAAGTGACAAAATATTCCTTTAAAAAGATTTATCTTGAATGTTCCCATTCCCTCCATGTCTTCTGTCATGGTTGGAATGTATGTGACGTTTAATAACCAGAGGTCTGGTTACGTGTGAAACTACCTTTATACAGACTGACACAGGATGGAGCGCAGCTTGGAAGGCCATTATTTTTGAGAGTAAGAAAATGGAAAATAGAACACTGATCCTGTTTTCTCACTAAATAGTGTATTATGGAGTCTGTGTGTGTGCGCGCGTGTGTGTATGTATGTATGTGTGTGTGTGTGTGTATATATATATATGTCTTTTACTTTATGTTTCATCCAGGTTAACATTCACACAGACAATTGACTTTGTACATTTTTTTTTTCTACTTGTGTAAAAAAATGTGAATTGTTGGACTTTGTGTAATAAACGGTGCTTCAGTTTATATAAGAATAGCCAGCGAGTGTTCAGTCTGTCCGAGTAGCTCCAGACACAGGTTCATCTATGCGATTAACTCAAGCTACTTGCGTTGAAGCCGCAGTAGGTCATTTTTCTAAATGTTACAGTTGAGTGTAATCCACTTGCCAAAAAAGAGATGTTCCAATATCATTTTTTTTCCTTCCGAAACCTTAACTTTGTATCGACTGATGCAAGTAACAATCCGATACACATAGCATATCCTACGAATTGCTGTGATTGTAAGGCCTGACCGGGTTTTGAGGCTAATGAATGATGTGGTATTGGATCGGCACACAGATGCACACACTCGCAGATTTCTGCATTTTAGGCAGTATCAGGAATTTCTGATACTGGAACAACTGTAAAACACAGTAAAGGTTAAAGATGAATCTGATTTATGGCATTTTGTTTCTCAAATAATCTATAGATATCGCTCATCTGTAGTATTTCTTCAGTAGCTAAAATGTTACATTTACCACATAAAGTAGACCTATGTAGGATAATAGAGTGGCCACCTTCTCAGCTATAGTCTGAGCTGGAATAGTGGGGTTTGTTATATTTCTTTGCCTCACTGAGATAGGACAGCTGAAGACCAACAGGAAGGAGAGAGGGAATGACTCACAGTAAAGGGCCACAGGTTGGACTTGAACCTGTGGCTGCTGCAGGAAGGACTCTAGCTGGGCACCTCAGAGCTGGAGTCAGTGTCAGCACCTGTGTCTGTTAAACCTGAACCTGGGTCTTCACTGGGAACACGGGTGTCATTACAGCTCACTATTACTGAATCCATTCACTCTGATGGTGTCAGCAAACAATACTCATCCAGACCTCTGGAGCTCACTATGTGATAGCTTAACACCGACTGTATGATTGGCTTCACAGTGGGGTTGAATTTGGTGTGTTACATCATGGCTGACAGACCAATAATATCTGCATGTAGGGTAAGTGAGAGCATGTGTTTTTATATATCAACAGTTTACTTGTTATTTATCCTCACAGAGACACAGACGTTCCACTCTCAACTTTTATTACAAACCAAAAATTCTTTTACATCTATGAAGAAACGTGTGTGTGTGTGTGTGTGTACAGTGTGAGTGAGTCTGGTTTCATCAGTACAGTGTGTGCTGGATGTGTGTCTCAGTCTAGTAGCTCTTGGTGGTCTCGTATGTGTCTGGGAACGGGAGGCTGACGTGTCCACTTCCAGCAACAAGAGGCAGGATTCCGGCATTGGGAACAACGTTCCATGACAGTGTCAGAGTGATGTTCTTGTTGGCCCTGGAGACAAGATGTGACAGTTAGTCGATCGCAAACTTATAGTGTAGCTTAACTCCTAAATTCTGCCGTAGTTTGTGACAGCGGCCAGAGTGACAGTCGATGTATATATGTAGAATTCACATACTTTGCATTAAAATGTCCAGATCTGATTTTATAATGACTCACTGGCTGCAAAAGGGGCACAACGGCCATTTTACTCATGAAGTTCATGAGTTTACTCGTCATGAGGAGTACAGCTCAGACTACGAAAACAGAAGCGTCTGTCTCTGATGATATAATGCTGTCATACACTAAGGATGTGGCAGACCATACAGTGAATTTCTGAGCTTTTCTATGTAGATGTTGCACCAATATGACTCAAAGGTTTTATAAAGTGCTTTAAGAGGTACTCAAAGGCAAAGATGGTGGCATTACAGTTATGTGTGAAATGTAGTGAAGCAGAAATAACGTACCACCACTACTACTTTTTATTCATGGTGCCAAAAGATTAAAGCAGTATGATTTTGGTGTTTGACAGTTTATCTAGCGCCACTGCCAGCTCAAACTGGTCAGATTGCCACCAAATGTTCAGTGAATGCAGCGTGTGTGTGTCTAACCTGAGTCCATTGCCGTCATCAAAGAAGAAGTATTTGGACTTCATGTCTCTGAGGTTCAGCTTGGTGTTTTCACCTCGGAGGACAATCTTGTCCCATAGCACCACCTGGTTCAGAGACTGACACACACACACACACACACACACACACACACACACACACACACACACACACACACACACACACACACACACACACACACACACACACACACACACAGATTATTTTCACTCCCAGTATGTTTGTCACTAACAAGGTCCATTCATCAAAAGAGCTGTGAATGAGAGTTAGCTCATTTTCATACATGTATTAAATGAATATGTATTACATACTGTACTGTTTTGCATATAGCGACATTTAGACTTTATTAAGTACACCTGTAACCTCTAATGCAATCCAGCAGCAGCTCAACCATGAATTCTGCTCTTACAAAGACAATAATGATCACTATGGATTGACCCGTCAGAGGGGTTCATTATTGAGGTTGTAGTGTGCAGTGGTGCTGCGTTACATCTAACAAATCTAACCCACAACCGTTCCTGGGTAGCGTTAAATATATATCATGTTATAATGTCTACAATAGTGCAGTTGAATGATGTCTCTGCTAACATACTGTACACACGTGTGTGTGTGTGTGTGTGTGTGTGTGTGTGTGGACTATGACTTACATTGCTCTTTGAGGAGTACTCAGCAGACAGGTAGAGAAACAGCTGTTTTACGTTCCAGTCAAAAATTGGCTGCAAATGTAGGAAAAGTTGAGGAACAACCAGAGAACAGACACTGACACTAAATTGCTTTGGAACCTCAAAGGTTGGTTCCCAGCTGGAACCCCAAAAACAGCAGGTTGTCCATGGGAACCAAGGGTTCTAAGAGTCATTAATGGAGCTGATTTGGTGGAAAAGAGGCCACACAACAGAGTATGAACTCAAAGTGTTCAGACAGAGACAAATCTATTTCTTAGGGACTTCTGCACAAAGTGATCTGAAACTAAAATAAGATCTTTCTTCATTTTGAGTAGCAAAGGATATCAGCTGAGAGGTCAAAGGTGATGAAGCCCAGATCACTGCGCTCCCTGGGTCCTGTGAAGTCGTCAACGTTCTTCCTGTTAAACAGGGAGAGAAGGAAGGATGAAGTGATGGATGAGTTAAACGACAGCCAGCAGACTGGCAGCACAGAGCTGCTGGTATTCACAGTTTAAAAAATATGCTCCTTTGGAAGCTGCACGGCACAGACAATATCAATACACAAGAAAGATAGCTCACTGTGAGTCTTACTCCCAGGGCATCAAACACAGATGTATCGGGACAGTGGGAATGACACTCAACTATCAACTATCTTCAAGCCTCAGTTTTTAGATCCTTCTGGGTTCTGATTGGTTGTTTTCGTTCAGGCCCGGTGGAGCTCTAGGAGGAACCAGAGGAACCAGAGGAACCAGACTGTTCACACATTATCTGTCTCATGTTCCACTGTCAGGATAAAGTGAAGGATTCAGGGAATATGACAGAGAGGTCGTTTTTATCCCAATGACCTAGAGCAGCTTTAAAGCAGCGGACCTCACTCTACAGCTAGCTGCTGAAACTGTAGTCCGGTATCCAACTCCAAACAACAACAACAACAACAACTTCAAACACAGTAAACATCAAACTGAAGCCTGACCCAACACCACCACCACAAGGCCCTGCCAGCTGAGCAGCCCCTCCAACCACCGAGCTAACAGCGGCAGCCACCGAGCGGCTCACTTCCGTGTGCAGTGAACAATGATGGCGGTAATGCACCGGTAAGAGATGTGACACAGCTGTAACACCGTACACTGGGCTCACGTTAACGCTAACAGCTGTGACACACGGTGTTCGACGGTGAACCTTACAGCATGACTTTAGCGACGTGGATGTCCACAGGAACTCTTCTGTCTTTGAATGCTGTCGTGATAAAACAGCCGAATGTTAAGGCCGCCATGACGCTCAGAGAGAAAGCGAACAGAGAGTTAGCTCTGGACAGCACCGTGTTCATCTTTACCGAAGCACTAACGTTACAAGCACAGGGCTGATGGGAACCGCGGGGTTAATATCAATGTATCACACAGGCTGTCTGCGGGAGCTAGCTGCTGGGACAAACAGGAAGCGGAAAGCTGGGACGAATTAACACGTACTTCCTCTTCGTGCGTTTCAAAATAAAGACATTTTGGGCTGCTGGGCCGTTTTTGTGAGCGAAAGATGTGTTGTGGGACAAAAGGGAAATATTTTGTTTAAGAAGATAAACTTTGTATTTAACTCACTGCAGTGTAGTGGTGTCTTAAATTAGTTTTATTCTCCTCTGTGAAAGGTTTTTTAGGTACTTCCGTTTTATGTATCACCGTTAACTTGACGCGAAACATTTGAACGCGAGCGATGAGTAGGCGGAAGCAGTACATTCTTTTTCTTCAATAACTTTATTCATAACCAATTCAAGAACAAGTCTGACTAAATCTGCGCATGTCTGGTGAAATGAGCTAAAATCGAGACTGTATCAAAGCGAGGCATCAACAAGACCAGAGAATTCCTGAATAAAAGCGGTTAGTTCTGGGTTCTGTGGCTTAAAACACAAAGTAAAGGGCCCTTGCCATTTATCATAAAACCAAATGATTCAAAGCCCGGTTTCCCCTCAGAAATGACACATTTTCTCATCTTCACCTCTCTCCTCTCATACTGTAGTTCTTTAGTTGTGCATAAAATAAAATAAAACAGAAGAGCGCGGCCTCTAGTGGCAATCACAGGGAACTGCAACACAATCTCTGGAACAGTCCCTGTCCCTCTTAAGGTAATGGCCTTTAAATCTAAACTTTCTACACATCTCAGGTTGGCCTCTTTCTACACATCTACAGTTCAGTAGGCTTACATTTCTTAAAGTCAATCCAGTGCAACACAAAGTCAATGTGTATATATTCACTTGTATATGAGAGCTTCAGTGTTAGTCAACCCTGTCTTCTGCATTTGCCCACATGTTCTCATCCCCAAAATATTTCATTTCCTCTCTTACAGTACACCTGGGAAAGAATCTGTTTGCATGCCTGATCCATCCCTGGCAATCTTCTGCAGATATTTCCGCACATTCACATTCATTGTGTCCAGGAGAGACATCTGATGGTGTGGACGCCGGTGGTCAGAAATGTTTCACCTCCACAAGGGGAACACTTCCTCTATGAGGGTTGAGGAATGGCAAGTATGAAGGATGCAGCATAGCGTAGAAAGCTGAAGTCTACTTTACATTCATTTTAATGTCCTGTTCTGTGTTAATACAGAGTTTAGCTGGTTGAGAAAACTCCCAATGAAATCCTTCATCAAGTTAGGTATGCATCTGCTCTCATGGAGCTCCACATTCATCTTCTGTCTTAAGCACTCAGTATACTCGCCGTTCTCGACCTGTCGCGCGACAATGTGACATCACAGGAGTGCCGTTAATATTTATAGTTACGCGTGGTGGTCGCGACACTAGTTGCAGTCTTCTCCTGAACAGAGGTGTCGCTACTGAGGAAAGGCTACCGACTTTACTATTTCTACGCACTTTTTTTTTCCAAATCGGTCATGGAGGTTCTTCCAAATTTTCCAGCATATCCTCTTTTCCAACATTCATGGCGAGAAATCGCCATGAATTCTGGCACCTCTGGGCATCTCTGTGTTCCTTCATGGAATGGCGCCAGCGACAACGGCAGCCTGTCATGGCAGCTCCTATCATTGTTGTAGTTTTAGTGTGTTTTCAGTGTTTTTAGCCTGTGTTTTTTGCTATTTTTAACAGTTTTCTTACTCTCCTACTTTCTTACTACTTTGTTCACGTTGTTGCGCGACAGGTCGGGAACGGCGAGTATACAAGAGCCTTTACTCTACCCTACTTTTCCTTCTTCAGCTTCCTTTTTCTGATTCTCTCCCTGACATGTCTTATCCTGCTGCACCCCCAGGTGGTGGAGGACTGATAACGACACCCTGAAGGAATACAGCTTCCAGTTTCCACTTAAAGTGACCTTAGACTGGCTGAAATGTACTTAATACAAGAAAGGAATTGGGCTGAATTGACTCCATTTCTCAAAAATATACAATTTCAAGATGAGATCTCTCTGTAAACTGCATATCTTTCATAACATCTGTGTAAAGCAGGACTGGATGATCCTGTTGAGGGCCCCAGGGAAGTTTACTGCAGTCTGTACATGCTAACACTATCTGGCTTCAGGTTTTCTATGTGTCACTTTGATTGTATTCATTTGATTAAACGCAACTTTATTTAGCAATATGCACAAATAGAGAGTAAAATAATACAGCTCATAAAACTAAATTTTGACACTCTTAAAGACACTCAGGTTGATGGCACTGCAATGGACTGTACTGCACCCTCATAACAAAATAAGCCTTTAAAGCTGTAGTAGGTCATTTTAAGTCATATTTGTTCTTTCACTATATCCTGACAGTAGTACATGATACAGATAATCTGTGAAAAAGGCCACTCTGGCTCATCTTGGTCCAGTTTGTTGTGGCATTAGCAAGAATCCACTGTATCTGAAAGAAAACAACCAATCAGAGCCAAGAAAGATAGTTTCAAGAGTCTCAAGAATCAGCAATCAATTATCTTCAACCCGCCAATCCAGTGTCTGTATTTGATGACTTAGGAGTGAGACTCAACAATCAACTATCTTTCTTGATTCCAGAATAAGTCTACCATGTACTGCACCTGTTTCCAACGGCATCTTACGAACAGGTCATTCTTATCAAAGACTCCAGGGGGCAGAATTGGCTTGGTGTTTAAGAGCCAGATGTGGTTTGGGGTAAGCGGTTCAACGACTGTTCAAGATAACCTCTACTACACACAATAGAGTTTGCAGCCTCTCTTCATCTAGAGTCTGCTGTTTCAAAACAGAATGGAGCACCTGCCGAACAGATCTTATGAGATGCTCCCATACTCCTCCATGGTGGAATGCTCCTAGGGGGTTGAAACTGCACTGTATCATGGTGAAAGCAAGGCTCTTTGAATCCTGTGCAGAGAGGGCTTCTCTCATTTCCCTCTGGGCCCCAACAAAATTAGTCCCATTGTTGGACCTAATATGCTTTGCTTGTCCTCTTATACAAATGAACTGTCTCAAGGCATTGAGACATGAGTCTGTGTCAAGGGAGTTGCCCTAATAGTCATGCAAGTGAATAACACGCCATAGCTCTTCAATATGGTACGTCCTAAATAATAATCAACACCAAACGTTGGTAAATGGGGGCGAATCTGGCTCAAGCCTTTTTCTGTGGCATTCACCTATTGTTTTCCTTACTGCTGAGTTGGCTTTGATTATCCAATATCTTTTGCCAACCTCAGACAAAATGTGGGTTCTTCCCCCATGTCCAGTCTTTTCATGCATGTGTCAATTTTTGTCTCTTCCAGCATAGCTGCCCTACTCAGGCGTCCTCCACTCTGAGCACACCATCCTTTGACACTGGGTCGAGCTTATAGATGTTACTTGTCTTTTTGACACCATTTGTCACCACTTGCAATATTTCCTCTGGAAAGTACTGCTTTTGGGTTTGACAGATGATTGTGTTCTCTGCCTTCTCTAGATCTTTCAGACAAATGATCTGTTTACCCAATGTGGCTTTGACACTTTTCCTTTTCTGGTCAGAAACATTGCCGCTGCCTCCAGTGCTTGTATTTCAGCCACTTGCAGTGGAATGAAACTCTCTGCTTCTGTGCGACAGCAGTTTCAACATTTCTTTGAGCTTCAGAAACCATGCTACTGCAACCTTCAGTGTACTCCAGCTGGAGAATGCATGAGGGGCTTGTCTGTAGGATTCTCATTGCTTACAGTAGAGTTTCTTTTGACTTTTCTGACCACCACAGTATATCATCCCAGATTCTTCATAAATGTGTCTGCATTCTTCCCCCTAGAGGGGGCATCAGTAGGATTTCGCTTTGGGTTCACGTATCTCTGATGATATGGTAAATGGTAAATGGACCTGTACTTGTATAGCGCCTTTCTAGTCTTCTGACCACTCAAAGTGCTTTTACACTACGTGCCACATTCACCCTTTCACACACATTCCTCCAGTGATGGCAAAGTCCATCGAACAGAAACTAACAATCATACACATTCACACAGCGATGCACGGCATCGGGAGCAATTTGGGGTTCAGTATCTTGCTCAAGGATACTTCGACATGTGGCACCAGGAGCCGGGTATCGAACCCACAACCTTCCTCTGAGCCGTAGCCGCCGGATATCTCCCTGATAATGGAGATCCTGTTAGCAATAAATGTGTGGAACCTCGGAGTACTTTATCCACTCTAGTGGCCAATACCTGCAGCAGCCAGCTCCATCTGGAGTGTATTCTTCTTGAGGGGAGCCACTTTTCTCATCATCATTAATGAAACATGAAGGGTGTTTTGTCATTCATCACTCTCAAATAGCCAACAAACCTTGCGCACTTAGTTGTGCCTGCATGTGTCAGCCAAAGTCGTTGGGTGTGAGGCATCTTCTCACCTTGAAGTCAGTGATCCTCAGGATCTTCCATTTAACCCACAGTTCAGAGAACATCTTGGGTACTTCCTCCTCCATAGTTCAGTTTACATAGCTCCTTTAGCAGTTTAGCAGGCAGAGTGAAGGTAGTCCACCACTAAATCCTTTATAATGTTTTTTTCTGCGCGTTATCTGTCCAAGATAAATTCAAGATTAGATTAATTTAATTAATAATAATTAATTTCCACTTCTAAATCAATATGAATACTTCAGCAGACTTGCGTTTAGCATCTTTCTGTTGCAGTCACATCATTCCAATCCCGGTATGAAGTATTAAATTAGGCGCAGGGATGCATTGTAATTTCCTTGCACTGACAATCCGAATAAATTAATAACAATCCAACGTGGAGTAAAATTCATTCATTTCTACTTCTGATTCTGATTCTGATAAAAATCATCTCCTTCGTCTTGCTGGTGTTTAACTGAAGCTGGTTGAGCTCACACCAGCTGACAAAGTCCCTGATGACCGTCCTATGTTCCAGTTCGTTCCCCTCATAAACACATCCACCAATGGCTCGCTCTTCCATTTCTTCCATCAAAATTCTCTCCTTGCTTTTACAAATGTTGCATAAAAAAACAACCACTAAATTATTATTGTAAACAAAAAATAATAAGTAATAATAATAATAAATAAAAAATAAGTAAGCAGATTTAGAGATGACATGCAAGCTGCACAGTCTAAAGACTGTCAGCCACAGCACTGGCTCGCATCTTCCTGCAGGGTTACACACAGTATTAATAAACACACACACAATACAAAATGGCCAATATAAGAAGTGATACATTAAAATATATGAATAAAATAAAATGGGCTCCTACATTATTCATTTATTCTTATATATTTGGGGGGGTCTGTAATAGGTTTGCTTCAGTTGTGAGACCATCCTCTGTGAATGTGTATTTGTTTTAAAATAAATAAAAACTGATTTGAAAAGAAAAGAAATGGCTTTCATGTAAAAGGCTTTGCACTCTGTATCTGCAGCATGTTATTTGATGGGAGTGATGGTTGAGCTGGAATAAAAACACAACTGCCAGTTTGGATGAGATAAATGACCAGTGTAATAGTTAATATGCGGCCCATCATATAGACTTGAGACTGGAAGAACATGTGTTCCAAATGGTGGTAAAGGGGTTCCATGGTTGCTTTGTTTGTCTCCAGGTGCATCATTTATATACAGCATCATTTAAACACAAACAAAACCTCTAACTCTCAAGAAAAGTTGTTCACGACTTTCACAACTTTCACTCGAGGATTTCTTCCAAATGAACCATTCTACTGAGGACTTCTCCCATCCATCAAGACCTAAAGACTCCCAGAGACTGAAGGCCAAACGACAAACTACCATCGTGGAAAATGTAAGATCTGAACACAATCACAGATCAGTGTTCATTTCAAAAAGACCAAACATGTGCAGAAATGGCTGATTCAAGCCTAATAATAATAATAACAATGTCATCTTTCTATGTAACTAATAAATCCTGGCAAAAAGCACAACATAATCTGGGGCCTTATGGTGGGTCCTGCTTCGTTACCTACTTTTAAGACTTTATTTCAATTTTGTTACCATGTTGATTATATATACATATTAATCATTGATAATTCCTGAATATGAATTCTGTTTGTATTCCAGCACAGAAGAACTGTGCACACTAGGAGTTAGTTTAGTTCATTTGATGTGAGCTGTTGGTTTCTTTAGCAGGGATGATGCACATTAAAGGTTCATGGCTACTTTATTTACCCAAACATTGCTGTAAATGAGTCCTGTAGAGCTGTAGTCCCTGGACAGACACTAATGAAATAAAATAGAAGCATAATTCTGGACACCCTTACACTATTAGAAACATTCAACATGAAACCCAGAGGCTCATAATGCAAGAGCACATACAAAAACAATCAAATGATGGGTATTGGTGATAGATAGATAGATAGATAGATAGATGGATGGATGGATGCATGGAGCCAACAGGCAGTGTTCATGCTGCAGGGACAACCAGGTTAGACACTTGAGTTATTGTGAAAAAGAGCTGATGTCCCAGATTGTTCAAAATGTAATCCTGGAGAATTTCAGAATTCGACAGCTTTTTAAAAAAAAAAAAACACATTGTGGATTATCTTTGAATACTTGGAGACACTGTACAGGCCTATTGCACTGCTGATATGACTCTTTTACATTACAGTAACTTTCCTGTTCAAGTTCCCATCAAATCCTTGACCAATTCATAACTTTACTCTGTGACAACTTCAGTTTTCAACTTCAAGTTCATCTAAACTGTCCTTGAATTGAAAAATAAATAAAAAATCTTGGAGACAATCTGTGAAGGGTCTTTTAATTTGAAAAAAAAGGTCCTCTGCAGTGGATCTGATCTAGATTTTTCTCTTGGGAGACTGTAAAAGTATGTTGTTAAGGAAGGAAGCTTCAGTCCACACCTCCACCTGCTGACTCTACCGACAAACTGCAGGGAGCCTCCACCTGCATTGAGAGCAGGTGAGACAGCGCACAGGTAAGGTGAATGGAGGCCACACCCTCATCAGTCACACACAGGGAAGGAGGAGGAGGAGTAAAGGGAGTAGGAAGGGAGCAGAGCCATGACACCTTCTCCCTCCACCTGAAGATTCTGCCAAACAGCTTAAGTCCAAACCTCCACCTACAGCCTAGACCAACAGCTCCATGAAGTGCAGTTTGTGGCATCAAGCTGCAGTACACACCTGCAACTGCAGATTTGTGAAGACAGTCTACTTACAGCCTATACCAGCAACCTGCAGCAGCTACCTCCATCTTCAGATTGTGGCAAACAGTTGTACTATAAACATCTGCCTACAGCCTGTGCCACAAACCTGCACACTCCCTCCACCTGAAGATTGTGTCAGGAAAGCTGAAGTCCAAAGACACAACAACAACCTCTGCCAGAAACCTATAGCTTTCACCTCCATTTGCAAATTGCAGCAGAAGGTTTCACCTTCTTCTACACCCTCTGCCAAACCTCCATTTATCTCTGCAATCAACCTGTAAGCTGCCTCCACCTGTAGATTGGGGTGGAAAGCCCTCCTCCATCTGTAGAAAGTCCTCCTACATTTTCCCAAACATCTAAAATCTGAACCCCCACCTACCTACAGCCTCTGGCATCAACAAGTTAGCTTGCTGTGTTACTTGTACTTGTTCTATAATCCTTTGCGCTGTTGCTCAATAAAGTCCATCAGTCTCTGCAGTCATCAGATCAGTTATTCGAGTCCACATGAATTAGCAAAAGATACCTTAATATTTGAGATTTTAGTAAATTTGTGGAATTTTGAATGGTATTTTAATATTAGAAAAAACGTTTTTATTGCATTTTGCCAGGAGCCATTTGTAATTAGCCTAATTAAGGAATGCTAAAGCCATTGTGACGTTTAAAGGCCCGGACACACCAACCCGATTATCGGCCGTCGGACGTCGTTGGACAGTCAGGCAAGGTCGGTGACTCGAGACAGTTCGGTGTGTCCCGTGCCGTCGTTAGTCGGCGTCGGCGTTCATTTTGGCCAATTCGATATGTAGAATCGGCCAGTGGCCGTCGGCCTCAATGACCAATCTGACTGGTGGAGTGCTAGCCCTTGACTAGCGAATCAGTGAGTGCACGAGAAAACCAGAAGTGACGATGGTAAACATACTACACCAACGCCAGTATCTTGTTATTATTAGCCATCGTATTTTCTGTTCAGCGAGTAATGACAATAACGATCCTTCTTGACTACTATCAACACTCTGATGAAAACAATGACTGACAACAGCGTGCTCTGTGTTTACTAGGTCTAGAGTGATCCGTCAATTATGGTTTTCATTTTTTTTGGGTGACAACACAGATTAGCGTCGCCTGCTGTTATGGGGACGTATTACGCCTCACGCACGCGCAGAACGTACACTCCAGTCGGCGTCGGTTTGGTGTGTTCGGAGGCACTTTTTTGACCAACTTGGGGAGACGTGAGCCGACTGATCAGTCCGACTGCTTTTCTGCCGACGGTCGGCCGTCGGGTTGGTGTGTCCTGGCCTTTAATGTATATGGACTAGTTTACTACAGTAAATTAGTCCTTATAAGGCTTAGTAAATAGTATGTATACATAAGCACAATCAAAGCTAAAATAAATTAAAACCAGTTAGATGGGTCTGTAGCTTAAAACAATGTTTCCTAGTGAGTTTTGGGAACATTTTAAATTCTTTTTGTGGCATTATTACTGGGCTGCAAATTGCACTGAGGTTCCCCTAGTGGTCTGATGTCTCCCCACGCTGGTTAAAACCTGAATCCATGTCAGTTTCACATTTTTTATGATGTACTTCTGTCACAGCCAAATTCTGAAAATTTGTTCTCCCGGTTGTCACAGCATTTACGGTACCAGTGGATGCCAGTCATCTCAGGGAAGCCTAAGCTGAAGCACTGGACGTTCCAGTATCAGAGGGCTCGTCTGGTATACGGAGCTGTTCTAACAATACTAGATATAGATTAATTAAATTTAATCTGGGCACCTTGGTGGTCCCATACCAACAGACTGCTCTGCACTGTGTTCTGACACCTTACTATCAGAACCAGCATTAACTGTTTCAGCAGTTTGAGCTCTGTAGGATCTGTTGGATCGGACCACACGGGGCAGCCTTTACTCCCCATCTGCATCAATGAGCCTTGCCGCCCCCCCACTGACAGGAGACATGATAACCAGATAATTAGTGTTATTCTGTTCACCTGTCAGTGCTCACAGTGTTATGGCTCATCGGTGTATTCTGGCACTGTCCAGGCGGCTGTGGTGCAAAGGCAGAGCGGGTCGTCTGAAGGTTTTTGGTGAAGCCGCAATCTTGTAGTATTTATTTTGTAAACGATTTACATCTCTTTTACGTAAATGTGATTCTTGTATAAGCGCTACATCTATAGTCTTTCTTCTCAAGTAGTCCAGGAATTTAGCTCGTTTGATCGGCCCATCCCTCTTTTAGTCCAACGATGCGTACATTGTTGCGTCGAGATCTGTCTTGCATTTCAGCTAGCTTATGCTCAAATTTCTTCTGGTCATCAACACAGGCATTCACTATTTTTCTCATCTGCCTATTATCCCCCTGTGTCTTGTCCATTCGTTGCATCAGACCACGTACAGTAGTTCCCTGCATCTCAAGCTCTGTCCTGATGTGTTGCAGCGAGGTATTCATTTCTGTTAGCGCTCCCTTTACTGCATTGTGGACCCCTGATTCAAGCACACTTTGTTGCTTCTCCAAGACCTGAGCGATAATGTCCTCCATGCTTAGGTCCGCGCTAGCATCAGTCGCCACGTTAGCAGATTTCTGTTTCTGAGTAGATAGCTTAGACGACAGCGAGACCTGCTTTCTTGCGCTTGAAGGCATTTCACTGAGTCACTGTGATAACTAATAAATCAGAATCAGAATCAGAATCAGAATTTGTTTATTGCCAAGTAGGTTTTTATGCCTACGAGGAATGTGACCTGGTGCAGTTGGTGCATAAAAATATATACATATACATAAAACGATTTGACGTCAAAGAAAAGGGAATAGACCTGATTTTTCAATTAAATAAGGAGGTGGGTGAGGAGCTCTAGCTCTCAGCAACCATTGCGGTTGTTGGTCACGTGACCACCACTCTGTCCAGGTCATTTCTGATGTGACATATTTAACTGTTTTTCCAAATAATGGAAAAAGAATTGGAAATATTTGGTTGCTCTAACAAGACAAAGGCCCTGTGATTTATTTACCTAAGATTTAATTTGACAACCCAAACTTGAGTGACAAGATGGTTATGTAACAGGAGTGGACTGTCAGATATAGTCTGACAATGTTTTTTAGTTCATATTCTTTACAATAAATTAAAAGATAATAAATATATTTTGTGCTTTCTAAAACTTGTGCATAGACTCCCGCATAGTTACTTTGTCGATCACAATCAAGTATACACAGCTTAATTAACCCTATAGCTCTACATAAGAGAATGAGGCTATCAGATTAAGGTGAGGTGGAAGTCCAAATGGCTTTTCCACATGCAGAGAAAACTGTTTTTTATTTGTTTGTTTATTTGTCATATACAAAGTTGAACATTCCCACAGTGATTGTTCATGAAGGAAAAATTACTTTTTGATAGATCACCAAATATAACAAATGTGAATCTGTTAGATTAGAACTGGATCTGAAAGTACAACTACTTTTTAAATGAATGAGAAAGATTTAATTATTGAGAATTAAGCTCCTATTTTTGAATGAAATGAAAACATGAAATTCAGACTGAGACTACCACAGTTTGACCTACTTTGTAAAGTTGCAGATAGTAGCTCCAGTCTATATATACAGCTGCTGCTTAAGTTACACTGCTGTGTTACTTGCGTGTGGTGAGGGGGAATACATACCACTTACCAAGCCTTGATGAGGCTGTTTAAAGTTAGACTGATGTATAAGACTGATATTGGTTATTTGGTGTACCTTGGGGGTGTAATGGAGGCTCCCTCCTGCCCACTACAAACCACTTCTATTTTTTATTAATATATCAGATGTCAGAGAAGACAAATTATGTGGTCTGAAAAGCATTAGAGTAGTGATTCTCAACCTGGGGTCTGGGGACAAAAGGGGTACATATATATACAAGAGATAAATATAGATAATATAATATAGAAATATGACAAAATATACAAAAATAATATTATGAATAGGTATAAATAATATTTGAACTAATAAACATTACATTATTGTGGCAGATTAGTAAAGCAGTGGCATTAGACATCAATAATTAGTTTTATTTCTGAATCCTTTCCTGTCTTTTTTTTATTGGACTATTATAAAACTCATCTATAAAAGATGTAAATTCGTTTGTTAAATTGGACAGCACTTGACACCAAACTGGTGTGGCAGCTGGGGTGGCCAGGCATTTACTAGGGGTGACTGTCACCACATGCCACCACTCTAGATCCGCCCTTGCTGAAAAAAAAAATAAGCCATGATGACACACAATATTGACCACTGGCACATTTAGTAAAAAAAATAAATAAATAACTAAATATACTTCACGTAATGTGTGTAGAGATTGGGATCTGATCAGAAGTCAGATTTGGTGAGAGTCAATGAATGAATCCTACATGGATGACAAAGAGTTAAAGATGAGACAGCGTGTGTGTTGTTATCAGTCAGATACACACACAGTGCTGAAGGCTGTGTGCACATCAGGGTTTGTCCACTTCAGGGACAAAAATAGTCCCTCTCGTCCACACGTGGGAGCGCATGTGAGATGGTCATGTGCGTTGAACACAACAACAACAAAGCCGTTCAGCCAATCAGATTGCTCCTCTCGCTCTCGGCCCTGGCTCGCGCTCCGCCGCTGCAGTCTGTCGCGGTCGTTTGAGCGGTAAGCGCGTGAGCTTCAGCCCTGTGGAACATGCCAGAGGTTCCGCCCGGAGCTCCGGAGATGTCCCGGAAAAGAGCCGCTGAGCCCGGACCAATACTCGAGCACGTCCCGGAGAGGAAGAAGGCCTGCTGGGGCATTCTGACCAGCCAAGGTCGGTACATTGCTGGATCGAGGTACAGGTTGTTTATGGTGCTGGTGCGGGCAAACCTTGAGGATAGAGCAGTCCGGTAAAAAAATAAGTGTAAAATTAAATAAAAAAAACCGTTCTAGTTTGTACAAGTTCTTGTAGCTCAAGGGCTACACTGTGTTTGACATTTGATACTTGGGCCTCACACTAATTTTGCTCCCCTTATTTACAACTCTGACAGCCTCCTTGGCTTCGAGGTCTGTCGAAAAGACAGAAATATGAAAAAAAAACCCAACATTTTTTATATCAAACCTCTCAACAAAGCTTTTATAAAGCACTTTTTATAAATATATATAGAATTATACATTTTTATAAAGATATTTCCTATCCGACATTAGTGAGTGAGTGATATAGACAGTGCAAAGCTCTTTTTCTGATCATTTGAACTGAAATGTAAAAAGGGATATAGTTACAGGCAGGATCCCTTTAATAAGTAATCATACTGTGCATTGTTCTCTTGAAAATGAATTTAAAATTACACAACTCTTTCATTATCCATTCAGGAAGGGCAGTACTGGGAACACATTCTTCCTAACCGTTAATACCTGTGTCCCACTGCTATCAATCATCATATCACTGTCTGCCTGTATCTCCAATCAAGTCTATTCTATCTGTCAAGTAGAGCATTGTGATTAATGTCTGATTAGGCCCTACAGACAGACAGCTTCATAAAACTGTTTAGTGCTGTTCAGAATGTCTGATAGAGTTGGAAAGGTCCTTGGAAGTGGTGGTGGGGTGTGTATTATTGTAATCCTCAGAGTGTAGTGTCCAGCCACTTCCTGCAGCAAATGTTCCTGGCATTGAATTGCTGTATCGTTCCTTACTGTGAATTTATTTAATGGAATGTGATCTGCCAAAAAGTGCTGAAAAATGTAAATGTAGGTTTAGAGAAACTTTTCTTGACATCTCAAGATCTGAGTGACAGATGTTACTGTATAAAGTTGCATTATTTCAAGCTCGTTTTATCACGCTGTAACTACTGCAAAATGAACTGACATGGAACCAATACCCATTTTCTTTTATATTTGTTGTACTTTTCTGCCAGTATAAACGTAAAATGGGTCTTAAATTGCATTCATAAGGGTCTTTAAAAGGTATTAAAAAGTCTGCTGAAACCTGCAGAAACCCCGGAGTGAGAGAGTAAAATGGCATTATTCCTAATTCTGATTTAATGCTTCTTGTCCCAACATTGATTTTAGCCATTTTAAAAAGGTATATTTTAGGTTAAAACTCTAAATAAAATTCAGAATACCACTACTGCTACTGCTAATACTACCACTAATAAAGATATAATATATCACAATTTGATTCAAATATCACAGTAGGGTCAGTTCAGTATAATTTAGGTTAATACTGATTGTAATAATTGTACAATAAATAAGTCAGGACACTTTCACATCCATCATTTCAGAGGTGGATAATAATAACAGCATCATATGTGACTTTTGGGCAATATCAACACCTAATACCTATATATGGTAGGCTACTGCTACAGCTCACATGTCCTGAACATGCTCAAATTATTCATGAACAGAGAGAGACGAGGTGCCGGGGTGGGGGTAAGGGACAGTGGTAGAATGAGAGAAGGAGGAAAATAGAGGAGAGAAGATGGGCTGTGTATTAACTTTGCGCATGTCAGCGTTAATTGCAAGTAGGCCCTTATCTTCTACAAGCCATGCTATTTGCTTCAGATACATGTTATTTCAAGCAAGCTGTGTAGAAGGATGGACAAAATGACAATACTGTGAGATGATATATATTTGACAGATTTAGCATTGCACTCCTGTAATATTGACTCGTGATGGACAGTTTACAAAAAGGACAAGTAGAACCAGAGATATCGTCTTTTTATTACACAAACTCTATTTCCTTGTCAAAACCCAGGGCCTACATCACCCACAATCCAACTTTACTTCTGACAGTTGGATAGAAGACTGGGGGGCCTGAAATCAAGTCTAATTTGTGCCACTTTCATATTTGGTCCAAATCAGACTGGAACAGATCAGATTCCATGTGGTTTGAGTTGTTCACACTGTCATAAAGAAATCAGATCTGAGTCACATACGAGCAAAAGAATCAGATTAGGGTCACTTCGCAGTCTGAGCGCAGCCTTTGACTCCAGCCCAATAACCAATTAAGCAATTCGTTTTCAACTATTAAATTAATCACTAACTATTTTTGCCTTAAGTCATTTAAGACAAAATGTCTAAATTCTCTGATTTCTGCTTTCTTTAGTCCTCTGTGACAGTTAGGTGAATATATTTGGGTTGTGGACAAAACAGGACGTCACCCTGGACCAAACAACTAATCAATTAATCGAGAAAACGATTGACAGATTAGTCTATAATGAATAGAATTGTTAGTTGTTATTAGCATTTTTTCATACATATAATATAGAGCATAAGGTTGCCTTAAAATGTGCGTGAACTGGGACCAATGTGTACTATAATAGATGATATTCAGAAAGGTAGTTAATGTGGGTGGAGTGGAGGAGTCTTCTGTGGCAGTCTGTGCTCATGACCTTCCCAAGATGGCTGCTGGCATGTACCACGCAGATGAGGCACAGGACAGAAATGAGCTCACAGACCATCTAAATATGGCCGCCTCCCTCTGTAAGTGTCTACTCTGAGCAGATTAGATGAGAATAAGAAGGCTTTAAAGCATGTTCTGGTGGTTGAGTCAGTGCGCTGAGCAGATAGGTTGGGTTAGTGTGTCAGAGATTGCTCTGCTTCTGGCAGAAGCATAGATCCAGTTATTTATTCATGTAGCTAGTAAGCTAGCTAGTTGTTATTTTTAGAATTTGCAGGTTGTTGTCAGCGTAGCTGCGAAGGTGGTCTTCCAGTCTGACAGACTCTGCATAAGGACACGTATTCAAAATGTCTTACATCTACCAGTGGCTGGACGTGCCGTGGGGAGACGGAGATATGGGTATGTTGCAGATAAGACTGTGTGTTTATATGGTGTATACTGAGGTGCACTTACTGCTGCCACAGCTGTTGAGAAAAAGCTCACTAGCACTAAATATACCCATAGAGAGCAATGCTAGAGGCCTGCTACACATTCAGCACATATTTTCCTTTCATTCAAAATGAATGGGGCTACCAAACAGCTGTTGTCATTATAAGATATTTTTAATTGAAGCTACTGTAAGTGCAATTTTATGTGATTTTGGTGTTTTAGTTTTGTATCTTTATGTTTTGGCTTATATAAAAGTAAGAAAACCCTGGTGAAAATGAGCTCATTCATCTCAGTGTTATGTGCCACATCTATCACAGTTGATACTGGGAGTCACTAAAGCCAGAAATCTTACACAACTGAAACTCAGTGGCATACTGGAACATTGGAGAGTGAGAATTAGTCTGTTATTATGTCATTTAATGAAACATTTTGCTACAAAACCAATTAACAAACTGTTTTCTTGTGTCTGTGTTTGTGTGTGTGTCCATCCAGGGTCGTGGGCAGATCGCTCTCCTCTCCATGAAGCAGCTTCCCAGGGTCGACTGCTCGCCCTGCGCACTCTGCTGGCCCAGGTAACGGCCTTATAACCAGGGTTGGGGAGTAAAGGATTACATGTAACTGAGTTACGCAATCGGGATACAAAAAAAAAGGTAACTGTAATGTAACAAAAGCACCTCCAACTCCAATGTGAGAGCCATCTGCTTTGTACACTTGAATCTGAATAGAGTTAGTGTTTCAATGTTTGCAGAATGTATACATTTGGAGAGAACATGAAGAATATGATAGAAAATCATATAGTGTGTGATATGTCATGGCGGATGTTTGCAACTGATGTCTCAGACCGGTGACAAGTTTAGCACAGTGTTCTTCCTGAGATACACAAATGCTCAGAATTCATTCAAGACGGACTCAAATGAGGATTTTAAACATCTAAGCACAGTGCTGTGTGCTTTCATTTTCAGGGATATCACGCCAACATTGTCACCATCGATCATGTGACCCCTCTCCATGAAGCCTGCCTGTCAGGACATGTAGCCTGTGTCAGAGCATTAATAAATGCTGGAGCTAATGTAAGTATTCCTCCACTTATCCCCACCATCATTACATAATCACTGTGTCCACACTAGAACACACTTGCATTTGTACACTGCTATATGTGTGTGTGTGTGTGTTCCTAGATATACTGACTATATTGTATTGCTTACATCCGTGTATGTCTAGGTGAATGCTGCTACCATAGACGGCGCCACTCCTCTGTACAACTGCTGTGCCTCCGGGAGCGTCGGTTGTATGGAACTACTGCTGCAGAATGGAGCGCACACACACACGCCGCACACACACTTCCCCTCAGCTCTGCACGAAGCCTGCAAGAGAGGTAAATACTGTTAAACAGTAGCAGCTCAGCATCCAGGGGTCATGTGTTATAGTTGGATTAGTCTGTGTGTGCAGGTGTCCATCCATCATGCATAATATCTCAGACACTACCACAGATTTTGATGGAATTTGGCTGAAGGACTCAACTCGTGCTAAAGGATGCTACGACATGTGTAGCTCCGGTTGTTTTACAACAAACTGTACAGTAGAGACGTCACATCCTGAAAACAGAGAGCACGCATGTACTTCTCACTAAGTTAAAGGTGTTGTATACGACTTTCAGACTAGATATCACACTAGACCTCAGCATCTCTGTCCAAAACTAATAAGCAAGAACTACAGCCCATCAGACTGCATTGACAAAAATACAAAATTTACCTCCCAGATCATAAAACGAGAGAAAAGAGAGAGTGAGTGTGACTTGATTCTCTACTCAGGACACCATGATTCCACTGTATCTTTACATAGCCAATAGTTGTTTGCTGCTGTATTAATCTTCCAAAATATATAGTCTTTAAGAAGCTGGTGCAGCATAAATTGTACCCAATTATACTGTGTGTGTGTGTGTGTGTATGTAATAGGTAATAGCCAGTGTGTGGAGTCCCTGCTGTCTCATGGAGCAGATCCAGACTATGACGTGTCCCACTTGGGCTCTCCTCTCTACATGAGCTGTCTGCACCGACACACAGCCTGCTCAAAGATTCTGCTGCACAAAGGTGTGTGTTTGTCTCATGTGCTGCAACTTGCTGCCATTTCAACTAGTAGCACACCTATGGTACCTCCTGTTACACGAGCTGTTATTGTTTTAGTTTGGATGGTTCAACCAATGAGCTCTCCTCTGTGATTGTTTCGTCTGATGGATTTTTTAGAGCATTTAACAAGAAAAAATTGTACTACAGAAATATTTCTTTTGGAATCCATTTTATGACCTCTACCTCTATGATTATCTTGGGACCCCTTTGTTGGTCCTGGCTCTGTTGTTGGGAACGACTACCTCTGTGAAGAAGTAATGTTTCATTGCTTTCTTCTGACATCTGTGCAGTGGTGTAAAGGGTGCAATTTGACCCTGTCCCACTGCAGTTTCTATCTACACTATAACTGCCTTTACATTGAATCTAATTCATTACATTTTCTTCATCTGTCCTCTTGTCCTTTTCTTTTCCAGGAGCTAATGCAAATATAGGCAGAGGAGGTGACAGTCCTCTGCATGCAGCTGTCAGACAGGACAGTGCTGATCAAGTGTCGGTGTTACTGGACTATGGAGCTGATGTCAACATCAGAGACAGTAACAATCAGCGACCCGTGGAGCTAGCGCCTCCTGGTGGAAAAACACAACAGCTGCTGATGACATTTGAAGGTACTGCAATATCCTCTGCTACCGATTCTCAATACTGATGTATGGCACCACTTGAAAATCAAGCTGAACTGTATCACAACAGTAAGAGGAAATCACTCTGTCTCTCTCCAGTTTCTCCGAGGAGTCTCTGCCAGCTGTGTCGTCTCCAGATCAGGAATCTGATCGGTCGGACCAGACTGAAGCTGCTCCCCGTCCTCCCTCTCCCTTCCTTGCTCACTAACTATCTGGAGCACACGTAGTATGCAGCATGGCAGTGAAAAGCAACCACAATCCAGATTTCTTTTAACATTTTTAATTTGGATATGCCAAGCCCCTTATTAACCACATTTCATGTTAATATATCACCATGCTTTGTCTGCTACATCATTACATCAAAAACACACACTCAAGATTTACTCTGCTGCACACTGTACTGTACTCTGGTACATTGCCTTTGTTTGGGCACAACTGGCACAACCTCGGTTTATTTTAAATATATATTTTTCTTTATTTTTTTCCCTGTCAGACGATTGTCTGACTGATAGTGACAGCTGATCCAGACTTTGAACAAATTTTGTTGGTTGAACACAATATGTCCTTATGTGAATATTGGAATTTAGTTTCCATTGGCAAATGCTGGCCTTCAAGTATCTGTGTGTGTGTGTGTATGTATGTAAATACAAATAAATGATCCATGTTGACCTGAGTAACAGTCTAAACAGTGGGTTCACTGTTCAGCTGCAGGCACCTCAGTCCCTGAGAACACTGTTTGTGTATGTTATCAACATTGTCAAAAGGTCGTTTATCAATGGGGGTCATTGTGTGGATAATCCTTCAGGTGGCTGTATACTCAAACAAACATTTAGCTCGTAGTCTAGGAAGAGTCCAAGTCGTAGGGACTGGCAAGTAGGTTTAACTCATTTCCTGAAGCCATTGTCTAAGGAATGGCGACATGTTAAATGATACCTGAGGATGTGATGTCTTTAGATTGTGTTGAAACTGTCAACGGAATTTACATACACAATCATCTATTGTTGTTCTAATGCTAACATCATCCCGTCCTCTACACTATACACAGTTAGTTATCTCCTTTATTTTTTGATTCAGTTGTGAGTATAACCCAATTGTCATTCCCTGCTTGCTGTTACCTGGGAGTCACTTTAGAGTTTCTCTGCATACCTATTACTATGTGGGCGTTACAACAATGAGCCACATCCTTTATAATAATGAACCTGAACGTCACTTGAGCTAAAACCAGACAGACCTCTTGTTTCTCTTTCCACACCCAATAAAACAGTACAACCTGCTTTCAAGTCCTTGAGGGAACCCTTTTGCACACCACTCCATGTCAGGAACTGCGGGACATGATTGGGATATGTGGATATTAAGAAATATATAGAAAAGATTACAAAAGAATTAATATCTCAGGCAGCATTCTTGCTTGCCAGTCTAAGCTATCTAATTGGGCTACCGACGCGTGGCACCCAGCTAGGCAGAGCTACATCGCGGGGGGCTGCTGCGCTGGAGCGGTGTCAGCAGTAGCAGTAGCAGGTCAGGGAGACAAACTGTCAAGAAGGAGACGGGAGACGGGAGACAGGGATAAGAACCCGGATAGGAGCAGTTTCCACCAGCCTGGAGAAACAAAATATAACTTTAGCAGACATACGCAGTCGCACCGCTGCCTGTCGTCGAGTTACCAGCCTTGTAGTTCAAACTCGCAACATCAGCAGCTAACTAGTCGTTAGCTACCCTGTCAGCAGCCGGTTAGCCCTTCCTTATAGCGGTAGCAGCTAACCTAGCCTAGCTAGCTGTTGGCTGCACGGGCTCCCCGCGAACAGTTACCAAGATGCGGCTGAAAGTAGGGTTTATTCTGCGGAGTTTGCTTGTCATTGGGACGTTTCTTGGCTTGGTGGTGCTCTGGTCTTCTCTGTCCCCGAAACCCAACGATGAAAACCCATTTGGAAAACGGGTGAGTGGACAACAGCAGACGAGTCTAACCGGGAAGTGCACAACAGTTATCAGTGCTAGCATAACTCCAACCCAACACGTCAAAATGTGGGATACTTTTAGCTATGCAACATGAGTGCCAAGTCTGTGGATGGGGACTGATGGCGGCAGAAGGGTCGTAGTGACAGGTGTGCGTGTCTTTAATAGAAAAAGCCTCAGTCCTAATATAACAAGCATGAGGACACGCTTTCATTCAACTGTTTGGCTAGCTTTACCACATTGGTTGTCATGGAGATTGGTTCCTAGCTAGCTAACGTTGCTAACCCTAGCTCCCTTGATACTGAGGTATGTTAATGAATAAACACATTTGGATGTACTGCTATATCTTCCTTCCTTTAGTAGCTCTATTCACATTTTACTGTCAACAGTAACGTTACATTCCTAAATCCCACACATCCAGGATACACATCCGCATATGTCACCACAGTGGTGGCAGGCGTCGCTAAGGCGGAACTGTAGAGTAACGTTAGATCAACAGTTGACAGGAGTTCAGTCAGGGTTTTTTGTATGTATGCGACCAGAAAAGTGGACACTGCGTTTGACTTGACCATGCTGATGACTTTATGAAGGCAGTTGTTTGAATGATTCATCCCTGTATTTACTTATAAGATCAATAAGACCATCAAATTGTGTTGCCTCTTTGTTTTCCTCTTGTTTTTGTTACAGAAAATATGTCCTAACTAGGTGGGATATTTGAATAGGTTAAGGCACATTCTAGGTAAATGCTCCCAGTATATGAAGTAGCATAGTTAAATAGTCTATAACTCATCTATAAATGCTGCTATCATAAAACAATATTTTTCTAACAGCGTTTGATAAAACATCCCACAGGCAGGAAAAAAAGTAAAGTAGATTGATATCTCTGTGCAATCTATAACCTGACTAATCACTATTATTAGATACATTTAAAGCTGCAGTAGGTAATATTTACAATATTTTATATTTAAATGTTTTTGTTATATTTGCTGAAACTTTCACTAAATCCTGACAGTAGTACATGAGACAGACATGGCATTTGCAAGAATCCAACGGGCCTGAACGAATACCACTAATCAGAGCAGAGAAAGATAGTTAATTGTTGAGTCCCATTGCCAGGGTCCCAAAGAATCTGTATTTGATGCCCTGGGAATGAGACTCAACAATCAACTATCTTCATGCCACCAAACTAAAGTGTCTTTCTATCTTTCTCTGCTCTGATTGGTTGTTTTCGTCCAGGCCCGGTGGATTCTTACAAATGCCATTAGGAGGAGCAACAGGAACCAGCAAATATGATGATAAAAAGTATTTTTTATAAAAGTTACTTACTGCAGCTTTAAGGGTATACATGAGTAAATATGTGCAACAAGCTGCCCCTGTTTTCTCTATGTAATCCATTCTCAAATGAATAATTTACAGTAAGATCATTTACCTAATATATTTTAATTACTTTTTAAGCACATCTGTGTTGATTTTTTTCATACCCAGCATTAAAAGAACTAATTGGTTCTTTTAGTCCCATCTGGATATACATCTTGTGTTGACAAGGAGTTCTGGGAACTTGTGAGCTCTATTCCTGTTATTTCATTGCATCAGTTGAAGATGGTCAATCACATCAGCACAAAAATGAAAAGAAAAGCCATTAAGAGTGGAATATTATAATGTCAGCTTTAGTTAAGCAGTCTGTCCTGGCTGTACTGCCTTTCTTGTGAACAACCTGATGTGGAGGAGAATGTGTTATCTGTTACAAACTATAATTAACCTTGGATAAGCACAGTATAGTTATGAGTGAAGTTAATAACAACTTAAAATCTTGCATTTTGCCTTTTCAACCTCATCTGTACCAAGATCTGCAACAGCAGGTCTGTCTCTCCACTAAATGCAGCTTTCTGTATCAGTTTCATAAAGGTATTTTCAGTGTGTATGAATTTCTGATAGTACACTACAAAATGGCCATATGAAGTACAAACACCAGTAAATTTACTACAGCGGGAAAGTTCAGCAAGGTACAGCATATTATCATGACACCAACACTTAATTGGTGTCTACTTATTGCCCAAAGCAAAAGCATCAGAGTTCAGTACTCACAGTTAAGTGTACATGCTTGTCATCTCCACATACTTCTTTCATCCATAAGGTGACATCAAAGTGCAGGGGAGCAACAAAAACATTTGTACAACTTCAGATTTTTTTTGAATGTAGACTTTGCTGATATAGCTATTACATTAGCTTTCTATGGCTGACTGAGCTTTTTTGTCAATTTAAATTCAATCAGTAGGTGCCTTTTTTGTATTGTGTCTTTCTAATCAGTAATCTAGGGATCAAATGTGACACCTGTGAAAGCACAATTTGGCTTATTATTGCCACCTGTAGATCAGTGGAATAATGTAAAACAATTGTGAACAGTGTCACCTGCATGTGCATCCAAAATCTGGTGTCTTCAAAGCTGCATAATCCAGTTTTGGCTCACTAGGCGTGAGTCATTTTATTAGTGCATTTTATTAATGTAGTTTTTTGGGAAGGTAGTGTGCTGTGTGTCTGGCATTTTTGCTGGAAATGGAGGCCCATAGAGGTTGAGTTTGGGTCAGACTCAACCATAAAGTAAATATGCATGTAGATTATAAGATATAAAACCAGATAATGAGCCTTTAAGAGCTCTGTAAGTTTGTTCATATTGACGAACCCTCTGACAATGATGTACCTTGCACTCAGCAGCCCCCAACTGATACTTATAGCTGTTTGGTACTGATCCAAATTGTGTTGTTGGCCCATAGCCACATTAAATCATACCACTTTATTATTTTTTTCATTTCTTTGTCCCTGCATGTTCAACCATACTTGCAAATAATTGTTAATAATGTGCATCTGTGCAGTGTATAATAATAACCTCTGTCGTATCCCTCCATACAGGATGACAGTTTGCTGCCCAAAGGAGACATAGCAGATCAGTTTAAGCCTGTGGTGCCATGGCCTCATGTGGAGGGCGTCGAGGTTGACCTCAACTCCATCAGACTCAAACATGGTGAGACACAGTTCTATTAATAAGCATTCCATAAAGAAACTCTGCTCTGACATTCTCTTGAAATGATGGTGGCTTAAGCAGGAACAAGTGTAAAGGCAACCTGCCATTTTAGAGGTTTTTATACTTCATACAAAAGCAAATGTGTTGATTGTGTGGTCATCACAAATTAAATCAGGCCAGAAAGCCAGGAGGAATGGAGGAGTGAGGCCCTATCCAGAGCCAAAAAAGCAGCCTTTTAGTCAGGTGACAAGGAAGCATAGCGCTCCGCCAGACCAAGACTGAAAGGACACAAAGTGGAGACACCAGTAGAGACTGGAGAAAGACTTCAACACCTCTTGGGTGGTGTTAACTAAATATATGTGGCAGGCAACCCAGAGCTAGGCCTCCCCAATCATGTGTGAGACCACGTAAAAGATGAGCCAAACACATTTTATGCTCGCTTTGATCTCCTCAACAAAGAGTCCACTGTAGAGTCTACTCTGCCTGCAGAGCACCAGCCACTGCCAGTATCCACAGTGGATGTGAGAAGAATCCTGCTAAGAGGGAATATGAGTAAAGCTGCTGGGCCTGATAACATCCTTTGCTATGTACTAAAAACATGTCCCAATTATCTAGTTGATTCTTTTTATCAACTAGCTTATTCTGTCGATTATTCCATCGAAGTAAAGGATCTGGTCCTTTGTCCACCGCTGTTGGTACAC